CTTCTTAGAAAACATAGCTTTCAAAATAAAGTATGTGGGTTTACATACTCCTTAAGAAACAGCCCTTTGCTTCAGACAATTTAAGCTACAGGCCAAAAGCAAATATGTCCCATTCTTGGGGAAGGTGTTCAAGTGAGTGGTTGTCAACCAGATCTTGGTTCTGCTGGATGAAACCAAGATCTGATTAGGTTCAGGCTTGGTTTTGGCACAGATATCACCTTGTCTGTAGGAGTGGGAAAAAGGGTGTAATGCTTATCTGAACACTTGCATATCACAAGTTCTTTAGGATGACCTATAGACACAGGGGAAGTGTGACATTGCAGATTCTCCTTGATCTCTCAGCTAATGTAGGCACCATTATGGTATTTTTTCTAGGACAGCTGTTGGAGTGAGGGTGGAGGTCAGCACTTTGTGGTTCTGCTGCTACTTGGATACTTGGTCTCAAAAGGTTGCTTAGTCCCATGGACCCTCTAAATTTGGGGTTCCACGTGGCTCCGTCTTATTCTCCATGAAAATATATATGAAGCCATAGAGTGGGATCATCCTGTTCTGCCCCTTAGCATATCAGGGAACTAAGGGCAACCTTTCAACAGTATGCCAATGATACCCAGCTCTATTTCACTGTAACATCTGGATCAGAAGAGGCTATGCATGCCCTGTACCAGTGCCAAGACTCAGTGGTGGACTGGATGAGGGCCAAGAAGCAGACTCCAAACACTGGCAAGATCAAGATCATCATCATCATCATCATCATCATCATCATCATCATGTAATTATTTATACCCCACCCATCTGGCTGGGCTTCCCCAGCCACTCTGGGCAGCTTCCAACAAAACATTAAAATACAATAATTCATCAGATATTAAAAGCTTCCCTAAATAGGGCTGCCTTCAGATGTCTTCTAAAAGTTGGATAGTTGTTAATTTCTTTGAAATCTGATGGGAGGGTGTTCCACAAGGCAGGTGCCACTACCGAGAAGGCCCTCTGCCTGGTTCCCTGTAACTTGGCTTCTCGCAGTGAGGGAACCACCAGAAGGCCCTTGGAGCTGGACCTCAGTGTCTGGGCAGAACGATGGAGGTGGAGATGCTCCTTCAGATCAGGGTGCTGTGGGTGAGCAGTTTCTGAGTCCAGATAATTGGTCAATTGCTTGCTTTGGATAGGGTTTTTTTTCCCCTTGAAGGCACAGGCTCATAGTCTAGGCAGTGCTCCTGGATCTATCTGTCACTAGAGAGACAGCTACAGCCATGTCTGGACCAGGATTTAACTTGACAACCGTTGTCCATCCAGGATGGATTGCCATAATGTAGAATTGCCCCTTAGGTTGGTCTGGAAGCTGTGGCTAGTGCAAAATGCAGCAGCTTGAGTGCTACCGTGCAGGGCATTGCCACGTGTTGTTACACAACTGCTGAAAGAAATACACTGGCGGGGAATGGGCTGCATTGAAGACACCAAAGTATACAAGGTATACAAAGCCCTACACACTTTGGGAGCAGGGTACCTAAAAAGATAGCCTTATTCCTTGTTTACTCAACCAATCACAGTGCTCTGAAGCAGAGGGCCTCTTGTAGATACTATCTGTACAAGGCAGGACTCAGGCCTTTAGTGTGGAAACAGCCCCTTTTTGGAACTTCCTCCCTTCATATATCAGATATATTGTCTTTTTAGACTGATGAATGTCTTCGTTTTCCAACAAGGCTTTTAATTAGAGATCTTTATCCCAGTTTGTACGGGATTTGAAACTGTGTTTATTTATGGAATGTTTCAGTTTTGTCGGTGAAGTCATTTTTCATATTGCCGTTTTATTGTTAACCGCTTTGAGATCTTTCATAGGAAGTGATTCATAAATGGAACTGAATAAAGGATATTTTTTCCACTGTTGATACGGCATCGGTGCCATTAATTCCAGTCAGGTGTTCTTTTGTTTCACATATCTAAGCACTACAGCAGTTATTTGAATATAAGCCCCCGTGATGTGCTTCGTTCCTGCGGTGATATTGTGAGGAAAAACTTGACTTTAGCATTGTGTCCTCAAGCTTTGCCAATGAAACAATTAGCATTTGGTGCAGTGTGTATTATTCCCCAGTCCCTATTCTTTCCAAGGTTTAGGAGTTTAATCTCAGTGAACTTGTACAATAAAAAAAGGTGCTGAAAACCACACTTCTACCTAAATAACAGGGCTTAAATCACTGTTGATGACACTTCACTTGAGGGGGGAAAATAGGGCATGATGAACTCACCTACTTTTCCGCTGCCTCATTGTGAAAGAAGGCTTACTTCCAGGTAAACACAGATAGGACCTGGCTGCAAAGCCCGAAACTATAAAAAGCACCTTGCAGTGAAACTGGATTATGAGAAGTTCCAGACAAGTGTCTGCATTAAGTGTGCCACAGCAAATACAAGAAGCCCACAGCACCTGGAAAGGCTCTAATAAACTGCAGCATAAATGTTCATATAGTAGAGCCTATTTCATAAAATACACGAAGTCATGTCTTAAGTGGGTAGGTATATATACTCCAGAGAAGAAAAACAAACTCAAAAAGGTCTAGCGATGCAAAGCAGGAATAGGTGTGTCACGGTACTAGGCGGTGTGCCAGTGAATCGAGGCTCCGATCACAGGATATTGTAAACAAACACTCTAAAGGCGGGCAAATTACTTTCTGCGGTGATCCAGCCATTTGCAGGATTTGCTGAGATCAAGCTCCACTTTGCTAAATAATCCTTTGCATTGCTTGACCCTTTGGACTCCCTTTGCCCAAATAATAATCTCCCCCTTTGTTACTCAGGTGCCTGCTCTGGCTGGCATCCCAGAGCAAGAGCTCTGAGTGTATGCTAATGCTCAACTCGGCACTTGATCTGTTTGCTAGGTGCTGGCTTCCAGCACAAGCATGCGCCTCCATTTGGCCATGAAATTTCCAGCTCTGGCTGGTTTAACCAACTGCAGCCACTCTTGTACTCCATGCTCTGGGAAATTCCAGACTGGATGATTGCAACATGCTCTATGCAGAGCTGTCCTTGAAGACAACTCAAAAACATCAATTGGTTTAAAATGCAGTGGCCAGATTATTGGCTGGGTTCCATTTAGAGCTCACATAACCTGTCTGAAAACAGGTTCAGGGTGCTCATGTTAGTGTTTAAAGCCCTAGATCGCTCAGCTTTGACGACTCAGGCTCCAAATAGCTGAAATGCTGCCTCCTTCCTTACAAACATCCTTGGGTGTTAAGATCAGCAGAAGAGGCCCTCTTGGTTGTTCTACTGCCCTCAGAAGTGGAGGGTGTGGTGGCCTAGAAAAAGGCCTACTCTATGGCAGCCCTAAAGTTGCAGAATTTCTTCCCCACAGAGGTGTGTCTGGCACCTTCACAAAAACATTTCACTGAATGCTGAAGACATACCTCTTTAGCCTGGCATTGGACACACTGGCTCCCTCAGCCAGTAAAGCAAGATGAGCGCTGCAACCCCAGAGTCGTCTGCGACCGGACCTAACGGTCAGGGGTCCCTTTACCTTTTATGTGAGTGTAAGACACCAGAGATTTGTGTGAGTGTAAGCTGTTTTAAACGGATTTTAACATTGTGTCTTAGTTGTTATAACCTGTCTTGGGACCTAAGGGTGACAGGCAGGTTACTGATATTAATAGCAGCCCTGACAAAAATAAAGTCTTCCTCAATTAGTATTGTCCCTACCAGTCAGTAGTTGTTCGTATCACTTAAGGATGGATTCACACTCAAGGCCTCTTCTAGTCTCACCATTTGATTTGTGCCTCAGCTCTCAGGTGCCTTCTCCTCTCAGAAGCCCAAGTTATTTTAAGAGCTTGTCCATGGAGGACCATGCTGTTCAGCCTTCCTGGGATCTCTCTCCTAAGACAGAAAGCTCCAAATGCCACTAGTTTCCCTCCCCTACCTGTTTCCTTGCCTCCTATCTGTTTTTTTCCTCGTACTAGCCAGAGATGCTTGAGAGAATATGAAGGCATGCATTGTCCCCTTAAATCAATTTTCTATTCTAGGAACTGTACTTGGAAGGTTCTGAAAAGAACCATTCAGTGATTAAGATTACCTACAAAGGCATACTTACCTTTGGCCACTCACAACTGACATTTTCCTGAATAAACCAGACTAATTTTCAGTGTGTGCAGTCTATGGCTTGTGTTCAGCCACTATAATAGCCTTTATATCCAGTCTTAGTCCTTGACCCCCTGGTCACAGTGAAAGTTTCTCCTTCTATTCTCCTTGGAACAGGAGTTTAAATCCTTCTGTTTTTGTCATTTCTTCCCTTGGGTGGTTCAATTCCCTACCATTTACATTTGAACTTTTTCTGGAATACATAGGCCTCATTATTACAGCCTGGGAGATTCCTCCCACCAGTTCCCATTCCTTATACAGCAACAGTAATATTCCTTATCTCTACCTAGATTTGTCCCTGTCATAGAAACTAGTAGAGTGTAAAAGATGCTAGGTCCAGGGAGGGTGGAGCATTGAAGGCTTTGCACACATTTTACTTGAACTAACCATTTTAATCTCTGCAACTATGTCGCTCTAGCAATTGAACTACACAACTATTTCAGTCTTTGACCCCAATTTGGACATCTGTAACAAATGAATTTCTCTTGCCTCTAACTGGGACTCAGGGGTTTTTGCTAATTCATCCTAGTAACTTTCTTACGGGACATGACTCTGAGTTCAGGTTCCTGAAGTTATTTTTGAGATATCCACTCCATGTATTTTGTAAATATCTTAGAGGCTGCTGTTGTGCAACCAAGCAATCTATAAATTTTGTTAAAATAAAATAAAAACAGAGGGTTGAGAAAAGAAGTGAGTCTTTCGCATGTCAGGGTGTTAGGCTTTCTGTCTCACTTCTCTGAACTACGGTGACAATAATGCTCTCACTTAGGCATTCCTTCAAATGATGCTTCAAGGCATGGGTGAAGTATTTTCCCCAGTACTGTATTAAATGTTTTTCCCTCCTCCCATTCATATGAACTCCATTAGAAAAGAAGGAAAAAGTAGCCACGGGTGTTAAGAAACTTTGCATTCATATAAAACAAGTCACATTTACACTGTTGCAACAATGGAAGAATGAGCAGCACAAAATATAGATATTTCTTTCAATGGGAGTCAGAGGCTCAGCTAAATATCTAATTTTACCATTAAAGGCAGGGTGCTAATGTTGTACTTGAAACCTCCTTTCATTGAAAGCAGTATGCCAGACATGGCAAAACATATTTCCAACAAAGAAATACAAAGGATTTGAGAAAAAGGTTGTTAGAAACATTACAATTAAAAACACACACCACAGTTTATATTTTAAAATCTATCTGTTCCTATACATTAATTGAGCAGATATCCCCCCTTAGCTGGTGTATTAACTAATTAAATGCAATAAATGGATAACAGATTTTATAATTTTTTAAAAAATAAATCAGGAAGTTAATTTTATTAAGGTCCAAAGACAACAGTGTCTTTCAATGGGTGGTACAAATCCACTCACAGTAATATCAAGTATGCTACAACATTACAGAAAGTCTAGAAGAATGTTACTCGTCAGTTTTTCTGCAATTTTCGCTCAAAGTATGTGCAAATCTTCCTCATGGGAACCAAAGTAGCTACGCCCTGCGAGGGGAAAAGAAAGGCAGAGTTAGGTATCAGGTCAGACATACTTATAGACATTGGATATGTATTTTTTTTTGAAACTTTTATCCTCTCTAAAGCCATTCTAGTCCAGAAATTTGAATCCTAATAATGAACTTCCTCAGGATCCTCATGTACCCAAAACAGCACCATTAATGCTGAGGTATCAGCAATCTCTGGGGAACCCCAAGGTTTGCAGAAGTACCAAAAGGAACCTTATTTTATAATATTTTTGTCTCATTCCTCTCCCCACCACAAAGTTCTCAAACTGGCACAATATGGTTGTCCCCCACCGCAGACAACAGAGTTGTGCATGGCTGTGAACCCAGACGCTATCAAGCATCATGTCAAGTCTTACACCTTACTGGCTCTTGAGAAGACAACAAACTGCAGAATGCAAGCCTGGCAGCGGTCCATAAGTATCAAGTTGATGCTGCTGAGCAAGGGCAGAACCCCCTTCTTCTCTCAAGGAAAGGGCAGCCCTGAGTTACCCACTCATTATCTGAGTGAGATGGTGTTATCCTCACTGCAACTCTCAGAGTGCAGGATCTGCACTATGAAGTACTACTGCCTTCCAGAAAACATAATCAGAGAAATTGAGCAAGGTGAAGTTAGCTACCCATGGAGCAAGAGAGCCCCAGTTCTGTCCTGGTCTCCAAAAAATGGCAAATACGTTTCCCATAACCCCAAAGCAAAGTGTCCTTCCTATCACGGAATGGAATGCAGCAGTCCTGTTATAAATGTTTCCATCCCCATTACACAGCTAAGCTCCACTTCCTTGTATCTATTGCTGCAGCTTTGCCTGCTGTGACAGAGCAGGAAAAGAAACTCAGATAACAATGGATGATTTGCTTCCCGGTGCTGTTTCCTGCTGTCAGCAACAACCCTCATCAAAGCCTTTAAATGGGATTGAAGGGAAGGCAGAAAACACTTAAAAATGCTCAAGCCACTCTGAACAATAGAACAGGGTGGGGTAAACATTCACATAAACGGGCTGCCCTACTTCATCTGTGCCTGGCATGTCCTAGTAAAAGGTAAAGGGACCCCTGACCATTAGGTCCAGTCGTGGCTGACTCTGGGGTTGCGGCGTTCATCTCGCTTTATTGGCCGAGGGAGCCGGCATACAGCTTCCGGGTCATGTGGCCAGGATGACTAAGCCGTTTCTGGCGAACCAGAGCAGCGCACGGAAATGCCGTTTACCTTCCCGCCGGAGCGGTACCTATTTATCTACTTGCACTTTGACGTGCTTTCAAACTGCTAGGTTGGCAGGAGCAGGGACCGAGCAACGGGAGCTCACCCTATCGCGGGGATTTGAACCGCTGACCTAGGCTCTGTGGTTTAACCCACAGCGCCACTCCCATTTTCCTCACTTTTGCCAGCCACATCCCTTTAACATATCCCCATAGCACCCTCTGCATCACCCCCATCATTTCAATGCCGCACCACTTGCCTACAGAAAGAGGAGGATGTGGGGAACAATGATCAAGTCTTAGAATTTGAAGTGAGAGGGATCCAAATCCTGAAACATACTGTACAACATTTTAAATTGTGCTGCAAGCACAATTCAGTGTTGGTGCTGACCTTTAAAGCCTTTGGCCTTTTTTCAGCCGGAAGTCGCTGGAACTCAGTTCCTGCACTTACCAGATGGGCGCTATTGCCATTATAAGAGAACAAGAGAGGTGTTCATGGTGCGTCCTGCACCTATTTTTCTAGAAAAATAGCACTGCTGCCTGGTATACCTGAAGGAGCGTCTCTACTCCAATCGTTCAGTTCAGACACTGAGATCCAGCTCCGAGGACCTTCTGGCAGCTCCCTCACTGTGAGAAGTGAACCAGGCAGAGGGCCTTCTCGGTAGTGGTGCCTGCCCTGTGGAACGCCCTCCCGTCAGATGTCAAGGAAATAAACAACTATTTGACTTTTTAGAAGGCATCTGAAGGCAGCGCTGTGCAGAGACGTTTTTAATGTTTGGTGTTTTCAGTATTTTCTTGGGAGCTGCCTACAGTGTTTTGGGCAACCCAGTCATATGGGTAGCATGTAAACAACAGTTTAAGTGAAATCAGAGCAATGTCTTAACAATTCTGGAATTGGTGCTCTTTGGGTTCAGAATCCACACAGTACTGTTTGTGCGACAATGATGTCAGCTTTGTTCAGTGATGGCATCTTCCCTTTGGGGAATGGAAAGGGGACAGCTGGAGACCGGCATTTCCCCTTTCAGCCATCCCAGCAACTGCCAAAAAATTTTTGAAAGGGGGAAACCTCCAAAAATAGAACACACACACATAAATTAAACATTGGGAGTGGCATGTAACAAGTGGAGTATCTGAGGGACTACAGGGTCTCCTCAGGCACCACACACTGGGAACCCCAGAAATAAACTCAAATATCAAAGATGTTGTAGCCAAGTTAAATGTACTTACAGGCCCTGGTGACACAATTCCTGTCCCAGCTTCCAGTCGCCTCGTGCTCAGATTCCGCAACGGCTGGGAGCTGCAGCCAGACCCATTTGGGCAAGTAGGCTTGCTATTCCGCAGCTTGTCCCCTAAAGCAGACAGCCAGTTTCTTTTGTCTGGAGAACCGTTCTCCTTGTCCGCCATTTTCCCACAAGGGGCCTTGAGAGGAAGCGAAAGGTTTGAGAAGCTTGCAGGGGAACAAGGATTTCCAGGTGGGGAAGGCCCTTCCAGGCTTTCAGCGGCCTGAGCTTGACCACTGAGGGTCAGGCAGCCTTCCCCTTCTAAGTCTGCTTCCAAAGTGTCCTGCTGCGGCCTAGATTTTTTAGGCACCGGGTGAAGATCAGTCACACAGTTGCAGGTTCTTAGGCACTTGGTAGGTCCTTCCTTGCTGGAGTCTAGCCTCCTCTTGGCTCGCACCTCAAGCCTCAGACGTGGCGATTCAGAAGTGGCGAGGACCTGAGAAATCTCTGCCGGGGCTTTCACATGGGAAGATACATTTGGAGTCTTGGTAACCCACTGCCGAATGGACATAACTGAAGGAGGAGCTGGTTTGGGCATTGTGTCTGTAGCGGTTTCCTTCTGCCTTGTTGGAATGTAGGCCAATGTGCCTGGAGGTTTGACCGATGACGATGTTGGTGTGCTGGAGGGAAGAGGAAGATCTCCAGTGTGAGCTGGAGCGCACGATGCAGGCTGCGGCGAAGAAATAGGGGGGCTGCCCGTCAGAGAGGCTTTAGCAGGAGTCCCCTGGCTGCTGCTTTGAGTTCCTGAAGGTAAAACACAAAGCCCAGATGAGGACAAAGCATCCCAAGTGTGAAGAAATCAAGGGCACAATCAGGACATACTAGCATTCCACATAGTCAAAGGATCTCTCATTGCAAACTTCTGAGGATTGCAGCCTAAAATTATGGACATGCATGCAAGTAAAACAAACACTGAAGCAAGACTCATCTTCTTGAAGGTTTCAAAGACTTGTACAGCACCCTGCCTCCCAGCTTATAGCTCTGAAGTGAGAGGGAAGAAGAGCTTGCTCTATATTGCAGTCAGTTTAATAGTCTCTGCACAGCCGCAGCTTGTGCCAATCGCGAGTTGGATGCACGTCTTATTCCAATAAAATAGTACCTGGTTAAGGCAACAGTGAATTGGAGTGCAAATAGCTATTGTGTGCACATAACACATGTTTGGTGTTCAAAAAGCCAAAGTATGTAGGAAGTCTGCCTATGTCTGCACGGTCCTTGCACTTCCTTTCCCATTCCTGAGCTGAAAAAAGAATAAGGTATCCATTTTTTTCCTAACAAGAGCCAACTTTTTCACTGTAAATATCCAGCACGGACATCGCTTGCAGTTTTCAAGCTGGGAGATTTAACAACTACTTCTGTATCAATAGGAAGTTGGTTTTTTTAAAAGTATGTTTCCTAAGAGGATAATGACGTATGCGTGTGTACACGAGATACACACAGCACGAAAGAACTGGCACATACCCTCCTATTGTTCTGCAAGTTTCCTGCAAGTGAATTCTATGTTGGCAAAACAATCCCTTTCTTCCATTTCTCTGGGTTGAAAGAAGCCATTTGTGAAGGTGAAAAAAAACAGCCTCCAGGTCAAAAGCAGTATCTGGGATACCCTCTCTTGTGGGTATGGCACAGGGGTTCTTACATACCTTTTGGATTTGTTACGGGTTTTTTTTTAGACAAACTCATGGGATTAGGGATAGAATTGGAAAAACTTCTGGTCCCCAAGATCAAGATATTAGGTCTGGTGCCAATAATTTGCTACACAGCTGTAGACCCATACAAAATTGCTTTAGGACATCAATTGGACCTTCACAAATCGTAGTGGTTATTAATAGTTTGAGGTTCTAGCTCATTTACTTGCAAAACTAAGCTGAACAGAAAGGCAAGGACTGCAAAGCCTCTCGATTCAGACAGAAACAGCAGCAACTGCAATTGTTCAGGGCAAATCCCTACAAGCTCCCTGCTCTTTTGCACAAGCCACACCTCCAACTTGCTATTCTGAACCTAGGGCAGGCTAATGTCCTCTTTTATCCTCTCCACTAATGCCCCCTTTTTCTGCAAATAACAAGTAAGGAAGAAGAACACTGTCCTGAATAATTTGCCACACTATTTCTATTTGCTCTGAATGGACTGTAGGGCAGGAAAAGTCAAGTCATAATTTAGTGGCCTGGACTGAATGCATATCCTTCCTGTTACCTCCACAGAGTAGGGATCTGTCTTGCTATCACCCTGTTAAGTGCCAAGCACACTGACAACAGTACAATAAATAGCGTAAACCTGCCTGGTAATTCTGTTCACAGTAGGATTTCTGGATTTGAGATTACAGTGGTACCCCGCAAGACGAACGCCTCGCAAGACGGAAAACCCGCTAGACGAAAGGGTTTTCCGTTTTGGAGGCGCTTCGCAAAACGAATTTCCCTATGGGCTTGCTTAGCAACTATGATTGTATCTGCCACTGCAGTCCCATGGATGGGCAGGATACAACCCAAGGAGGTGCTTAGGGCTGTGGACAAAGCCCAGGAGTACTGATTTTACTCAGGAAACTTTTGGGGTGGGGATGGAGGTTGTATAAACCTTAGCTCTGAACCACTAGTTCAGCACTACATAACTAGAATTCCTCTTAATCCAAATATTTGTATGCCCTACCCAGAGGATTTAGATAAAGATGGTTTTATTATTATTTATACAAGCCAGGTTGAACCAGGAAACTCTATTTGTTTACATTCCTTGTGCTGCATTGTCCTAGAACAGTAATAGACACATGCACACCCCTTCCCAAACATAGCTTGGCCAGGTAAATGAGCTTGAAAGATAACTGTAAACACACAGCTGCTGCTGCCACGATTGCATCTCACGGCTGCCCAGAATTTGATGGCTTCCAGATGTTGGACTCCAATTCCCATCAATAACGGCCAGCATAGCCAATGATCAGGATGTGAGTTCAGCAACATCTGGAGGGCCACAGGTTCCCCACCACTGCTATGAAGAATAGCACTGCCATGAAGAATAGCTCTTTAACTTTTAACCATTTCATTAGTCTTGTAAGCTGGTGGTTCTCAATTAGCTAAGTACTGCAGACCCCCTGTTTTTTCAAAAGCCAAGCCATGGATCCCCTACTTTTGAAAAAGTCGATTATCTCTGTGGTAGTTTTCGTTATGTGAATTGTGCTACTGTACCCTCCAACATGTTCCAGCACAAAACCGGGCTGTACTCCTGCATGAGTCATGTGACCCACACAAGAGCATAGTACCCCCAAATGGGATGTCCCGGACAGCTGGTGGTTATGTGCCACAGACCCCCTGGGAGGATTACACAGATCCCCAATTGGGAACCACTGCTGTAAGACATTTGCTCCCCAGCAGGGCATCTTTCCCACAATTGTCCATGCATGCATGCATGCATATTTATTTATTTAACTTTACTTTTTCATTGAACAAAAACCAAACACTACTTTTCCTTCAGAGCGGGCACCTCTTTCAGGAATTTTTTTATTTATGAGTTGCTAAGAGGACTCTAGCCAGCTCCTTCTGTTTCCTGTCTGTAGATATCATCAATCTTTTTAGCAACTGGGAAAACTACTCCAAAAGCTTTTATTTTTATGTGGTGGGATAGAGGGGAAGAGCTCTCTCTGCCCTCTGGGTAAGAATACAACACAAAAGCAGCCCAGCTGGATTAAACAAAGTGTCCACCTAGCCTGGCATTGTTTCTCTCAGAGACAGAGGTCCCAAGAAGACTTCACAGGGCATGAGCATGAGGGTTCCACCCCCCACATCCCTATGTTCCCAGCATCTGACATTCCGAGGTATACTGCTTCCAGACATCAGGCTCCATTAAGGCTTATGGTTAATAGCTATGACCAAAGCTGCTCTATGTATTACTCCAGCCCATTTTAAAGTCCTCTAATCTAGTGGCCATTATGTTTTGTGGCAGTGAATTACACATGGTAATCATGCATTTCTAGTCTCCTGAGCCTAGAGCCCATCAATTTCATCAGCTGACCTTGGAGTTCTCATTTTATGGAGGCAGAAACTTTTCTCCTTATTGACTCATTCCATTCCTCATTATGCACATGCAGCTTCCAGGTCGCCTCCGCCCCTCCAAACACTACCCTTTCCTCAAAGAAAAGGTGCCTCATCCCTTTGGCAATATGGGCTGCCCCTTTTTCAGTGATATCCACAGAGTGAGCATGCATGTGATAGGTACACTTCACTCTACAGTATGCTGTTGAATTTCTGGTATTTTTGTTTACTGACGTCTATTATACAATTCTTATGGAATTAGGGTGTGTGGCTATCTTAGCCACAAGATGGCTGCTGAGTCTCTCCTCACGATGAAAAACTCTCTAACTACACATTGGGAACAGAGAAAGAATGATCCGAACACCATGAAGAGATCAGCAGCGCAGGATGCTGCAACAAGATCTGAACTGAAGGAAGGAGAATGTCTTGGCACATCTCAAGAGACCTGAACTTTTACTTTTGTTTCAGTTTACTGACTTTACTTTCTTTGCTTAAAATAGACTGTGTGTGAATGGACTGTGTGCTTGTACCTGTAATTGTATGGTTGCAAATGAGACTATGGAGAACATATTATGAGAGAGGCTTTATGCCTCAAGCAGAAAGACAGCCTGTTTTCCTATTACTGTGAAATCCCAGGGCAGGGAGCACAATCCAGAGTATTGTTGTTTTAAACTGTACCATAGGATCAGTCTATCGCCAATAATAAATGTTGTGCTAGCAAGTGGTCTATGCCACTGTCTTGTGCCTTAGTGCATAAGTGTGAATTGTGTGATTCAATCACAATCCACTGAAACAGTTTTACCACGTTGGTGGTTCTTTTTCTTCTTTGTTATTGAGTTGTGGGAAGAAAGGGATAGGAGGAAGAGTGTTTCCATGGGTATGCTTCAGCAATTGTGAAGTGACAGATTACTGAATTTTCCACATGATCACAAAACAATAAAACTGTATTTTTTGGAAGAAGATTAAATAATCTAGAACCAATTGTTTGTGGGATAACATGCTTAAGTCTATAATTAAAACATGAAGGGGTTAAAACCATAAGAGTAAGCTGTCGTGTAAGGTTTAGCTTGCCTTGGGAGGGCCTAGTCAGGCATGGCCAAACTCGGCTCTCCAGCTATTTTGGGACTTCAATTCCCATCATCCCTGACCACTGGCCCTGTTAGCTAGGTGGGAAGGAAGGCTGCCTCATTATGACTGGTGAGCTTCAGTAATTGTCTCAAGTGGGCCCTGGGAGCACAAAGTCTGAAAACCTCTGGACTATGCAATACAACCAATCGTAACTTTTCTTTATTTGCACAATTCACAGAGAATCCTTAAAAGATAAGAAAAATTATCCTTGATTTCAGGGCCAACATAATCAGCTTCAGGTGACCAGCTTACTGCATTAACTTGCAGAGCTGTTTGAATGCTTCCACTTCTTACAAATGTGTGGCAAGACTGGGTTTTACCATGCCTTTAAATGCTGTTTTAAGCTGGTAATCACCGAGCCACAATTTTGCCACATGTCTGCAATGCTTTTTGACATTCAGCCTGTTACCTTGCATACACACGTTCATATTCTGTGGCAGCTGTATCCTCTCAGCTGCACATCAAACTGATAACCTGAATTAGTCTTATGTACTTTTAATTACTAGTCTTCCATGAGCTATGCAGAGGGGTGGGAAAAAATCATCTTCCGGCTACACAGGTATTTCACACACTGACAAGACATCAGTTTCATATAGCTGTTGTGAAAACTGTTCTCGAACCTAATTTCTGCCATGCCTCTGCTTTATTAAAGAAATTGCCCCCAAGCTACAAATCTACTGCACAGGAGAGAACGTTTGTCAGCGTCTCGGAAGTTCTTACCTGTTCCACTTTGTTCTCCCACTTTCTTCTGGCAGGCCCAACCCACCAAGCTGCTTTTGTCTAGACAGTTCTCTTCTTCGGTTCCTCGCTTTAAGCGCCAAATCTTGACGGTATTGTCGTCTGAACATGTGGAAATCTGCAAAAGAGCACAGGGAGCCGGCTGAGAAATGCCGCACTTTGCAAACAAGTGAAGATGTTGACTCTCTAACAAACAGTGGAAGAGTGGCGAGTTTTGGGAATGGTAAATGTGTCAGAGAAGGGACTTGCAGCTATCCTGCTACATTGAGAACCTCAGTCTCTCTCTTTATTAGCTGAATTTTAAAGGATGTAATGCTATGTCATTTCAGATTAGAGCCTGGTAGAATTATGAGTCAGTAATATTTTTTTTTTAACCACCTGTCTTATTAAGTTTAAATCAATAGATTTCTATACCACCTCTTAAATAAATTTCAGAGCTGTTTATGGAATTAAAATATAATAAAACATAGCAAGAGAAAAAAGGTATAAAATGGGCCTTTAGGCTATAACATCTGGTTCCAATAATTGCCAAATATGTCTCTGTGCTACCAAGATGAGATGCTGGCTGTAGTTTTTGCATTTTCTGCTGCTGCTTTTTATAGATTATGTTTTATGTTGTTGTTTCATGCTGTAAATCCATTTTAAAAAAATGTTTTATTGTTTTAACAGTGATGTTGTTAGCTGTCTTTGACAATCTATTGGAATGGTGAGATATTCAGTTTTAAAACATGTAACTTTGTAAATGATGAAATAGTAAAAACCTTATTGGGGAAAGAATTCCACAAAGAGGTACTAGCTCTTCAGTTGACAGGATTTTTTAATCCACTCTTGAGCTTACAAATCAAGCACACGCATAAAACGAACAAGGGAGATAGCCCCTGTCTTTAGGCTTACAATTTTGACAAGACACATCACAAGAGGAAAAGGGATTGGGAGATATGAAGAACTAAGCAAACACATGTTCCATGTACAAGAACATGTGAGAATTAAAAAAAAGGGTTTGCCTGGTGCAAAGATAACCATGCCAGACGAGGCCTTAAAATTAAATAAAATTATTTTTATTAAAGATTTTCTTGGTTTACAAAAGTATGTGCATTGTTTCTTTTTTCAGAGGGGGATGGAGGGGTAGGAATTGTTGGGTCAAGCTAGACATATTGACTCATATGCTCTTGGTGGGTTCTTGTTGTTGTCTTGTTGGGCTTTGTATGTGATAAAGGGGAGTCATACTAGAGAGAAGGTGTCCTTTTCTATTTGTCCCCATGTCAGTTTCAGTCTATTGATTAGCTTTTCTAGAAAGGCATACAGTTTGATACCAGTGGCCCATGTATACTCCTGACAGGTCTCTCCAGTGGTCCTTTTGAGCTCCACAAATGGTGCTCTACAACCAAAAAAGGTCCTTTCATCTGCCTTATCTCACAGTGGGAGAGTCAGTTGTATAGCCAAGGGCTTAAGGCTATCTGGGCAGGAGAAGCTACTTTTGCTTTGAAGCAAATGAAAAGAAATTATATTTAGGCTTTTGTTAGTGGAGTTTCTTCCAAAAGGCAGGCATAAGGGGAGATTTTGAAAATGTGGAAGCAAACCTTAGTGAAGTCAGATGGACACCAGGCAACAGAGGTGACCTCCTGCAAGTGGCCAATGAGCATCATGGGAGGAAGCTGGGGCTCAGATACCTATAGAAAGGAAGAATTGCAGAGAAAGTCAGAAAAGCGAAGACACCGGAACATCAAAACATCTAGGTATCAGAAGGACAAACATCAATCTGGGATATTTTCCGGCCTGGTGCTCTCTGAATGTTTTGTACTACAACTCCCATCAGCCCCAAAACATGTGGAGGATGCCAGGTTAGCAAAATCTGCTCTGTAATCCACAATTACCAAACAGTGCTGCCTTTCAAATAGAGCAAGTTTAAAAGGAAATTGAGAAACCAGTGGCATGCTGAGGAAATGTGTGCGTGCGCACACACAAAATGTTAAAAGCCATCCAAATTCTGCATCTAAAAAAGCTGTACAAATCATGCACATTTGCAAGGACTCTCTTATTTTGCTCAGTTTGCACCAGTTGTCTAACTTGTAGCAAGGGGCAAAGAACGATGCAAGACACAACCTTCGCTTCCCAACCACTGGAAATGTAACTCAGCTGCCACATCAATTCCTGGCTTCAGAGATATCAGCAGCTGTCGGCTGCACACTTTCAAGCATATCTTATGATAGAATCATAGAATTGTATAGTCGGAAGGGGTCATGAGGGTCATCTAGTCCAACCTCACCCCCCCCACAATGCAGGAATCTTTTACGCAATGTGGGATTCGAACCCACAACCCTGGAATTAAGAGTCTCATGCTCTACTGACTGAGATCTCTTGTCAGCCATAAATCCCAAGAGCTTCTTTTAAAAATTATATATATTCCCCGTCCCAAAACCTGCTCGGTGTTTTAAGTAACATGATTTAAAAACAAACAAATAAGGTTGTCAGAAGTCTAAATTCTGCATTCAGAACCACCATTCCTGCTTTTTCCTTCCCCATCTTCCCCTAGGACTGATATAGGGATACCTGCGGCTTTCCGGATGTTGTTGGACTATGACTTCCTTATCCCCGACCTTCGGCCATTCTGGCAGAGGGGCTGGAGGGAGTTGGAGTCCGACAACATCTGGAGTGCCTTAACTTCCACATCCTTGCTCTAGAATCACAGCACACACAAACCTGGCCACATACAAAACAGGCATCATAAGCCCAGCTCATCAGTGCTGCTTACAAAATCTTCATTTCTTAACACCTTAGAGTTATATTTTGCAGACAGCCTTGGTACGAATGACGTCTTTCAAAAGAAGACAAGCATTTTTAACCCAGGAAAAGTAATAGGGGGGAAATTTAAGTGTGCAGGTACGGAAAGCTAGAAATCCATACGTATGTTGGGCACATCCTGTATTACATCAGCCAGGGCTGGGGAAACTGCAGTCCTCCAAATATTGCTGGACTCCCAACTCTTATCAGCTCCAACCAACATAAGAAATGCTCAGGGATGATGGGGGAGTTGGAGGCCAGCAATATTTGAAGGATCACAGCTTCTCTGACGCTGGCATAAAGCCAAAACCCTGTACCCTGTCAAGAACCTGCAAAATTAACAGCTATGTATGAGTCACTTCAAGTGCAATCTTTTCCATTCTCAAATAATGCAGAATATTTTGGAAAAGTCTGGGGTGGCAACAAAGATTATGAGACAGGTGGCGTGGGGAGCAGGGGAGAGTAGAAAGAAGTACTGATTTTTTTTTCAGTCACCCTTGCACAGCCTGCTGTAACTCCAAAAAGCTCAGAGCAGCTTACCTCTGGTTCCCTGGCAGGCTCATACCCAGAGAGCTTATGGGGACAGATCTGCTAAGCTTCAGCAGCGTAGCATGTGCCTTCAGACTATCCTCTGGCCCATGTAGGGCACAGCACAAAAATCTCCACCACCTCCCAAACACACACAACTTCAGCATTCCTGCTTTTCCGTTTGAGACTCCTTGGTTGATTTACCAGGACACTTTCAAACGCTTCTGCAAATCCACAAGGCAAAGTAATTTGCTCTGATGAATTAGGCTGAAGTCCTTCAGAAGCCCGATTCTGTGTTAGATTCCCTGTTGCAGTGTGCAGACAGAACGTCCATATAGGAAGCGATCTGTAAATCAGAATTCTTTTCTTGAAAGGTCAAGGCAACACCCTTCTGCTTCGCATACAGAAACAACTGGTTCTGTTTGACTGTGATGCATTCAGAAATCCCAGTAGGCCTTGTTGCTAGATTTGCTTGCTGTGAGTCAAAGGCGACTATGGGGTGTGGCCTTGATCCACTTTCAGGGGGGCTGAGTGCCACAGCCTACCCGGGGCCTCTTTACTTGCCTGGTCCGCCTCTTAGCTATGCCATGGCCCTTTGACAGGACTAATGTCATGACCAGCAGCTCCTTGTATGCTGTGTGGAGGAGCGCTAGGGGTGTGTGTATGTGTGTGAGAGGGGGGGGGGAAGGCTCCCTTCTCAGAGGGGAAAGGGCCAGAGGAGATGTTGAAGAGTATCAGAAAGCAAGATAAAAGGTTAGTGTGTTATTTATTATTATATAAATAAAAAAACTGGGGATATAAAGGAAAGATGGATTAGATAAATCAGTAGAAGCTGTCAGTAATTTCCAGCTGGTTATGACGAACTCTGCCTCCATCCACTGTCATTTTGTGACTGGCATGGACCACTGATCACTGTTTTGCGACTGGTGGGACTCAGTAATTTCCAGCTGCCTCAACTGGTCCCTGGGGAGTGGACAGTTTGAGGACCCCTGTTCTACGGTTTCTTTCTGGAGAGACACCAAGAGGGACAGAGGCGACATGGCATGGGATCTCCACTTTCTGGACCTTGCATGCCCACCCCATCCTGAAAGTGCCTTAGGCGTAATAAATCTTTCAGCACAGTCCTCTATGCATAACTCCTCCTGGCTATCTGTACTGACCGAGGCAGAAAACCTAGCAATGCCGCAGGTGAGGGAGCAATTGGGAGAAAATGCCACGCCACCTACTCTGACTCATTAGGCCGCTAATGAATAAGGAGTAACCTAAGCTAACCTCAAGCTGCAGCAGATTCTCAAATGCTCGATTCTATTTTTCAGCCGCTCTCCTTCCCAAAGCTGTGAGTCACCATCAGCAATGTGATATTTGACGAGGATTTGCACTGATGACTAAGCGAACTTTATTAAATTCTTCACCATGTGGGTAAATGAAGCTTTGCAAGGATGTATGAAAAGCAAAAAAAGGATGCTCTACTTTTCCTGATCTAGTTTCTCTTTATTGTTCTGGCAGCTTGAAAAGCTATCCATAAATTTCTTAAGTAGAATACTGAGGATTGGGTTTAAGTCCAGTTGGTGCATTTTAAAGGGGTTTTTGCCCCTCTGAGTTTAGGTCAGCTTCTTGCCTATATATATTTAGAAAATGCCCTGTTCAAAACCCATCCTCTTTGCCAAAGGAGGCAACAACATGGAAACCAGAGCCCTTTTAAGGAGAACAGCTAAAGCTAAAGCTCTTGGTAGAGAGAGTATCTGTGTTTACATTTAGCCATTTCCCCCTTCCACGGTGTGTAGCAATGTCTCACAATCCCTTATTAATGAGAGCAGGCCGAAAAAGACATACTTCTTGTTGGGTCTGGATTCAACATTCATAAGGAATAATAATAAAAAAGCCCTAAGCAGCTGGTCCCAGTCCTAGGGATTGCATTGAGAGGTAACTGACACCTTTGAGCACATCCTTCCTTGCAAATGCTCATCTTTAGAGCAATAATCAATGCACGATGGAGCAATAAATGGATAAGCCCAGCTTTGGCTTAGCTCTACTATAGTTAGAAAACACTACCCACCCCCTGCCATAAAGCTTGTGAAATTGCAACTACCCAGACTTTCTGTGGCCCATAAGTTCAAAACCTGTTTTATGATTTTGAATTCCCTGAATAGCCATTTTATTTGTTTTTAATATGCTTTTATACTCCTGTTTCATGCTGCACTTCTGTTTTGATGAAAATGGTTATTTTATGTTGCGCAGCGCCAAGAGATTTACAAAACTTTAAGCAGCTTATAAATGCTCTTAAACCAAATAAACAAACAGACAATCCCAAATGTCAGCCTACAATTCAGGCCTGGCATGCTGGCAAGACGCTCCTGTCCAGAACAGCCAATCTCTGCATGGAAACAAATCTGCAATAATGGCAGAGCCAATTCATGTGCAGAAAAGGCAGAGTGGTGGCAGACTCCACAGCAAATACCCAGGCCAGGCTTTAGATCTGGATAGGGAACATGCAGCCCTCCAGATCTGGACTGCAATTGCTGCCATCTCTGGCCACTAGCTGATGGGAGTTGGAATTCAACTTCTGGAGGGCCAAAAGTCCTTGTCCCTCGTCTAAGACATGACCAATGCTTTCACCTCCAATGGCTGCCTTCTCCCCTGCCAGCTCCTGATAAGCACTCAGGCTTTTTAGAATTAATCACATTTGAAGCTGCGCTGCATGTGGGGTGCCTATAGTGGCCCATAAGGACAATAGATATTCTGCAGCCTCCTCTTGCCCTGGCAAGAGAAAGCCATAGTTTTCAGCCACAACAAGTTGTGTACACAACAAAAGAAACTACCAGGATACTTTTTTGTGGAGTACTGCCTGAAGGTATCTCAAATGCTGAGGTAACAATAAATCTTGCTCTTTATTACTAATGCATCTCCTTTCCTTACAGCATATTGATTACACTGCTTCCAGAGAAGGTTATGGCGCTGAGGGAACTTTACCTCAGGCCACTAGGTTGGAGGTGGAAGCAATGATTTAACTCCAGTGTGCTCAACGAAGTGACAGACGTCTTAATAAATTTCCCTCTTATTGGACAATCAGGTTGCGGGACAAGGAGTTGGAGGGTTGGGCCAGGCAGCCATGTAATACAAGGAGGACAGCAGGAACGTCTCTTGAGAAGTTAAGCCCATGGGTTCAGCATGCAGTGCAGACAAAAAGTGAGGCAAGTTCACCCAGGGAGTGATGGTTATTATCTCCATGCTGTCTTACACCTGATAGGCCACAATGAAGAACGACTTGTTAGTGTCACGACTGGCTGCTTTGCTTGTGTGAACCAGCCTCAACTCCAAGACTTAGCTCAGAGAAATGGCCAATGGCTCACTGGTAGAATGCATGTTTTGCGTGCGCAAGATCCTAGGTCTAATTCCTAGTATGTTCAGGTAGGTTTGGGGGAAATCCCTACCCTAAAGAGCCACTGCTAGCCTGTGTTGACAGTACCAAGCAACATGGACCACCGTAAGAATTGGTGAGAGGTGGCCCCCTATGCTCCTTTGAAGGTGAAAGAGGTTATTGTTTTGCGCAGAGACAACAGCTAATGAATAATGGTTTTTCAGTATCTAACAAGCAAGGCAATGTATAGTACATAACTTAAGATTAACAGAACACAAAACTGTATCTGCAAGATAATAATCTAAATAAACATATACTTGAGGTAAAGTAAGGAGGAGGAACATAAGGGAAGGACAATTAAAGGACACCAGTTAAAATCTCAGTGGAAAAGAGAAGGCTGGTAGATAACGGAGTATTTCAACTTTCAAAAAGGCTTTGACAGAAGTCTCTCAACCAAAGGTTCCTAAGGAAACTGAGCAATCACGGGGTAAAAGGATAAATCCTCTTATGGGCCAGAAACTAGATAAAAAACAGGAAGCGGAGAACAGAAATAAACTGACAACTCTCACAACGGAGGGATGCAAGAATGGAGGGAGATTCCCCCAAGGATCTCTGTTGGAACTGCTGCTTTTTAACTTGCCAAGAGAGAGACAGACAGAAAAAGTATGAGACAAGAGATCTATTGTTTGGTCCAGCTAAGGATCTGGAATCAGGAGGCATATAAAGAGGGATTAAAGAAGACAAACAGGAGCAACAGAGCACACACATTTTTTTAAACAACAACAACAACAATGGAACTTTACAGTGAACTGAAGAGAAAGGGAGCCAGAGCAGAGAGAGAAGACAAGGAGAAATGTGGTCACATTTATGAAAAGCTGCAGAGAGGGTCTCTTCCAACTCAGAAGCTGACAACTTAAGGGCTGGACAGATTTGATCTCTGCATATGGCACAGCGACTTGGAATGCAGTGGGGAAAGGGAGGCACTGGAAGGCAGAGGATCATTCTTTGGGGCAAGGGGTTTTTTTTTGGTTGATGGGGGATATATAGCCTTCTGTTCTTTCCAATGCTATGATTTTGGCTTCTCTGCTCAAAATAAGAAAAGGAATCATGTAGATGTCAGTATGGTGTGATTCAATTTCATGCTTTGTTCCCCTCTCAGGATCTGACGTGTTCCTGGTGTGGAACAGTGTGGTGGGAAGGAACTTGTATCCAATTTTTGGTAGCCGAGAGATGAATGAATCCGAGCGCTAACATTCCAGAATTTAGGACAGAAGTTTTAAGAATCACACATGAGGAAAGACCGCCCATTACACAGTTTAAAAGTGCAACCACAGATTTGTACCTGCTGTGTCCAAAGTCAACCCAAGTTGACAGGGGAAGAAGTGGCCACTCTAGATTCTTATTCTGGACAGGGACAGCCTAATTTATGTTGTCTATGCTGTGGTAATCTCTAGGTTAGATTACTGCAATGTGTTCTACACAGGGCTGTCTCTGAAGACTGTTCTGAAACTTCAGCTAGTGCAGAATTTGGTGGCCAGGTTGCTCACCAGGGCAAGGTTTGAGCATATAACACTGATCCAGTGGCACTGGCTACCAATTAGCTTCTGGGCCCAAGTGCTGGTGTTCACCTGTAAAGCCTTAAACAGCTGAAGACCGCAATACCTCAAGGACCACCTCTTTCCATATGAATCTACCTGGACCCTGAGATCATCATCCAAGGCCCTTCTTTGTGTGCCTACTCCATGAGAGGTGCAGAAGGTAGCAACAAAAGAATAGGTCCTTTCTGCAGTGGCTTCCCACTTGTGGAATGCTCTACCCAGGGAGGTTTACCTGGCGCCTTCATTATACACCTTTAGGCATCTGGCAAAAATGTTCCTCTTTAACCAGAACTTTGGCTGATTGACACCCAATGCCGTTTCAAATGTGTTGTGAGAGCGGGGGTGGGTGGGTTATTGGCTTGTTCTTGTTCTTATTTTTATTATGTATTTTTTGTTTTTTTTACTTTGCAATTTTACGTTGTGAACTGCCCTGAGATCTATGGACAAAGGGCAGTATTGAATATTTAATAAATAAAATTTAGCAGAAGGCACCTCAGTTACTGAGTTTGTTTTACACTGGATGGGGTGGACGAAAAAAAAAGCCTATATAAGTAAGTGCCCTTGGGTGGAGAAATAATAATACAAAAGCCGTTTGCATTCCTCCTCACATCATCTCAGTGTGCCAGCTAAGCTTCTCAGCTGCTTGGGAATTTTGCTGAAAGCTCTGGCTCAGCCACCCTAATAATGCGGAGGCCTTAACTCCTGAATACTAAGCATCTAGGAAGGTGAAAAGTAGAGCAGGAGGAGAGGAAGAAGAGAGACAAACCTGACGAAAGAGCTTGTGAAGTGGGTAAAGTGCTGGGGGGGGGGGAAGAATCAAAACAAACCATTAGACTCTGTTAAATATGAAGCAAGAACTTTCAGCTTGTCATAGCTGGCTGAGTAAACAGGACCGAAAGGGATTTTTTAAAGGCCTATTAAAACCAGATTAAGATCAGCAACTTGAAATAAGCAGGAGCCAGGAGCCATGAAATAAAGTAGAAGCAGGAAGTTAGCTGTTTTCTATCAGCACTTGCATTTGGGCTTGACAGTTGTATACTCTTGGCATAGTAATGCTAGGAGCAGCCCCCGCACCAATGATTCTGGTCCTGCCTCCTCTCCGTGTTCACTAGGTGTGGAAGAGACCAGCCGCAGGGGTTGGGGCTGCTTACCTTCCAGATGTAGGCATTCTGGTCACTTGAGCCGCTAATCAAGAACTGGTCATCTGGGCTGATGCTGGATTTGACATAGAAACTGGAATTTTGATGCCCACTGAAAATGGACCCTGAGATTCAACAAAGAAAACCAAACTTTCAGGATTAGTCAGTAGTTATAAACACACAGACCAATAGTGAGTCAATTTCCTGCCAGTTCACATACACCGAGGATCAGGGCCCCTTCCGTACTACACATTTAAAGCAGTATCATGCCACTTTTAAACAGCCATGGCTTCCACAGAAGAATCCTAGGTACTACCGTTCGTTACGGTTGTCAAGAGTTGTTAGGAGACCCCTATTCCCTGCCCAGAGCTACAGATGGAAGAGTGGTTTAACAATCGGTCCTGCTTCCCAGGGAGCTCTGGGGAATTGTAGCCCTGGATCTGAAGCTCTAGCCATCCCTGACTATTGGCAGTGCTGGCTGGGGCTGATGGGAGTTCAACATCTGGAGGGCACCAGGTTGGGGAGGCTGCTAGATCTTCTTGTCCGCTGAGGAAGCATCCCTTTGCAATAAAATATGAGAGGTCAAATAATACTCCCAGCAGTCTTTCGTCAACCCTTCATAATACTTCGCACCATTTAGTAAAATTTGAGCAGCCGACTTCAGAAGCGAAAGTATTAGAAGCTGGGCTTGTTTGGAAACAGCTGCGCTCAGTTAAGCAACAAGTGAAATGGTTGGGAAACTTGCTTCACTTGACACAAAGCCTACATGGAAGAAGAGCAAAGTGGAAGTTCAGCCCAAAGCTTTTCAGAAGTCATCTCCAAAAGGCTTTCGTTTCAGGCTGGGAGGGCCTTGGCTGACGGAGGGCAGGGTGGACACACAATTAAGGGAAAGCTCACACAGTCAACAGAAGCACACTCTGCCCCAAGGAAACACTGCCAGTGTCTTATTAACATTTCAGGGCAAGGGCAAGCAACCACCACAATGCAGTTCCTAACTTTTACCCACAATGAATGCTGGTGGTAACTAAATGTTTATGTATATATGCTGGATTCTGCCTGTAAGTTCAGGCATCTCATATTATGGTCTACACGCTGATCAAACAGGAATTATGCTGTAAAGTGAACGTGTGTCTGCATGGCAAAAGGTGGGCAAGTTTCAGACTTGTCAGATCCACTTTGCCTTTTACTAGCAAACTCCCCCCCCCAACTTCTACCTTCTACCAAGTATAAGAGGTGCAACAACAAAAAAAGTCACAAGAATTTTAAAAAGAGTGCCTCTGAGCACATTCTGAGTTTAGGGACTTATTTCCAAAACTGAAACTTTCACACAAAAGTCCCCATTTTTAGGAGGCTTATTTAGGTGGAAAAGGTTGTTTCGTTATTGCTACTACTGCTGAGCAACTAGGAGTCAGAAACCTGGGCCTGTCTGCAGCTCATGACCCAGAGATTGACCATTAGATCCTGATCTGCCGTCTGCTCAACCCTGCTGTACAGCCCAGGAGGCTCTTACTGTAGTCTGGCATTCCAAAACTGACAAGGATTTCACCAGCAGTTTATAATAAAACAAAATTATTTTGGCAAATGATTTATACCCTGCTTTTCAAAAGGTTTCTGGTTTGGCTTACGAAAAGATCGCAATAAAACAAATCTGACCCGCTCTTCCCTTCGCCCCAGTCAGTTACCCTATGTACTCCTTGCAGTGCAGTTTTGCTCTGCTTCTCGGTCTTCAAAGCCCCCAGTTATGGCCGCTTCCTTAAACCTCTTAGCATTCAGCACTTCTTGGATAGAGAATGAAGCTCCAGCATCTGTCAGGGAAGCTGCTCCTCTCTCACTTCCTGCCTCTGGTATCCTATTTCTCAAGGAGGATATGCACCAGCTCGGTGACACGGGTCAGTGGGCTATTTTTAAGGGCTCCGTAACAGCTCACCTGATCGATTACGCCTTGGAACTACTGCCCCAAATAGCTGTGACTCTTGGCACGTCAAAAACTGGAAGTGGCTGTCACTAATGGGGAGAGTTACGTGCAGATGCCAAGAGCTCTGGGTTGACTGTGAAGGGGGAAAGGGCGCATTCCTAGCCTTAGCATAGAACGTTACCGAGGCCTCCCTCAGTCCTGAAAGAGAAGCTCATTGCGGCACCCAATACCATAATCTGCAGCAATGGCAATACCATACATATAGATGGCAATACCATAATCTGCAGCAATAACTGACTTCAGAACAGTAAAGGTGGTAGGAGTTTCTTTGGCATGTGGATTTGACATATTGGGCTATTTGCTTCCTAACATTAAGGGAATACATACACTTGCTACCTTTGCAGTCTCCTTCCTTTAAGTACACCCAGCTGCCAGCAGCCTCTATGTTTTTCTTATACTGCTATCTCCCACCCCAGTTCCCTGCCAAGAAATAAATAAAAATCCAGGTGCCACTAGAACAATGTTATTACTACAGCCAGAAATGTATATGTCTGCACAACTGCTTAATTTAAAAAATCAAGTATTTGACTATAAATGCAGGGCTCGGGATAAGGTGTTTAAAATTGCCTTTGGCGAAGTCACCCAACACACCCAAACAAGTTCATTGGACCTAGCCAATTTTTATTAAAATTGTACAAAATTAAATTGCAGGATATAGTATGAGCTCAAATGCTTGGAATGTAGACAGACATCCATGAAAAGTTTGTCTCAGACCACATTTCCTCCAAAAGGGGATGGGTGGAGAAGAAAGTTTAACTAATTATGCTCTATAAACTCTATAGTGAAGAGACTTTAATTAGAGGAAGTACAAAAGGGAAAGTGAGCAGCACCTGCTCTTTTCCAGGCTTTCAGTATTTGCTGCTCTCTGGTGGCCTAAGAGCAGATTTTGAAGAGAAGCCACTGGCAAAAGTGGCAGAGTGAAAAAAACAAAAACAAAAACAAGAACAACTTCTCTCCATTATAATAGGATATGGAACTGAACATGGTAACAATTCACAACTATATTTCATGGGTATTTATTTAATCACTTATAACCCATTACAAGCAGATCCTCTATGGATGTGTATAGGGTGCATTATAGTAATCAAGCAAATATTTAGATTTTATGAATACAGTGGCCTTACTTCTCGGTAAATGTAGGTGGAGATAACAGTGCAGCTTTGCCAACCTGGTGCTCCCAGATGTGTTAGACTTAAATTCCCACTAGCCCCAGTCAGCAAGGAGCAAGGCTCATTGAACACTGTAGAGGTTCTTTTACAGGAAATACACATAGGATTTGACGATGTACACACACATGCCATATTTGCCTAAGCTTCATGAGCACCTTGGTTTAAGGATAATCTAGTGTGCGATATTAATCATTCTTACCTGGAGTGGTCTTTGTAGTCAACATACTGAACATGTATATATTGTCATCAGTGCAATTAGCGAATAGGCTGGTACCACTTGAGTCCAAAACAAGACTAGAATAACCTAGACGAGAAAAAAGCTCTATGTCAAATGTATGATAAACAAGTAGCTGCTTCAGAAATCTATAGAGGGAATAAATAGAAACTGCAGCAAAATGGTGCAGTGTGGAATGCTCCCATCCAGAGTCCCACCCAGCTAGCTCTCTTTTCCATTCTAGGGTCATAGCAATACTGCAAACTTCTATTCAGCGGACTGATCATTACCAACCCACACCAGCAGTTCCTCCACCTTCTCTGGATTGAGTTCCAGTTGGTTAGCATTCATCCAGCCCTTCTAAACTGAATTATGTGTTAAAGGAGTGGAGTTTGTTGATATCATGCTCCATATTCCCAGATGACCCCACTCAGAGCCTTCATGTTGATGTTGAAAAGCACAGGGCGGCAGCAATATAGATGCTATGGGGCCAAGCATCTACTGGAATCAGTCCTCCAGTAGGAACAGAACCATCAGAGTTCTGTGCCCTTAAACCCTAATTCATAAAGCCTATCCAGAAGGACACCATGGTCAATAGTACTGAAGGCAACTAGAAGATCCAGGAAAATTAGGACCGCACTCCCCACCTGGAACAGTTCATCGAAGCTGAAGCCAGATGGACAGATCTACATAATGTGTTTCACCGTAAAGTGAGAAAGCAAAGGAAGACCTGCTGTTTTGTTTTTAAGGGACTCTGGTTCCCTTCAGTTCTTCAGCACAATGCTAAGACATACCAAGCTTACGAGTGCTGGTCCCAGGGTAGCTGAAAGATCTGGATGGCACTGGATCCTGTCGATACGTGGTGTAGTTCTTGCGCAGGTCCCATACCTTGATTACGCTAAAATTCAAGAGACAGGCCCTATCAGAACTCCACAGTTCTTTCTCATTTGTAACACACATACCAAGGGGAATGGAATGTTGTGGGAGGGCGCGAGATTGGAGGTGATACCTTTTCCTTCGGAGCCCTGTGTCAAGATAAGGCATTCTATGCTCCATTGCCTCCCCCTCCCCCACCAATGACTGCATGGGTGGATATTTGCTTAAAAATGTGATCAGCTTATATGGGCACTCACAACTGAATAGGGCAATATGCTGATCCATAGTTTGCTGTATGTATGTATGCCCCCATTCCAGGACAAGGGTAAGAATCAGCTCAACCGTATGCACATAACCAAGAGCCACCACCTATTTCCTCCCCATCTCCTTTTATCTCATTAGGTAACTTTTTTACTTTCCTGGTAAAAAAATTTACTTGTGGTAAAATGCATCCCCGCAGGGAAATGAGGGAGTTTTTCCTGAGCGAACTCAAAATTGAGGACACATATAGCAAAGGAGCAGTGTTTATTCCAAATTGGCTTTCCATCTTTGCCCATCACCTGTAAAATACAGCTATATTTCTTACTTGTTTTTTGTTGTTTTAGTACCAGATGGGCTTGATGTGGGACAGGAGCTAAGGAGGGTTTATTAAAGAATTGCCGCAATTGCTTCCTTACCCATCAACTGCCCCAGCTGAGATTAAGGTGTGTTCATCTTGAAGTAGCACCACTGTCACACTCTGCTGAAAATCCTAGGGAGAAGGAAGAAATTCTGTCTGAAAACCACAGAAAAGTTATGCGAGGTAGTTTCAGCCTTGATTTATCCTAAACATTCCCTGTAAACAGCTTCATTAAGCAGCTTCTCCTTGCTCCCCAATTGCTGCCCTAATATTAACAGAAGGTGGAAACCGAGGCCATGAAGTGGCATAGATGGGATATGCGTTCATGCCCTGAAGCCAGTGATATTCCTACTTATTAACTGAAAGGACATTCCTCTTCCCCCAGAGAAAAACATTCCTCTTCCCCCAGAGCTTTGGCTGATTAAACAACCTTTTAAAACTGTGTCTGAGGGGGGTATTGTTTTGCTTGTTATTTCTGTTTCGATATTGTAAACCGCCCTGTGATTCCCAGATGAAGGGTCGCAAATAAATTTACTAAATAAATAAACAGCAAAGGGGAGAGTGCTACAAATTCAAGATATACGTATGCATATGTATACAAGTGGTGTGTGATGCTGCCTGCGGGTGAATGTTCTGTAAGGTATACATGTGTGAGAAAGCACTAATACACATGGGGAAAATGAAAGGAGAAAAGTTTGTACACCAGACTGTGTGGGCACTAATTTGGAGAAAAGCCTAACAGAATAGTCTGGTGAAAACAGTGGATTTTTGTTTTTTTTATCTCTTGCTGGAAGCAAGGCTAGCTATTGATAGAGGCTCATGTGGACCTATTTGATTCAATTCGCTCACTCCTCGCCCCCACTCTCTAGTATTTACAACGTCCACAGTTTATTTTCAAGCCAAGGCAAAGCTCAACCTTATGCAGCAGAACATTCTATAAAGCTAGTCTCTTTTCTTTGCACAAGCGGGCGCTGAATGGCCTTCAGCTTCCAAATCCTTACCACTGAGGGAGCAAGTCCTCTCACATTCTGCTTTTTCTTCTTTAGTTTGGATGGAGTCTGCTTGTCTACTATGTTGTGGGCCCCACTTATTTGCTTCACCTGCCTGTAAAATCCATCTGAAAGGCAATTTCAAGAAACAATATTAAAAGGACCTCCGCTGCATGGCAGTTCCACACAGAGAATGAGCTCGTAAATAAACTAAATTGGAAGGCTACAATCACACCATTACAAAGGGGGGAAAAAGTCAGCAATCATTATGAATGCTGCACTCAGCCCATATTAAGTGAACAGACCTGAATTATAATAGGATGTACCTTTCTTATTGCACCGTGTGTCCCAAACCATGATGTTTCCATCCCTTCCTCCAGTACAGAACACAGCTGTGGAATATACAGTGCAAAATTATTAATAATATTTCTATTCTGCCCTTCATTCACGGATCACAGGGCAGCTGCACATATACAAAAATATGTAACATAGTAACAAGCAAAAAACAGTATCTCCTTCCTGCTGTTTAAAAGACCATTGACTGAGAAGAGAAATAGAAGAGAAACATTTTTACCAGGCACCTAAAGTTATGTAATAAAGGCATCAGGCAAGGCTCCTTGGGTAGGGCATTCTCCAAGCGAGGAGCCACTGCAAAAAGGGCCCATTCTCGTGTTGCCACCCACCAGACCTCTCACAGGCAGAAGATGAACCTCAAATGATTGTGGGGTCCAGGTTGGTTAATATGAAGAGACACAGTCCTTGAGGTATGACAGTCCTGGGCCATTTAATACTCTCAGAGTACAAAATGGTACTCTCAGTTTGAAATACTGAAACATTTTTCATATGCCACCCTGCAATTTAATTTAAACTCGGTAATTATTTAGGAGGTATTCTGCATAGAAACTTGAGGTTTAGGAAACTTGTTGTTACAAGGAATCTCTAATTCTTTTAACATCAAGTTTTGGCTCTGGACTCTATGACATCTCTATTTTCTGTTCCTTCTCCTGCACCAAGCACGGGGCAGTAGGAGTCCTGTTTAGATGGCTGAGAAAGACTCAAAAAACACATTGAGGAGCTAAGCTGGAATCACTGCCTTTTCACTCACCAAAGCTCTGAAAAGGACACAATATCACCACAGATGCAAAGGCATCAAAGGCTGCCAACATACCTAGATGTACCAACATGAGACTTCTACCCCATTTATGCAGGACTAGCCACAATCTCATCTATTCAAAGGAAAGCCAAGGATTTCCAAACTTTCCTGGTAACACTGGAGCAGCTTTTTAAAAACCTGTGATAAATCCATAGAAAGACTATAACTCAGTGGCAGAAAGCAAGCTTTGCATGAAGCAAGTATCAGGCTCATTTCCTGGCATTTCCAGTTAACAGGGTCAATTAGCAGATGACCTCAAAAGTGGCGAGATATACTGAAATATAAAATAGGAATATTTACCCCTTTCAAATTTAGAGAAAGCAACCGACTTGAGGCTGCACTGGTGCCCTTTGCAGACTCCCAGTAGCTCACTAGTCCGTACATCCCAGACTTTTGCAGTTTGGTCTCCTGAAGCGGTAACCTTAAAAGATAAAGAAGTTAGCTAATCATTGTAGTTAGAAAAAAAAAGAAGAAGGCAGAGTCCTGTTGCCCTCCAAGACTATAGCTTGTATTGGCATGAGCTTTTGAAGGTAAAACATGTTTCCTTTCAGCATAAAAGACACTCTTGACACTCTCAGTGCAAACCTATGGGTGTTTACTCCAGCAAGTTCAAAGGGACTTACTCCCAAGTCTGCATATGATTGCAGACTTAGAAGGTGGCAGCAGCAATATGACTCAGATATGAAAGTGGAAGTTTCAAAGGTAACAGAACCACAAATAACCAGGCCCCGATTTTGCAATTACTAGACCTAAGTTAGTTATGTAAATTTCAGTGATTCTACTCTGAATGGTACTGAATGCACTGTGTAAAACATACATACATTATAAGTTGTTAATTTTATATGCAGCTGCTGGGTCAAAGCATGGGATCTAAACTATTACTGTAAAGGCATTCTGTAAACAGAGAATCAATCATGAATTTTAGGCAAACTGCAAGATACAGAATTGGATTCATTCATGGATACTGCCCCTTTACATTTTTTAAAGAATGGCTAACAAGGTCAGCAGATATCCAAAAGGTTAAAAATGCCCCCTACTAATGGCCATCTTCTGTACATTTCCATCTTTAAGAATCCACTTGTGGACAATTCTTTGATAGATTGCCTCCTTTGGCCTATGAAACAACAGAACACAATAATTTACCTGCATATCAGGTAAACCAACTTTTGAAAGTATGAGTGAGGTTACTGGGTCTACTAGTGATCTTATCATAGAAGAGACGGAAAGAACACTGGAATTTGTGACGGCACATATAAAGGGCCAAACAAGGAAGGGATAGTTTTAGCTTACTCACAATTTTATGTTCTCCAGGCACCCAAGCAATATCAAAAACAGCGTTTGAGTGAGCCTGCCACTCTATTGGGAAAATAAAAGCCTGTGTTAGTTCCAAACAAACAGCTGTTGAAAAACACTGAAACAACTACAATTTACAGTATTGTGTGCACATAACTTTCATACAAACACAACTTCCTCTGTGGTAGAGCGGTTAGCAGGAAGAAACCCCAAGCACAGAGCAATGCATATAAGGTATGAAGGAGGTGGCAATTATCCTCTCAAGTTTTGACTTTCCATCAACCAAGTAAGAAAGCAGTAATGGAAGCAGACATAAGAATTACAACGAAAGGTATGCTATGCTACTTTTTAAATACTGAAGTTCTTGTTCCCAATATCTGCCAATTATTTAATCAGTCAAAACACTTTTTTTGTTTACTGCCTTTATCAACTAATTCAGCTCATAGTTCCCATCAAGGTTTCCCTTTTACCTCTAAAAACCCCCTTGTTTTGTGTATGGGTGTCGTAGAGCCTAACAAATCCTTCTTCATTTGCAACGGCAAGTACATGCTGCACATCTGGAGCTGGAAAACAAAGCAGTATTTGTACGTTTGAAAACATTTTTAAAAGTGCTTTGGATAACACTCCACTAAAGAGGGTGCAATCTAACAGCACAAAATGTCAGGATAAAAATGTTAAGTAATCACAGAACTAAAGTAAGAACATATATAAAATAATGTATCACAGCCTTGTTATTTTATTATATGGCAGCATAGATATACTTCTATAAATAAGCAATCATAAAGATTGGTGTGCATCTGTACTGGAATTGTTATAAACATGTTTTTATTGCTAGTTGTTTTACCACCTTGGTTTCATATGGGAGGTAGAATGGGATATAAGTTTAATAATAAATAAATAATAAATATAGCCCCTGCAGATTTATATGAAAGGCCCAAACATTACAGTATAACCTTTCTTCACAGAGGAGTTGCTCTAGGCCCTTGATCATTTCGGTTGCCCTTTTCTGCCACATTGCAATGTTTACAGATAAAATTCCCCCATACCTGTTGAAAAGGTGCAGCCAAAAGGAGGAACAGGCATTCCTGTTTCTCCATATGAAGCATGTTCATCTCCTTTAGTACACTGATAGCACTCCAAAAGGTGGTTTAAGGAAAACCTTGGTGGAAGACCTGGGAAAAAATGATTTTTGTAAAGATAAGCAGTGTTCAAAACTCAGATATACAAGGTAGGAGCCAAATGGCTTCTTAAACCAGGTTACATTACTAGGTAATGCCTAGTTACCATGTTTTGGGCCAGGTAGCTTGAAAATTGTATTTTTCAATACAATTTTTTGTTTCCTGAAATTAATTCTGATTGTGCAGATAAAGTATAATGGATAGAATTCTACAGCAAAGAACTGAAAACAGTCAAGATCCAAGGATCCCCAGGCATGCACCCCCAGACGGAGGAGATGTCAGATGACATCCTGGCACACGGGCATCTTCACTTGGTTGCAAGTGGCCGATTGCTGCTGTTTAGTCGTGTCTGACTCTTCGTGACCCCATGGACCAAAGCACGCCAGGTATTCTTGTCTTCCACTGCCTCCCACAGTTTGGTCAAATGCATGTTAGTAGCTTGTTAGTAAATGGCCAATAGCCATGTGCAAAATGCCTGACGATTTTGAATGCTGAAGGTAAGTACCAAAAACTCTGCAAACAAGTTTATAAAACTGCAGCTGACATTTATGCTGTCCTCAAATCTACTGTTTCACTGGTTCTGAGCATCATTCAGATGGTCCATGGCACGTCCACGTTAAATACCGTATTTTTCGCCCTATAGGACGCACTTTTCCCCCTCCAAAAATGAAGGGGAAATGTGGGTGCATCCTATGGGGCGAATACAGGCTTTCGCTGAAGCCTGGAGAGCGAGAGGCTCTCGCTCTCCAGGCTTCAGGAAGCTCTGCGCGACCCTCTGGAGCCCGGTGCCAAGCCGCAACGCCTCCGGAGGGTCGCGCAGAGCTGCCTGCCCTCCCGGGGTCCGTTCTGGGGGCTGGGGGCTCGGGCTTCCCCCTCCCCCAGCCGCGCAAGCTGCCAGAGCGATGCCGAAGCTGCGGGCAGCTTCTGCATCACTCTGGGACCCGTTCTGGCTGTTCTGGGGTAGCTCGGGCTTCCCCTGCCCCAGCCCCGCGCCTGGGGGGGGGGAATAATTTTTTTCCTTTATTTCCCCCCCAAAAAAACTAGGTGCGTCCTATAGGGCGAAAAATACGGTAAGTGTATTGATTATTAATTGTATTTTATTGCTTCTTTTATTTATTATTTAATATCTCCACTGACTGATTTCTGATACTGGACACTCCAAGATCGGTTAAACTGTTGTCTGGAGTGAAATAGTGGAGGGGGAGGGGAGATGAGGAATCAAGAGCGCTGCATGTTAAGAGCAGATTCCCCTGCTTAGTTTTGAAGCTCACTGGGTGATCTTGTGGCAAGGCTTGCCCTGCATGGCATAAAGTATAAGAAAATGTGGAATTAAAAATGGATACAACTTATTTATTAAATTGATACACTGCCCTTCATCCAAAGATCACAGGGTGGTTTACAGCATAAAAAATACATGAAAACACATAAAACAAACGACAAGCACATTTAAAAGGCCACTGATTGTTTAATTAGCCAAAGGCCTGGGAGAAAAGGAATGTTTTTGCCTGGTGCCTAAAGACATGTAGTGAAGGCACCAGGTGAGTATCCCTGGGGAGAGCATTCCACAAATGGGGAGCCACCACAGAAAAGACCCGTTCTTGTGTTGCCACCCTCAGATCCTCTCGCAGAGGCACCCGAATGATTGTAGGGTCCTGGTCGGTTCATATGGAGAGAGGCAGTCCTGAGGCTTCAGAGTTCAAACCCGCACCTTGAACTGGGCCCAAAAACTGGCAGCCAGTTGCTGTCGCAACAGGATTGGTGTACAGTAGTACTTCGGGTTATAATAGGCGCTTCCAGTTACAGGCTCCGCTAACCCAGAAATAGTACCTCGGGTTAAGAACTTTGCTTCAGGATGAGAACAGAAATCGTGCTCTGGCGGTGCAGCAGCAGCAAGAGGCCCCATTAGCTAAAGTGGTGCTTCAGGTTAAGAACAGTTTCAGGTTAAGAACGGACCTCCAGAACGAATTAAGTTCTTAACCTGAGGTACCACTGTAATTTGCTCCAGTTGTCTTGCCCTGGTGAGCAACCTGGGATTAAGTTCTTAACCTGAGGTACCACTGTACAGTGGTACCTTTGGTTAAGAAGTAAATTCGTTCCAGAGGTCCATTCTTAACCTGAAGCACCACTTTAGCTAATGGGGCCTCCTGGTGCTGCCGCGCCACAGGATCACGCTTTCTGTTCTCATCCTGAAGCAAAATTCTTAACCCGAGGTAATATTTCTGGGTTAGCGGAATCTGTAACCTGAAGTGTATGTAACCTGAAGCGTCTGTAACCCAAGGTACCACTGTAATTTGCTCCAGTTGTCCTGGTGAGCAACCTGGCCGTTGAATTCTGCCCCAACTGACGTTTCCCAACCGTCTTCGTGAGGCAGCCCCAATCAAAAGGGGGGCTCAAGGCAGCACTCGAATTAAAAGGGACGCAGAAGGGGCCTGACCCGCTTTCTGCAGAGGGAAAGCGCTTGGTTTGGCCAAAATTAGGGTGAGGGGTGAAAAAAGGGGCTGTATCTCCCTCCCCCCCCCCCCGCCATGACTGGAGGCTGGTGAAGCGGCGCAGAGGGAGATGTTGCCTCGGATACTCACCCTGCGGCCCAGCCTGGCAGCGGCGAACGAGAGAACGGCACAGCATGGTAACGACGGCCGCAGCGCACACTCCTGCCCTTTCCCCGCGCAACGACCACCGGGAACAGACGAGCGGCCGGCCCCCTGCTTCGCGACGCTATCTCCCGCCAGCCCAAAGTACGCGCCAAAGTCGCCTCGCGCGTGGCCATTGGACAGCGCAGAAGAATAGACCCCGCCTCCTGCTCGTCATTGGCTTCTCCTTTCCCACCGGCAAGGGTGAGGCCACGCCTTCCGCCGGCTATGAAAAGTAACAGGCACCTCTCTTCTATCAACACGCATGCGCGACAGCGTCCCGCAAACTCTCACGTTTCATTCGACCGCAAAGGGAGCGCGACTACGACACGCGTGCGCACTAGAATAGCGGAGGGGAGGTTCCACCGCGCAGGCGCAGCTGGCAGCCCAGCGTCTGCACATGCGCAGTGAATGGCCGTTAAAGACTGGAAAGAGGGAAGATAAGCGCGCGTGCGCGTCTGTGTGGTGGATAAGCGCCCTCCTCCCCGCCCCCTCCGGGCCTTGGCTGCCATGGCCTCTGCTTCCAAATCCTTCCTCGCCGATGCCGGCTACGGGGAGCAGGAGTTGGACGCCAACTCCGCCCTCATGGAGCTGGATAAAGGTAAGTCGAGGAGCGGCGGCCCCGCCGCCGAGTGAGATGTGCGCATGCGCCGATAGCGGCGCGAGGAAGTCCCGCCCCTTTTGATGGACGGTGGGAAGTTTGAAGGCGGGTTTAGGTTGTGTTTAGATGGTGTCACAAGTCATGCATGGGGATCTGTGAGACGGTAAAAGCAACAGAGAGGCTTGTTGCTCTCCGTTTAACAGTGTCATCCTAGGCACGCCTGTGCAGAAGTAAGGCCCGTGGAGTTCAGTAGGTCAGGCTAGGGATGTGTGAGATTGCAGCTTTGTATTGTGGCACCTTGAGCTATAACAGCAACAGTTTTATTATAACGTATTTTATGATAGCCCATTACGTGTGGTATAATCAACCTTGGTACGCTCCATGGCAAAATCTTACACAGAATTAGATGTGTAGTGGTTGTTTAAGCGGGGCTGCCGCCCGCATTGTAACAGTCAAGGTTTCTGCCACTTAGCCATCTACAGATAAGGCACCCGAGACTAATTATCTGAACGGAATCTTGTATTTCTTCATCCCAGCTAATGCAGTGTGTCCACATGCCATGAATGAGATGCCTGCTTCTTCCATGGCTGCAGAGCTCCATTTCACAAATAACACAGTCGCCTAGTGGAATTTGTTGCTGTACTGTAACAGCTGTTATGTCTGCACAGGCAGATGTGTGCCAGATGGAATGATACCTTCCTTCCCCTGCTCTGTTCTGTGGGTTTCCCAACACCCTCCTGAGCCAGTATCGTGGGGGGGACGGACAAGGGGTGGGGGTGGGGAAATCCCTGTTGCTTAAGTGGAAACCCTTGCTCAGGGCTCTCACTGACAATGTTCGTTCAGTGAATCCTCCCCCCCCCCCATCAAAGTACTTCACATGGTTGATTGTTAAGCTACAGAATTCACATCCACACAGTATGTTTATGGCCAGCATCTTAGATGGTTTTAAAAGCAGATTAGACAAATTTATGGAGGGCACAGTTTTCAGTGGCTACTAGGCTCTGTTAGGAGGAAGGGTAGGATATAAATAAATTTAATTAAGAAGCCATTTTTAATACTTCTTCAAGCTTAAGAGGCAGTTGTGGAACACGAGCTTGGAGAGCAGTATTGTGCCTGTTTCTTGCTAGTAGGCTTCCAATAAGTACCGTATCTGGTTGGCCACTGTGGGAACACGATGCTGGACTAGGTGGGTACTTTGGTTCAGTCTAGGAAAGCTGCTTTTATATTGCATGTCAGTTTGCTTCAGTTTTTAAAAGTCCAGAGTTTTTAACTGCTGTGGTGGTATTCTTATTTGTCACAGGTCTCCGATCTGGCAAACTGGGGGAGCAGTGTGAAGCAGTTGTACGTTTTCCCAGACTCTTTCAGAAATACCCATTCCCAATTCTAATTAACTCAGCATTTTTAAAGCTAGCCGATGTTTTCAGAGTGGGGTAAGTAAAATTAGCTTCTTCCCAATTCTTAGTGTTCAAGGAACTGGTGTTTTCAATTCAAAGTACTGGCGATGACTCTTTATAGCCCCTTTATGGTTTGGTGCTAAGATACCTGAATTGCCACTTTCTCCCATATGAATGTTGCTTGCTCAGTAAGGGGGTCCTCTTGCATGTCTCAAAGATGCCCGTAGTGGATTTGGTGTTCTTTTCTCCATTCTTCTTGATCTTTCTTGTTGCATGTTTTATTTTGCCGCTTCTGGGCCTTTAAATGTTATGTTGTAAATATTTGATGTTGTTACATTGTTTGTATTTATGAACTGCTAACCGCCTTAGACCTTTTTAAGAAAGGTAGGGTACAAATGTTGTAGGTAAATAAATAAAATTTGTTTTAAAACAGAAACAACTTCCTGCGGCTGTGTGTTCTGAAAGTTACTCAGCAGAGTGAGAAGCATTTGGAAAAAATCCTGAATGTGGATGAGTTTGTGAAAAGAGTTTTCTCGGTTATTCACAGCAATGATCCAGTTGCTCGAGCGATCACACTCAGGTATGCATGTTTAATGAGCAAGAACCTGCCCAAATGCTATATTCTTCAGAGTACTGTCAATGCAGTAAATGCAGGACCAATGCACATAGGAAGTTGCCTTATACCGAGTGAGGATATTGGTTTGTGTAGCCCAGTACTATTTATTCTAGCTGCTAAAATATCTTTAGGGGTTTTTTCCATCTCTGCTAGGGAGTGAACTAGGGAGTTCCTTCACAGATGTGTTCTTTCACTGAGTTCTATCTGCCCAAGTCTTGAATTTATCTTGTTTGTCATGCATAGAATGGAATGTTCACATTTTCTTTCATCTTTACAAAACACTACCTGGATGACTGCAGATTTATCTTGTAGGCATCCTCCTCCTTTATAGCAGGTTCAATCCCTCTGTTTTATTTTCCAGGATGTTAGGCAGTATGGCATCCATAATTCCAGAAAGGAAGAATGCACATCACAGTATTCGTCAGAGTTTGGACTCACATGACAATGTAGAGGTTGAAGCTGCTATCTTTGCTGCAGCTAATTTTTCTGCCCAGTCCAAGTAAGTGGAACATCTGGTGTAATTCCATCTTTCCTGAGTGTTCAGGCAGTACTTTTCAATTGCATAATGCTTTGCCTGCATTATCTTAGTAATCCTTACAGCAGTCCTATCAGGTAGGTCAGTATTATTTTCCCCATCTTGTACATTGGAGGGCAGCCGAGTCTGCCTCAGATCACCAATTTAGTGATTTATACATTTTCATGGTTTTAAAAGATTTTTATTTCACTGTCAATCACCCTGAGAGCTAAGGTGATGAAGAGGGGTATATGTTAAGAAAATTAATAAATAGTGAGTTCAGGAAGGGGCCAAGATATAAACTAGGAGCCTTCTGGTTTGTAGCTCAGGCTGCAATTCTGTGCACATGTAGCTGGAAGCAGTCCCTACTGAACTCAGTATAACTTATTTGTGCTGTATAGGCTTGTGCTGCATACGATTATGCTGTTAGTTTTTCAGCCATTGTGCAACTCTAGCTTTCACCTGCAACTTCTCTGTATGTGTACATTTCACATTCATTTTGCTTACCCAGATGTGGGAGTTTGTTTCTGTAGTTTGTTCAGGTTGTATGACTGATTTATCCTGCTTCCCCTTCTTGTTCTTGACAGAGATTTTGCTGGAGGGATTTGTAACAAAATCAGTGAAATGATTCAAGGTATGTACATTTTATCCAACAAATAATGAAAAGCAGTAAAAAGATTTTGATTTTGTTAAGGGCTATTGTATCTTAAGTAACTATTCTTTTGAACTAACCATTCTTTTCTTTTAAAAAAGTGAGTCTTTTTAGTTGTTGGAAGTTGCCCCTGCGTTCAGTTGCCCCTTAATTTGATGCTCAATTTCAATACTTGGTGTTAAGAATGCTTTTTCTGTCTTCTTTCCATAGGATTGGACTTTATTTTGATCTGGCATGCAGTGTTTTTAATGTTGTCTGTTGAAAGCGTAGTACCTTATTTTAGAAGGTGGTGCTATGCAATAGAAACTTTCTTTGACATTTTCATTTATTTTTCAAATGTTGGTTAAATGATGTGAGTAGCTATGTGGGAAAGCAGCAAGATGCTGAGCTGATTTGGACTTGAATATAACTAGCATTGGATATTGTCTTTTTAAAATTGTCTAGATGAATCTAGTATTTAATTTCACACTTAAGTATTTGTATTATTTGTTAGTGCTATATGAAGTGATACCTGTGTCCATGGTGTGTAGTAGAGTGCCATAAGCAAAAATGACAGGTCTGCACTTTGAGGAGCTTATAGTCTAAATTTCAAGAGGAGTGGAAGGGATTTTTAAAAATAATAATAACCCAGCTGCATAGTCCTTGTTCTGTGACTCTAGTACTGAAACTAGTCATATTTTATTTTTCCCCAGAGCTCTCAATATTGACATTTTATCATAGGCACACCACATGTCACCCTGAAAGGTATTTTTCTTTTCATGTACTAGGTTTAGCCACTCCTGTAGACTTGAAGCTGAAGTTGATCCCCATCCTGCAGCATATGCATCATGATGCCAGCCTGGCCTCCAGTGCCCGCCAGTTACTCCAGCAGCTGGTGACATCCTACCCTTCTACCAAGATGGTCATTGTTACTTTACACACCTTTACCTTGCTTGCTGCCTCCTCTTTGGTGGACATTCCCAAGCAGGTGATATTTTCTTTGAAGTGCTTAGTGTACTCAAGTAAAATTGTCATGGTTCAGTTGAAGGGATCGTATTCAGCAAGACTTCATAGGCTTCATCAGGCCTTTCCTAAATATTTCAAGCCTATCTTGGAGTCGTAAGAACTTGCAAATTGTGTTTTTTAATTTTTAGGGGGGAAATATATTAACTAAGATTTTTAGGTAACTCAAGGTCTGTAGCACATTTTGTGTCCATACTTCATTTGTGCAAGATTGCAAAATATCCAGATCCTGTCTGCTTAGATGGTATCATGGTGAGTTAAATCTACAGAGCCATCGAAAGCTGTATGTAATTAAGAATTTTGATTGCTTGTTGAAGTTTCTTAAAGCTTTAAGGTTATCTCCGAATGTGCCCATGACAGAAAGCTATTTGTTCCAGTGGAGGCTTCCATTTGTGGAAAAGTGGGGGTGATTTTTATTTATTTGCCCTTCTTTCTTTTGCTCTTCCTTGCTTGTGCAAGGCATCTTTTGGAACAGTATGTTGGTGGTTCAAGGAACTGCAAGAGAGAGGGGGAATTTATGAAAAATCTCCTCTTCCTTTTGGTTAATTGAAGCCTCTGCTGAATCAAGGAGCTTTCCATCAATGGAGGGACTCAGAATCAACCCTTCATGTTCAGGCTTCTCTTTTTATTTGCTTGTACTCACATGCATGTTGAGAAATACAAGAAAGTAGTCAAAAGCAGTTTAATCTAAAACTTGCTTTCTTACAGATACAGCTCTTATTGCAATACTTGAAGAATGACCCAAGAGAGGCTGTGAAGAGGCTTGCTATTCAAGATCTAAAGTTACTTGCAAATAAAACCCCACATACATGGAGCAGAGACAATATTCAGGTATTGTAAATGCTATTATGCTTGTTTTCGAACTGAGCCACTAGGCCTTCTTTAAGATAAGACCCGTCGAACTCTTTGTTGTTGACTTCCAAGTAGATCTGCTTAGCATCACGCTCCAGGTGTAGGTTTCTATTCATCATTTTAGAGATGTAACTTTTCATTTAAGAGCTGATTTACCCACCATGTTTTATAAATAATAGACAAAGCTTCTAACATTCTACTTGGAGAAACCTCCCATCACTGTTCCTATACCCTGTAGCATCTCTCATAAAGTGGTGATTCTTCATCATACTCCTCAGGTGCTAAGGTAGCAAAGCTCTGTGCGAGGATTGAAGAACAAGGTGATGAGGTTTCCAAATGTTGCTGGCCTATGGGTCTCATCACCCCTGACCATGTTGAGTGGGACTGTTTTGAACCCAGTAACACTGGAGGGCCACATTCACCAAGATCACTTCACTAAGAGTAACAGTAAATTGATTTCTGTAACAGTACATTGAGTTTACTCCAGTTTTTTAAATGTATGGTTTTTATTGTATTGTATTTTGGTATTTGCTTCTCTGTCGTTGCTTTGTGAGCCATTCAGAGAGCTCCTGTTATGGGGCAGTTATATAGGTAAAAGGTATAGGTACCCCTGCCCGTACGGGCCAGTCGTGTCCGACTCTAGGGTTGTGCGCCCATCTCACTTAAGAGGCCGAGGGCCAGCGCTGTCCGGAGACACTTCCGGGTCACGTGGCCAGCGTGACGAAGCTGCTCTGGCAAGCCAGCACCAGCGCAGCACACGGAAACGCCGTTTACCTTCCCGCTATAAAGCGGTACCTATTTATCTACTTGCACTTAGGGGTGCTTTCGAACTGCTAGGTGGGCAGGAACTGGGACCGAAGACAGGAGCTCACCCCGCTGCGGGGATTCGAACCGCCGACCATGCGATCAGCAAGCCTTAGGCGCTGAGGTTTTACCCACAGCGCCACCTGCGTCCCTATATAAAAGGAGCCAATAAATAAAAATAATAAACCAATCATTAGCAATTGGTAAGCAGTCTAGAGTAAGGCACCCACAGATCACCACCCACTTGTCACTCAGTCTTATAGCAGATTAAAAGCAGCCTTTTAGCCTTAGCCAGACATAACTGGTTTCAGGAGTACAAGTGTTACTAGAAATGTACTTTAGCTTTGGTGTTAATTTGTGTCTTGCCTTTTGATGGGAGTCCCCACAAGCAGCCCATGACATTAGTAAAATACAAGAGGAAGACGTGTGCTTTGGTGTCTTTGCCCTGCTTGTATCCCTTTTTTATGTTTATTACCCGTACGTGTCAAAAATATGAACAAGTATGGTCAGATAGCAGTAGTAGAGAGATACAGAAACCTGCTAGGATGGAACTTTTTGGAAAACCATTTCTGCCGGGAAAGGTTTACTTGGAAGAAATGAAATGAGAATTTGTGAGGATTCTGGTGATTGGTTGCTTGGACTATAGGGAACTCCAAGCTTGCTTTGTCTTAGGAATCCAGGGCTCCTTTGCATTGTGTGTGTGAGGCAGGGGGCAGAGGCTCAAATCTCCAGGCAATTCATTCTTGTTCAGTTTTGCATTCTTGCCTGCTCCCTTGATCCCTGCCTTCCTTGATACCTTGCCCTTCCTAGAGCTGGAACCTAGGACATCAGTGTATTTTCCTGGAGTATTCTTCTATAAAGATTACAAGCTTTCCTTGGGAGCACCAGCCTGTTTGTGTTGTTTTGAGAAAACCTTTGATTCTAGGGCTGGGGCCTGCCAGCAAGCCCTTGACAGAACTGAATTTTGCAAGATAGAGAAGTGCTTTAAAAATGCTTCCCTGGGGCAGTGTCAGAGCCTTCTGGTGCGTATTGCTCACACTGAGCCATTAAGACATTATGTTCCTTAACATTTGCAGGGGTTGTACAGAAAGTGGGCAAGGCAGTATGATTTGTGGTGTGTCTGCGCTTGGATTCCTATGTATGGTTCTGGCTGCCTCGCCTCAAAAAGTTGTACAGTTGGGAAAGGTTCAGAAAAGGACAACCAAGATGATCAGGAGGATAACTCCCTTCTTAGGAAAGGTTGCAGCATTTAGAGAAATGACATGATAGAACTTTGAGCATGGCATGGAGGAAGTGGGCAGAGAAAAGTTTTGCTCCTACAAGAAGTAGTGACAGCTATAGACAAATTCATGGAGGACAAGACTATCAATGACTACTAGCCTGTATGATCTACCTCCACTGTCAGAGGCAGTATGCTTCTAAATACCAGTTGTTGGGAGTTGCATGTGGGGAGAGGGCAGTTGCATTTGGGTCCTTCTTGCAGGCTTCTCATGTGCATCTGGTAGGCAACTGTGAAAATTATGGGGTAGGTGGGCCCTTGACCTGATCCAACAGAGATCATCCTCATTTTGGTGCAGATTTGCTTTGCCCAGTGGTCTCCCATACTATATTCCAGAGTTGCATCACAGTTCAATGCAGCCAGCCACCTTCCCTTCCCTGGACTTACGCATTCATGGGTGCATCGCTGAATTTGTCACAGGAAAGCAACTGAGCCATTTATCTTTCTCAGAATGGAATTTTCACCCTGCTCTTAACAAATTCACCTTGTCAGTTTCTGTGTAAGTTCTGGTTCCGCCTTTATTCTGATCAGATCTTTAATAAAGAGTTTTGATGGATTGCCTAGTTAACAAATGAATCAATTTTTTTCCCCCAAATGCAGCTTTTGATTAAATTTTTACTCCGAATTGACTTTTTCTTATTTGGTAAATTAATGAAAAAATGCAGCGAGCCATGCAAAAACATGTCAGCAGCTTCAGATGGCTTGACACATCATAAATGATAGTGGGGCTTAGGCAATTTGAAGAGAGTTTAGTTGTTGTCCAAATTATCCTTTATGTGCAGCCAGCTAGAAGTGGCTGTTTCCCACTTACTTGTCTGTGAGCTGCCCCCACCCCACCCCACCCCAAACTATCTGCTGAGCTGCTGTATTGTCACAGCATGTTCACAACTATTCAGGAAAAAGCTGGAGCTTTGGAGCATCTTCTGTGAAGGAAGTAAAAGGTCAATTTGGCTAGAAAAAAATCCCACTTGGAGCTTAGAGACAGAAGGTGTTAATTGTGTGTTTTGGGGGGAGGGAGAGACTGAGACATGGGTGCTGGGAAGCAGGAAGGCTTGGAAATTGTCTGAAAAAGGCCAAGGACCTACAGAACAGAGAGTTCAGAGGGAGAGTAGCTGAAGCAAGGGCAGAATAAGAAGTGAGCTGACAAGTAGCGTGGGGCCTACGGATGAAGGAGGCCAAGTCTGAAGTTAAATTAAGAGGGAAATGAAGAAAGGGGAAGCTTAACCTAGGAAGCTGCCTTATCCTGAGTCAGACCATTGGTCCATCTAGCTCAGTATTGTCCACACTGACTGACAGCAACACTCCAGGGTTTCAAGGCAGGGGTCTCTCTTAGCTCTACTTGGAAATGCCAAGCATTGAACTTGGAACCTTCTGCAACCCAAGTAGATGTTGTACTACTGAGCTACCACCCTTCTCCTCCTTTTTTAAAAAAAATATTTTTATTGGTTTTTAACATACAAAATTATAAAACATACCACACAATTTATCACAAATATATTCTTATTGGACTTCCATCAGCACCTCTGATAATCCTCCGTTTTAATCACTTCTTACGCATTTCCTAACTTAATATTGCCTTTACATCTCTTTAACATATCCCATCTCCTTCTCCATTTTTGCAATATTTCTAATATTATTCCTCACAGAACTTCTTGCAAACCTACAAACGTCATCTGGTCGTCACAAATACTTTTCAAATAATCTGTAAATTTACTTCAGTCCTCGGTAAACTTCTGGTCCCGCCTGTTTCGGATCCTTCCTGTTAGTTTGTCAAGTTCCGCATAGTCCATTAATTTCATCCTCCATTCTTCCATTGTTGGTAATTCGGCTTGCTTCCATTTTTGGGCCAATAGCATTCTTGCTGCTGTTACTGCATATAGAAAAAGCTTACATTCCTTTCTATTTATATCGTTTCCAACAATACCCAAGAGAAATGTTTCTGGTTTCTTTATAAATGTATATTTCAACATTTTTATCAACTCATTATATATCATCTCCCAGAAGCATTTCACCTTTTTACATTCCCACCACATGTGATAAAATGTTCCCTCTTTTTCCTTACATTTCCAACATTTATTACTGACTTTATACATTTTTGCTAACTTCACTGGTTTAATATACCATCTATACATCATTTTCATCACATTTTCTTTTAGTGCATTACATGCAGTAAATTTTGAGCCTTCCTTCCATAATTTCATCCCATCACTCAACTGTATGTTATACCCAAAATCTTTGGCCCAATGAATCATAACCGACTTAACCTCATCTTTCAAGTGCCATTCAAGCAGCAATTTATACATTTTGGACAAATTTTTTAAATCATTATTCAATATCTCTTGTTGAAACTTCGATTCTTTTTCATAAAAACCTTTTTCTTTAAAGTCTTGTTTAAACATTTCATTGACCTGATAATAATGTAACCAATCATTAACATACTCTTTCACTTCATATGGTTTCAATTTCCATTTTCCTCCTTCTCTAATTATTAATTTCCCATATGTACCACCCTTCTCCTTCAGCTGGAGGCAAACCTTACACAGGACCCAAGGACAAGGAGAGCTTTGTGGTGTTTGGATGAAAGGAATTTGGAAACTGAGGGGGTCACGGCTAGGGATCTGCACAGCAAGTTCAAGAGCTGGCGTGTGCCTTTGAACTAACCGCCCAAGTCTCTAGCTGTAGGCCTCTCATCTTGTAAACATTAGAGCATTTGTTGGGACAGACTACCTGTTTAGATGAGCACTGTTTTCATTTTGTTCTATTCTTCCATGGCTAATGATGTGAAACGAAGGTACATGTCAGCTGCAGTGTTCTTTAATATGGTTTTCTTCCTTTCAGCCATGCTCAGTGATGCGTTGAAACGTTCTAGCAAGAGGTGTTGTGATACAGACAGATGGTGGTATTTTAAATCTCTGCTATTTTCAGTCTAAAGTCAAAGGCTGGAGAGAGAAATAATTGGTGGTGCACCTTCTGCTGACAACCCTGTTTTGCTCTCCCTCACGGCATTGAATTCTGTCAGGTGCTCCTGCTCTGTTCTGCAGAACATTTTGATGGCTCCTGATCCCAAGATCAGGACACAGTACAGTGTGACTTGGCTCTTGTTTCAGTTGTCATTGATCAGAAGTGTTCTGCTAATACTGTTTTGCATGTAAGCCAGACTAATTCTACTCAAGGTCTGTCCAGAAGAACGAGGTGGGGAACAATGTCAAAACATGTGGGATTTTAGCACTTTGTAGAACTGTTTAAATTTACATCTCGTTCCTTGGCCTCTGTGGTAACTTCTGTCTCTTACATCATGGATTTTGGCAAATTGGATTTTAAAAAGGGAAAATAATATTAGAATTGGAGCTATCAGCAATGCACAAGGGAAACTGTTTTAGCGCTCTGGAACTTGACAAAGTCTTTTATATTATGGATGGATGTTCTGTATTATTTTATTAATACTATTGCCTAATACGAGTTTGTCCTGGCATTCGACTGGAACAATAAGCTTAAGAAAGGAACTGAGTGCAAATACTGATGCAAGTCTTGGAAAGCTGGATTTTCATTTTATTTTGGTTAATATGAAGAGTTAACAAAGAAAGGGTCATGAGAAAATGAAAACACACGGGCTGAATATGTGGGATATGACATGCTCTATTATTTGAATGTGCTGCTGAGTGCTGAATTTGAGCTAGGGTTCAAAGCTGAGCAAATATAACCAGCTCCCATAGATCTGGGAAGAAAGTAGGGCCTGGGCAATTTGATTTTGTATCTGTGACACGGAAAGAGGGATTCCTGCCTTTGGTCACTATTCTGAAGATTACTAAAGATTTATATCACTCTTGCAAAATGTCAATAATGTGGTTTCCTAATAAAAAACTAGAGGAAGTGGTGGGAAAGTGTGAAAGATGACTGCAAGTCTTTAACTTTCCTATAAGGTGTATGCTGACTGATGAGATCAATGTAGTATGGTACTGTATTACCTATTTTAGAAGACAATGGCAAACTGAGTGATTTACAGTGGTACCTCAGGTTAAGTACTTAATTCATTCCGGAGGTCTGTTCTTAACCTGAGGACCACTTTAGCTAATGGAGCCTCTTGCTGCTGCTGCACCGCCAGAGCACGATTTCTGTTCTCATCCTGAAGCAAAGTTCTTAACCTGAAGCACTATTTCTGGGTTAGCGGAGTCTGTAACCTGAAGCGTATGTAACCTGAGGTACCACTGTATTTAGCTTTAAACACTCTAGGGGCACAATCAAATTTCATTTTCGTTTTCTCTGTAATTTCTGGTTGTGCATGAATGGAACTCTTTTTCTTTGTGCATGGAAGTTCCAAAAGGCTAGCAAAATATTGGGAGTTTTTTCTGTCCAGCGTGTTGTGATGAAAGGAACAAATGTAATTTCTTTAGAGAGTTCTGTTAAGCACTGGAGCATTGTGTAGCAATGGCAAGGAAATTCATTAATGAATTGGAGGGGTTCTGTTGATGGGTGTAACATACACAGTTCCATTTAAAACAAAAACAAACCTGGTCTTTCCCCCTTGCCTTAGTTGGACACTCGACACTTTGTTTGTTTTCTGCATATTGAAAATCTGACTGTCTTCAGAATTCTATTTTGTTCTTAAAGCTTTCCTTTCTCACGGGGGTGGGTGAAACTTTGAAATACACAGGCGCTATCTGCTGAAAAGCCAAAATTAGAACAGATTTGTCTGTGACTTCTTTTGGCCTGCATACTTTCTTCTCCTTCCCCACACATCTGTCTCTTCTATTAATCTTGCCACTTCCTCCTCCTGCCCTATTTTTCCTTTCTTCCACATCCAATCTCTACTCATGCATCATTAATTCTGTAAAAATCCAAAAATGACAGCTAAATCCCATAGTGTATAATCATAGAATTTAGAGCTGAAATGGCCCTTGGTGGTTATCCCTTACAAGAGAAGACATTGTTCCTGTGCCTAAATTGCTCCAGAAAATGAGAGCTGGTCTTTCCCTCTATCAAACAGCTCTTTGCATTAGGAAATGTTTTTCCTCTGATGTTTAGCTGAAATTATGTTCCTTGCCATTTCAAAACCTATTAGTTTAGGTCCTGCCCGCTGGAGCAACAGAGAACAAATCTGCCTTCTCCTCATTGGGCAGCCTTAGGCGAGATGCTTTCTCTCTTTCTCAGCTCCCCAACCTACAATATTGAACAGCTTTATAGGGTTATTATAAGGACTGCTGAGATAATGTGTGTGAAGAATTTTGAATACCCAGGCCTTATACAATTGCCAAGTATTTAAGGTTACTAATAATTCCCCCCCTCCCCCAATGCAGGTACTTTGCATCCTCAACCAGGAATCATAAAGTTATTATTATTTACTATTATTATATATTAATTTCTGTTATGTAAATGTTATGTATGCATGTGAATCAAGCGTGATGAACACATGTTAATAATTTTTAATTCTTTTTCCTTCCTTGTACTAAAATTGTCCTATCTCCTGGCTTTTAGGCACTATGTGAATGTGCTCTTCAAACTCCTTATGACAGTATGAAACTAGGCATGCTATCTGTACTTTCCACACTGTCAGGGACAATAGCCATCAAACAGTACTTCAGCATTGCTCCAGGTATGAATAGATTAGATCAGCCAAATTTTGGCACACTTTCAATTTTTCCCTGGTGTTGTTGCAGATATTAGTATAAGTGGTGCTTTTCAGTCTTTTGAACACTGTAAATAATGTTGAAAAGTGTGTTTCCTTGGAAGGCACAGCAGCAGTTCAAAAACTGCAGAGCTAATTTTAATTGCAATGTAAGACTATGATAATGACCGAAATTATAAACCAAGAAACTAGTCCTGCGCTACAGTTGCCTTCCACATTAGTATTCTCTGACACCCTTCTTCTCTGCATATGATCATTTTAAAACCTGCATTTCTCTAACATGAATTAATATGTTAGACAATAAGATAGAATACATTATTTACCTTTTAAAGTTGCTTGAGTTGCCTGGTTTGCTGTTTTTGCTACACACAGCATTGCATGAACTGATTGGCACATCTGATTTAAACCATCCTCCGCTCTCCAGCTATGTCTCAGGATGGTCTCTAAGTTAATCAGATTGTTGATGCATTCTGTGTTTTGAGTCCTGATTTGGTTTATGTGAAGCCTATTGATTTTGGAGGAGTTTAAACCCACTTATCTTTGGTAGTTCTTTGAATCTGAATGAATGATTTGTTGTCTTAATATTCCGCTCCTTCTCCAATGAACTTGGAACTGTTTTTCAACCTTGAAACAAGCCCCCTGAAGCAAGGTAGACTGAGAAACGATGAGGATCCCAAAGCCACCCTGCAGACTATTTTTCTGCAAGGGTGTGGAGTATCTACCATTTCACTTAAAAATAAATAAATGGAGGGGCTGATGGAATCTAGGGGTTAGTGTAGTGATTGGAACTTGCATAAATTTGAGATAAGATGGATGTGGATAGTGGCCAGCTGGCTGTTCTGTGTTTTGGAAGAGCAGTATAGTTCTGCGCAGGTTCTACAGTGTTGGCTTAAGAGCCAACATTATTCATAGTCCTCTTTGGGCCCTCCCCAAATAAATAAATACCCCTTTATAGCTTAGTTGGAGGTTAGGCAATGCTTATAACCAGACCATCTTCCTGTTTTTCCCTTGCTCTTAAACTGTGGAAAAGAAAATACTGCATGTAATGAACAAGGCTTTGCTGTTTAGATGTATCCCACTATTTCTCCCTTAGGAGCAACAGCTACGACAACAAGATCATCTGATATAGTCAAACTTGCACAGGAATGCTGTTACCATAATAACCAGGGTATTGCAGCTCATGGAGTCCGAGTTCTGACAAACATAGCTGCTTCATGCCAGGAAAAAGGTAATTCTAAAAGGGTGGATGGGTGCGTCTCATAGTATATCTCCCCATGTTTGATGTAATGTAATGTGCTGTGTTTTCCTTTGGAAACAAGTTGAACTCATGTGGACATTTACCTTTGATGCTAAACTAGAGAGCTCAAGTAATTGCCGTTTACTTTCACTATTTTTCCATTGCTTATGCAGTATTTTGTTGGAATGAGAGCTAAGCATGGCCATCCTAATGTAAATCAGTGCACTGCTCTTAAGTTGACTGGGTGTGAACTGCAGACATCCTGCTCATTTCTCTGCCAATGGAATGAAAGAGAAATTTTAAGATGGTGTTGCTATCTTCCAGTTTATAGCCAAATCTAATGGTCATGTGGTTGGTTTTGTTTTTCATTTCACCATTTTCTCCTCCCTAACACTAAGAAATGCATGCAAGCTAGAACTGACAGCATTTCAGTTCTTGGTGTTTTAAAATTGATGGAATTTATTTGAAACTCATTTGGCTGTGCTGTATTACTGCATCAAGGCATTTCTAGATCCCAGATTTCCAAATTATGTTAAAGGGAAAATGTTTTGTTCTCTTTCATGGCCATGAGGACCACAGTGGCTAGTATTAAAACAGTCAGGAATTAAAGTTTAAATATTTGTCCTAGATCTTTTACCGTTGGAGCAGGATGCTGTCTTTGGCCTTGAATCCCTCCTTGTTCTTTGTAGTCAAGACAGCAGTCCAGGTACTCAAGCGACCTTAAAGGTAAATAATAAATCCGCCCCCACCAACCCAGTTGTCTTCCATATTAATCTATGTAAGAGCAATGCAGGTAGTTTTTAGTGGGGCCGCTTTTTGTGGTCTGGTTAACTGCTTAAAGTAGAAATAAATGCCCAAGCACTACAGAATGCACACAGATCAAGGGCAGGACTCAACAAGTTAGCAAGTCTGGAGTAGCCCAACATTTGCCTCACTGTGCTCTTGTGAGCTGGCCACCCCATATAACCAAAGAGTGAGGACTGACATGCAAATGAATTAATGCCCTTTGTAGAGCAGGTAGTCAGGAAAAATACTTGGGATAGGTGAATATGTAGTTTGTCTCATTGTCGTTCCATACAATAAGTAGTAATATTATATGTGTTGGCTGTATATAGCATGAGTCTCATCTTTGTAAAAACAGAACGGAGATGGGACTAGAGTGCTATCCTATGTTTAAACCACATAAACCACAGTTTGACCCTGGCTTCTTCAAATGAATCATAGTTTAATTTAAACACAGTTTATACTTTTTAGTCAGGATATAATCAGCCCAGCTTAGTTTTAAGTTTAGAAGCAGCTGATGATTCCCAAAACTGGAAAGGTCTGCTGTACAGAAGCTTAAGGGCAGTATCCAACAAAACGTTTCCATTAGTGCAAGGACTTCTGGCTCTGCAGTGTAACTTCCATTCCCTCTCCTCTCTCTGTGCACTTCCTAAATCTGAATCCTCCCTGCATGTTCTTTAGTTTAGAGGGTTTGGTGGTTTGGCAGAATGCCTTTGTGTTTTTTGGTTTATCCTTTATTTTGCACCTTCATGGTTACATGAATGTTGTGACCAAAAACGAGTAGCGTTTGACAGATTTGCGATGAATGTTAAACAGGCGTTTTTTGTTTTCCCCAAATGCAGATAGCACTCACTTGCATGGTGAAGCTGGCCAAGTGCCGCCCCCACCTGAGCCAGTCCATTGTGGAGTCCTTGTTGACACAGCTGCACAGTGCACAAGATGCTGCCAGGATTCTCATGTGCCACTGTTTGGCAGCCATTGCCATGCAGTTACCGGTCTTGGGAGACGGAATGCTGGGGGACCTGATGGATCTCTATAAAGTGATTGGACGATCTGCATCTGATAAACAGCAAGAGCTTTTGGTGAGCAACATTGATTCCAGATATAGCAAACTGGACCTGGGTACCATTGGATTGAATAATCATTTTGTAAACATGTAGTATTGCATGTTGTGTAACAGTCAACTTGCCTCATTGCAGTGGAAACCATGATGCAGTTACAACATTGCTGTGTTTTTTGCTTTCTCTTCTCATCATGAGGTTTCTTTCTCTTTTTTTGTATCCTTGTATCCTTTGCCATGTTTCTTCTATCCCATTCTTTCACGGCATTAGCATTCATGTTTAAAAGACTTGTTACTTCTCTTTTCATTTTTGGTTATCAAACCTGTTGTAGAGAAATGCATAGTGGTTTTGAATAACAATTTTACACGAAAGGATTTCATTGCTTCTCGTTACCTACCTGTGGTATTGGAGGAATGTATCTATGAACTTCTGAGAGAGTGAAAGCACATTATGACAAACCACTGGTCCAACAAGTTTGAAAGCATATATCTGGGCAGACCTATCCTTCATCTAACCTATGGTTGCCACTAGTCATGATGCTTTAAAAAAACCAACCCATTATTTTCAAAGCCAAAATGCTTCTGCCTAACAAATATGAGGGATTAGCATCAGAGCACTGTTTTAGATATCAACTGAATGTTCAGGAAGTAGAGAAGCTTGTTTGGCTACTAGATGAGGTGCTAGATAGACAGTTGGCTTTTTTAATTAAATAATGATGTCACTGGACACCTTGGATTTCATTAAGTCAATGTGATTACTGAAAGAGCTGTGTGTGTGTGTGTGTGTGTGTGTGTGTAGAGAGAGAGAGAGAGAGGAAGAGAGCATTTTTAATAAAGTAAATGAAAAAAAACCCCATTGAACTTGATCATACAGAGGAGTGGCATGTTAAATACCGATAGTTTAACTTCTATTAAGTAAGCATCAAACAGATGTTTTTCAGCAAGTAAAGGAAACTTAAAAGTCCTCATCCCAAACCTGAAACACATCCATTTAGGAGTATATCTGCAGTCTTATTAATCTTAATCCTCCTTCAGTCCAGTAGGTGGCACTTGTTTTACATGGGTGGTCAGCTTGCCCTGGAAATGACAGCACCACTGTAAAAAGTCTTACCCATTTCCACCACGGCTGTAGACACAGGACAGCTCAAAGTGGATTTGATGCATCTTATGTCTGCATGGTTTTTGTATTGCCCACGTGGCAGCCCTTATGCACACCCCATTTGATTTGAATCTTGCCCAATCCACGGATAATATGGGTTGGGGAGTGACTTGACTCAACTGTGGAGGTGTTGAAGTGCATTGTGTGGGTGCAGGTATCAGTTGAGGGCAGCAGGCAACAACTCAGCATTTGAACACATCGCCATCAAGTGCCACAAACATGCACAAACTGCCTTGCCAGTGCTAGCCAAGGCAGAGAGGAAGTTCCCTCAGCTTGCTTTCTGATGCTCAGGGAACAGGCCCAGGGAAGTGGCAGGCTTTGGGCAGAGCTGCCTGATCCCACACACTGCTGTGTGTGAAACTAATAAAGGTGTTTCAGATATAATGGGCAGAGGGCTGAAACAGCCTGTTGTTTGCTATACAACATTTTCATGTAATTTTGTTCCAGTTATTTATTGTGATTGTGTTGCTGAATGTTTTTCTACTTTTTAATATCTTTGTAAGTCTCAGTAGCATAACAAATGGGAAAGTGTAGAAAAGGACCACCAAAATCAAGGGGTTAGAACGCCTTCCGTACCAGAAAAGGCTTTTTTGTTTAGCAAAGAACATGTCTAAAGGCTGGATATAGTAGAGGCTCGTGAAATTATGTCTGGTGTGGAGAAAGCAGGGTTTTTTGCCCTCTCATATAAGACTAGAAATTGGATCAGTCGGTGAAACTGATTAGCAGTAGATGCAGGACAGACAAGAAGAAGCACTTCAGATAGCACATAAGTTATGGAATTGTGCTCATAAGATGTGAAGGTGACATTAGCTTAGATGGCTTTAAAGGGGGATTAAGCAAATTCTCACATCAATCATTAGCCATGAGGCAGTGCTGAATGCAAGTTGCAAAGCAATAATGAAGAGCTGTTGTTTTAATGCCCTTCTGGTGATACCTGACTGATCACAGGTGCTGGATTCGTAGTTTGATTTAACAGGGCTTTTATGAGGGCATAAAGCCATTTCACTACCATTGGTTGTATCCAGCTAAGTTGTTCTCAGAGTAGACCAGTTGAAATCAGTGGCCTTAAGCTAGACCTACGCATTAATTTCAGTGCTCCAGTTGTATATAACCCCATGTTTACTTGCCAGAGCTTGCAATCCTTTTCAGACAGACCCACTTGCAAGCAATACCACTTGTTTGGTATTAGAGTGGTTAACCTTTCAAAGAAAGTAACAGAAAACTATTCAAATGTAGCACTAAACCGTGGTTTATGGAGTATGAACCTTGAACTCTACCTTCCCCTTCTATATTCCTCCTGTTGTGGTGCTCAGAGATTGAATAAAGTACTTACCACTCCTGGTTTAGCAGCAATGCTGTTTTGTCTAAACCTAGTAAACTATGGTTTGTGTAACCCCCCGTTTCCCCACAAACCAGGATTGCATTGCAGTTTGATCCTAATTTGTCATTGTGATTCTGATTGGAAGGCAAATTTACTAGCTTTTTACTAGTAAATTTACTAGTGAACCAGGTACATAACTACAGTCGTACCTTGGATGTCGAATGGAATCTGTTCTGGAAGTCTGTTTACTTCCAAAACATTTGGAAATCAAGGCGCGGCTTCCGATTGGCTGCAGGATTCCAAAGAACGTTCCCTTCTGGGTTTGCGGCATTCAGGAGCCAAAACATGCGACTCGCAAGGCGTTTGGGATCCAAGATACGACTGTATTCATTGTGCAAGTGGGGGGTGGACCTGATGAGACCAAAGCTCATGCTGGTGATGGTAGACTAGGATTCCACATTATTTGTGGCTAGGGTCTGTATGATCTGTTTTTTCATTCAGCTTTGCACTATTCCTTCCTTGTTAGGTATCTCTTGCTACTGTGATATTTGTTGCCAGCCAGAAGACTTTATCCTCTGAAGTGAAAACTGTTATCAAACAACAACTTGAAAATGTCTCCAATGGATGGACAGCTTACAGGATAGCCAGACAAGCTTCCAGAATGGTATGTGTGATTCATAATTTATAATTCTGGTTTCCCCAATAAGAAAGCCTAATTGACTGAGTTGAAAGGAACTCTTTTTACTCCTTAAATTCCCCATGAAGACTGGAAACTTTTGGGGAGATAATTGCCCCCCTACGTGATAAAAAGTGGCTGCATTTTTTATTTTTTGCTGTACTAGGATCTTTTTTAAAGAATAAGGAGTAGAGTTAAAATATGTGAAAGCATGCTAAATTAAAACAATTCTACCTGCCAGATTCCAGCTATTGATGGACCAATTCCCCTCAGCTAATTTTACAACAAAAAAGTCAGCTGATTTCATTGGAGACATGGTAGGGTCTGGATTCCATTTTGTAGAGTCCCATTTTGGCAGCTGCTAATTGGAGCACTCATCTTGAGCAGGGGCGCTATTTTAGATTTCCTTGGGAAAGACTAAGGCCTTTCAGTGGGGAGAGCAAGATTCTCAGCAAGGTTCCACTTGTGGGATATATACAAGCTTTAAATGGCAAGAACGACTTTGAAATGTTTTTGACGATTTCGTATTATTCTGATCCTGTTTTATCATTTGGTTTTAAGTGCAGAGTTTTGTTTTGTTTTTGTTCTGTAAATCTCTCTCTTGTTGCCCTGCACAGGGTAACCATGGCATGGCCAGAGAGCTGTATCAAAGCTTGCTGACTCAGGTGGCTTCAGAACACTTCTACTTCTGGCTAAACAGCTTGAAGGAGTTCTCCCATGCAGAGCAGTGCCTGACAGGGCTGCAAAAGGATGATTATAGTTCAGCACTTTCCTGTATTGCTGAATCACTGAAATCTTACCACAAAGGAATAGCATCCTTAACGGTCAGTGTGAATTCTCCCCCCACCCTTGTTGCAGGCCTGTAGGATAAAGCAATTGTCCTTTTTCACTACCGTTTCTAACTAGACTCTTCTTCAGGTGTCTTGGAAGAACAAATGTTGCGCCTACACCTACTTTCTTAAGCAGCAGTAGCTTATTCCAGCAAGAACTTTAGCGTTTAAGATCTTCACCTTCTTTCTGTCTGCATGGCTGTCTGAGTGGATTGGTCACTACCGAATTGGCATGTTGGCAGTGCAAGACTCCAGCAATAATTTCATCAGTAAGGTAGCTTACTCCTGTAATAATTAAACCAGTAAACTACTGCTGTTTGACAGAGTAGGTATGAACCCACTGCTTTCATGCTCACATTAACATTTATCATCACATGAGTGCACAGGAGGCAGAGATTGAACAATAGCAGTCTTGGCTGCAGTATGAACGATCTTGGATTCCTTGTGCAATCAGCCAAGAGTCACCAGAGTTCTTTTCCGTAAAACAAAGACCTTTCCTCCCCTTTCCTCCCCTTTTGTTTACCTTCGGTTGCATTTGCCGGAATGGAACTGTGTTCTGCATTCTTGAAATGCTTAGCCAGGGAGAGGGACTTGCCCTGCTGCACTGGAAATATATTATGCAGTAGAGAAACAGCAACTACGGTATTTTTCGCCCTATAGGACGCACCGGCCCATAGGACGCACCTAGATTTTGGGGGGGGGGGGAAATAAAGGAAAAAAAAATTATTTCCCCCCACCCACCCAGGCGCGGGGCTGGGGCGGGGGAAGCCGGAGCTTCCCCCGACCCCAGCCCCCAGAACAGGAGCCAGAGCGATGCCGAAGCTGCGCGCAGCTTCGGCATCGCTCTGGGAGCTTGCGCAACCTTCGGGAGCCCGGCGCGGGGGGTTGCGTGGAGCTGCGCCGAGCCCGGGAGCGCAGGCAGCTCTGCGCAACCTTCGGGAGCCCGGCGCAGCTTCGCGCCGGGCTCCCTAGGGCTGCGCAGAGCTTTCTGAAGCCTGGAGAGGGAGAGGGGTCGGTGCGCACTGACCCCTATCGCTCACCAGGCTTCAGCAAAAGCCTGTATTCGCCCCATAGGACGCACACACATTTCCCCTTCATTTTTGGAGGGGAAAAGGTGCGTCCTATAGGGCGAAAAATATGCTAATTTGTATTTTGGTTACATGAACAACAACATCATTTGTGCATTATTTGCATTAATGTGTTGTAGGCTCGGCTTAAACTTATTATGGACCATGTTGCATGAGCTTATTCTGACATTAATAACAAATACAAGAAATTCTGGATCTACCACTTAAAATGGGTGTGGGAAGCATGAGACGTGGCCAACTAATGAATATGCATTCTTAAGCTTCTTCATTTTCATAGCTTTGCTCAGTTCAGTGTGTTGTTGTGGTTAGAACATTGGACTGAATTCAGGCAGGCAGAGATCAATCCAGCCTCACCCCAGAGGTCCTTAGGTGAATTTGACTTGGTCTCTCCTTAATCTACCTCGCAGGTTTGTAGTGAGGATAGGAATGGCCCTATATCCTCTGTCCTGATTCAAAGAGCCAGAAAAGCCATTTTCTCCTCAGGGAAGGGGGAGAGCCTGCAGGAAAACACCTTGGGTGGGTGGGTGGGGGGATACATGTTGTGGTGAGACACAGTTTGTCCAAACTTGGTCTCAAAAATTACAGGATATAAATACATTGTCTTCAAAGTGAGTCCCTTGATGTGGTAGGAAGAAGACAGGCACAAGGCTTATTTAACTTGCCAGTTCTATTGAATTGCTGCAGTCCTGTGTTGCACAATGTGTGCGTGAACATTTCTGACTCCAGAAGAAGGCAATTTGTCAGCTCAGGCAAGCAGAAATAAGATAGAGCTTGGTTTATATGGAGCAGAAAATGTATTTAATTGCTTATTGTGACAAAAATAGTGCCCGTTTCAATAGAAGAACCACAGTATGAGAAAATTGATGTTTTAGGTTGCCTTTGCAATGTATGTGCCCTAGTTTGAGCCTTTTATTAACCTAGTAATTGTTGCTTATGAAGCTTTAAAAAAGGCAGCTAAGTAGTTTGTTCATCTCTCTGGGCAAATGCTGATTTGGTTGTTTCATGTGTCTTTTATTGTGCCCTTTGTATATGGAAATCACAGAGCTTTGTTTATTAGCTGGGACATCCGCAGAACTCTGACAAATATGTTAATTCAGAAAGTATTGCTGCTGAATGCATACAAGCTGTATGTCTACATGCCATTTACAAATGTCCTCTTTGTGCATATGCTCTGTCCTTTTCTTTCTCTTCTGTCTCCCTTTACCTCTTTGGCCCTTAACGTGGGCTCTCAAGCCAATCTAGGATCAGAATATTATCCTTCACAAAGGCTGGACAAATACATATCCTTATATCCTTCCTTAGAAATCTGCTGCTATTCTGGCTGCTCATTTTTAAAATTGGCACTGGAAAACACAGCTGCTTCTCCCTTTCCTTCAGCTCTGGCCACACATTATCGTAATGCATGCGTGATAATGAATTTTTGAAGGTGCCTAGTGCAGAGAGAAAAGAGGTATTGGAAATTAGGACCTTGCTCTACTTGGCGGAGACCTCTATTGGGGTGATTGTGAGTTTGAGGGAGATGTGACAGAGTGGAGGGATGGGGTCATTGGTTCTAGCAGGGTTACAAATAGACCATGTCTGGACTCCCCAATCCTGGGTTTTCTTTGCATATGAAGCTGCTCATCTGCTAGACCTTCTGATTTAATTGTGGATGAGGGAACTGACCTGGCATGTATCTCCATGAGCTGGGTGAGCTAATTGGGTGGAGTGGATCTGAGGACTGACTTAGAAGGCCTGAGACACTGACAGGTTGGGGATTCTGCTGTTTTTTGCATCGGACTTGGTAATTCTTGCGGTACTTGTAAAAAACAAAGTAGATCTCACAGGCCTGAACTCTACCCACTTCTAATCTAAATTATGTTTCCTTATTAATCTAAATCTTGTAAAAGTCGATCCCCCTGCTCCAAGCAGCAGTAGCAACTTCTGAATATCTGTGGGAGCTGTTATCCATAAAGTTCACCCGTGGAATGTTCTTCTGAATACTAATACATAACCCCACAAATATCCCACATTATCTAAACAAAGTGTTCTTCTAGAGAAATGATTTCTAAAATTGAAAGGGCATTCTTCAGTGGCTTTTGGCTTGGGTCACCAGTCTCAAAGTTCTGACTCTGTGTTTTGTTTGTCTTTCAGGCTGCCAGCACACCCCTTAACCCTTTGAGCTTTCAGTGCGGGTTTGTCAAACTCCGGATTGACCTCCTTCAGGCTTTCTCTCAGCTCATCTGCACTTGTAATAGCCTGAAGACTAGTCCTCCACCTGCCATTGCCACAACCATTGTCATGACCTCAGGCAGTGACCTTCAGCGGTGTGGACGCATTTCCAACCAGGCATGTGCTCCAGTTTGTCCCTGTTATGAACGTGCAATTATATTTTTACTTGGCTTGGTGTGCTGAGATGAAAACAATGAACAGTGAACACTGACCAAAAAAGTGACCAGTAGCTGCAATTCAGCCGATCATTAAAGGATGAGGCTCCTTTTGCAATGGGCAGAAGCCACAGTGTTCTCCTATAAACATGTTGAAAAGGTACAGACCTTCTGCAGAAAGAATATTGTTTAGTGCCTGTGCCCAGGAGCTATGAACTCCCATCATCCCTGACCACAGGTCACACTGGCAGGGAATTATGGGAGCTGGATCCAACAACATTTAGAGGCCTACATGTTCCCCATCTCTGATTTAGCATAGTAAGATCTGTTTCATGATGCCCTGCTAAAGGTTCCACCTTATATGGAGGCCAGAAACATAGCTTTGTCTGTGAAAGGTGCTCCCAGTGGAAGTACTTAGTCTCCCCTCCTTGCTTGCCTTCTGGGGCATGTTAGCACTTCAACTTCACAGAATTCATATGGCCGTTGATTTGTTAAGATGTTCCTGCCCTGATTTAGTCTTGCTTGCACCAGAGTTAATCCCTTACAGTGAATGCTCCAATCTTGTCCCCTTTGCTCCTCCCTCCTAGTGCACAGAAGAAACTAAACAAAATCTCTGGCTTAGAAGAATGCCAGAACTGGAGGTGGCGGTTTGTTTCAGTTTAACAAACCATGATAAGTAAGCCAAAAACAAACTTCAGTGTGCATAAGATTAGATATACATTGACCCAGTTCAGTCGTCACATCAAGCCATAGTTAGGGGTATTCACAATGACTCATTATGTGGGCTATTTTGACCCATTCCCCAACATACAAACACTCCCCTCATAAGAGAGGGGAAAAATATACCAACTGTGGAGCTTATTTTCCCTCTATCAGCCCCCTTGACCTTCTGCCTGGGCTGGTATGAGACTGGAAAGGTTTTGGATTCTCCCTACCCCACTGAATTGCTTTGTCCCATAAATGAGTACCCTGCATTTTGGCACACATGGATCCTCCAAAATTGCCACAAAATGCACTTTGAAAATTCATAAAGCAAACTAGAGCAAATTAATAATAATAAAAAATGTAGTATCGGAGATTTCAACCTTCAGATTCCAAAAGTCTGGCAGAGTGCCGTGGTTTTCATTTGCCTCTTAAAAGCAAGAATTGATTTAGCCAGGCAGGTCTTGCAGAAGAGAATATTTCACAATTGAAAAGGCCCTGCTCCTAATAGAGCCTAACCTAATTTAGATGGGCAGGGTGGGGGAAAGGCAGGAATTGGATTGTGAGGCAGGATCAGGGAGAAATCTGAAGAGCAAATTGGCAGGGAGGAGGGAACTGGACGGTGCAAGAAGTGAGGCAAAGGCAACTTTCAACAGGGCAAAGAGAGAACTGATACGTTTGAGGTGCAAGTTGTAATTGGATTCTGAGCAGCTTTCCAATAATCACCTGCTGGTTCTATATGTTAGGGGCTGCTAATGGGAGCCAAAGAAAGCAGGGAAGCTCAGTTGGCTTCAGGCGAACCTGCATCCCAAGACACAGGATGGAGAGAAGGTACAGTCTTGCCAATTGAGCCAGTGATATGAGGGCCCAGTGCAGGGGTTCTGTGGTGTATTTGTTTGACCTTTTCAATTTATGACCTAATGGAAACAAATGAGAAAACTGAGCACAGCACAAGGATATACAAAGAAATAAAAATATTAGTTCAGTTCAGTGCAATCAATCATGAGTAGTGCTTTGTTTTTGTCCCCACCCCTTTTGCTGCTGCAGATGAAACTCTCCATGGAAGAATTCAGGAACCTAGCTGCAAGATACGGAGATCTCTATCAATCATCCTTTGATGCAGACTCAGCAACTTTGAGGAATGTGGAGCTGTATCCTACTTTTCAAAGCACAGGGCTTGGTTATTTTTCTCTTAAGGACATGCCTTGTAAAAATGACTCTTAAAAATTTATTACTGGAGCTTAGGACATGGGGAGAACATAACTTTCTTACAAATTCAGCATGCCAGTTTCCTTTTAATGCCAACACCAAACACCAAAGTTTGTTTGCTAGAATTTAGCACTTGATATCATTGTGTCAGACCATTACCCAGCTATCAAACATCATACCTAGAAGGCTGTTCTTCAGTGCCTTTTTGGCACAGGTTCAGTGGGAGAAAGCTCTGTAGCTTTGATGCCACCATGGGCAAGGATCTCTTCCTCATGGTCACCCATCTTGCTGACCTGAGGGTTGGGCACAGAAGGTGAGCTTCCGAAACAGGGTGATGTTGGCGGATTAGTATGGGTGCAGGCAAACCAGTAAATAGCTTGGGTCCAAACATTTCAAATCTCCTGTTCATGATCAAAACGGGGTGGGGAATGCATGAACCTGACGCCTCTCTAGGCACAATTGCATTGGGCTAAACTCTGGTTCAGCATTGTATCCAAGAAGAGTTTGGATTTGATATCCCGCTTTATCACTACCCGAAAGAGTCTCAAAGCGGCTAGCATTCTCTTTTCCCTTCCTCCCCCACAACAAACACTCTGTGAGGTGAGTGAGGCTGAGAGACTTCAAGGAAGTGTGACTAGCCCAAGGTCACCCAGTAGCTGCATGTGGAGGAGCGGAGAAACGAACCCAGTCCACCAGATTACGAGACTACCACTCTTAACCACTACACCACACTGGCTCTCCAATGTGAAGTGGTCTGTGGAATCAAGTTGCTTAAATTCATGTTGTATTATGATCTCCCCAGATATGAAGGCCATGCTGATTCTAGTAACTTACGGCCATTATTTTAATGAACCATGTAATATTAATTTGATTTTGCCAATTTCATTTGTTCACCTTTAACGTTACGTCAGACAGCAGCAAGGTTGCTTATTGATATCGCATGCAATCGAAGCCCTGATTTTAGATCCTGAATCTGCAAGGTAAATATGATGCAGACTTAATTTTCTTCAGCCTCTTGTCACCCAGTCTTGCCATTATTTTCTAATTTAAGTAGCCATTAATCAAGGCGAAAATGTCTAGCAGTAGTTTAGCCAGGAATCCTGTGAAATAAAGTTGCACAAAGTTAAACATTTTGAGTATATGGAAGAGTCCATTCAAATTTACCTTTAGTTTGTTTGTTCATCTGAAAGAAATTTCAGCTGCATTTCACTAAAATGCAGTGTTTCATGGGAAGCAATTCATTAACTAAATAAATAATGTAGTGCATGCTTATTGTCATTCAGAAAGTATTTTTTTAAAAAAACCATATTAGTTCTTTCGCAACTTTGCCTTTTTCCTTGGCTCCAAAATTAAAGCTAAACATATACTTTTTAAAATTTTCTGTAGACTTTTAAAAATTTGACAGTGACTTCATACTTCAGTTTTTTGATTTAAACAAAATTTTAATAGAAGTATTAAAATAAAATAAACTGTCGGCACTGTACCGTGCTGATAACGAGGTGCATGAACAAGCACATGAACATGTCATGTGGAAAAGCAGTAATGTAAAATTCAGCAGATTATTGTTTATACTGATAGGCATCAGGACAGCAAAAATTAGAAATCTTTTGAAGAGAGTCCTGATTTCCTTAAAGTGGGTTGATGATTGGGCTAAATCAGGGATGGGGGAACCTGTAGCCCTCTAGCTATTGTTGGACTACCATTCCTATCAACACCGACCATTCGCCATCCCGCCGGCGGCTGATAGGAGTTTGAAGTCAACAGCTAAATGAAGCTGGCTGGGAGTGGCAGAAAATATTTAGAAAAAATAGATTCAAGTAATTTGGTTATAATATTTTAGCTAGGCAATCCTTACTTTAAAAATTCTCAGGGCTGTATCCAACTAACATGTCCCATTAGTGTAAAGATTTCAGCTTGCACAACAGGACTTCCTCTTCTCCCTCCACCCTCTCCCAGTCTCCTCTGGGTGGATGGAGAAACCCACAGAACATAGGTGCAGGGGAAGGAGGCAGGAAGTCCTGTTGCACAAGTGGAAATTATTGCGTCGTTTGGAGACGTATTACTGCCACTTTGGATACAACCCTTAGTGATTTTTTTCTCTAGGGATGAAAACATTGCACCTTGGTGAAACTGAGATTCTCTAGTTTAGTGCCTTTCAGTCTTCCTTCTAGGAAGGATTTTCACATTGACATCTCCTGTGGAAACCTTGCATGTCTGCCATGGAACCCCTAATGTTACAGAGGATGTTTTACAGTATTATAACAATAGTAATAATACTTATTTATTTGCCACCTTTTCCCCAAGGCAGCTTACAGGTAAAACAGAGAAAGCAAAAAAGCATAGAAAAGAGAGTCATTAAAATTACACATTCAGTTTCCTGGCTTGGGCCTCCTCATTGACCCCTGTGAACCTAAAGCACAGACAAGAGCATGCATCAGTTCATTGCAGTGGAAGATCACTAGTGTTGCACAAGCCATCTTTTAGGAGAGCTTGTCTGCCATTTCTGTTCTCACTGAGAAGCCTCCATTAAGCTTTAAGAGAACCCTGGCATTCTCAGAAATAGTTCAGGATGAGATGTCACAAGCTCTTGTTGAAGTTAAAAATAAAATAAATGACAAAAACTTCTTGTATTGCTTGTATACCTGGTGTTAAATAAAGTTTATTTGATGTAAGCACTAATAATTTCAATGGAACTAAATTCCAAATAAGTTTGCTTAAAAAGCCAGGGCTCCCCCACCCACAATACCATTGGGCTCTCTTGAATAGTCCCCGTTTTCCTCCTTAGCTTTTGAAATCCCCTAAATTAACCAGATAATTAATCTCTGGTGTAATGCCATTGACTTTGATGAAGTTTCTCGAGGGACAAAGATAGCCATGTAAGCCTTCTTGGTGCTAGTAAAAGGTCTCCCATTGGGCTGAGTCTGATTTCTGTTGATAGAACGTAAGTTGATCAGATCCCGTGAGACTGGAAATCGGAAAGAATTGCTCAGAAGTAGAAATGGCTCATTTAAACATGGGAATTACAGGCCTGAACTGATGCCTAGTAGATCTTAATCCACATAGACAGTACACACTTTTTAAAACAATGGCCCGATTCAGAGGTAAGGCTAAAACTGTTGTGCACAGCTTTTGGCTCCTGCATTTTTCACTTTCCTCTTCACTGCTGCTGAACAGAAATGACTGGAAGCTGTCACTTCTGTTTTCTATTAGCTGCAGTTTATCATTACATCCAAACCTGAAACATTACCCAAGCAAAAGGGTTTTCAAGCCCTGCACTGCACTTTGACATCCTGACGATCGGGGCTTCCGAGCACAGCATCACCTGGCGATAGTGATGCCAGGCGATTGGCGGGCAGCATATTCACCCACATGTCAGATTTGGTCCAGAGGAGAAGGAAAAGAAGGATCCAGCCCACTGACCAGAAAAGGTTCCCTGCCTCTGATGCAGAAGGTTATGAGTTGATTGGCAGAACATCTAGACCATGCTTGCCAGACACAACAACCACATCATCATTTTGGTGAACCAGTGCAGAGAATGCATTGCGTGGAGGTGGCTTCCATGTGTCAGTGCAGGCTGCTTCAGCAAAATCGAGCCGTCTGCCTTTTCAGTTCAGGGGACTCTTCCTGTGTATTCAATTCGGCGCTGAATGCACAAGCAACTGTTTTGCAGGAGTGTCACAAATTTATTCCAAGATTTTTTATTTTATTTTTTAATTGAGTAAGGAAGAAACGTTTAAGTGAATTGGAGATGTTCAGATTAAGTGTGAAATGCCTATAAAGATGGGGAGGGTTATCCATGGAGTACAGCATTTACAAAGACAAAGGAACCTGTCAGAGAGGCTGTGCTATTTCCAGGAAATTATTTGTTTTCCCATGTATGGTTAAGTATATATAAACAAGATGATGATTTTATAGAATCTTTATCTCACCTTCTTATCCAGCCTAGAGTCCCAAAGCCTTGTGTAAAAAATACCCAAGACACTTTGGAAAGGTTAGGAAAAGGCACACATTGGGCATCACCGGAATGAATTTATTTTCTAGTTTACAGGAATATTGCTCTGCTGGAGTGGCACATGCCACAAGTGAATATGAAAGGAGAATGATGTCTGTGTTCAGTCATGTGCTGGAAGAAGTGGAATCACTGAACAGAAAATATGCACCCGTGTCTTACATGGCAAGTAATAACCACTTTGTCATAGAGACTTTTAAAATAGTAGTTCTTTACATTCCTTTGAAACAAGATGTCAAAAGATAGATGACTCTAGGTTTTGTATTGGTCACAAATAGCATATAACCAGAGAGATGGAATAAAATCGGTTTCTACCATAGAGCAACACTGGAGATGCATTTTATGCTTTAGAGGGTATAATTTTTAATGACTAACAGTGCCAGATTTGTATTTCTGAGGAGATGTGTATAGGATTGTACTGTTCAGTGGTCAAGGTGGAAGTGACAAGTCAAGACTCGGCTTCAATCTGTAATTTATTAACTAAAGCTATAGGAATGGTGGAAGCAGCATTTATATTTAGGTATAATGAATTAACAAATACAAACATAAGTATAATCCAAAGATTATCATGCATATTAAAAAGCTTAAGGAATGTGTAGAAAAGTAAAAATTGTTTGAAATAAGTCTTCACTCATTCTCAAAATTTTTGACCAGCTATAGCAAAATTTGTCATGCTTTTTAATGAGTAGTATGGTTCTTTATCCACGGATGTTTAGATTTTGGCCCTTTCCCCTCTCCTAAACTTGAGAATGGAAAGCTTCAACTTGAAAAGCATTATATACATCTTCGGTATACATCAGTAGCAACAGACAGAAATATTTGAAATAAAGGGATGACGCTTGTAGTGACATGCGGAGCTATATCATTGTTCTTTGGACTACTTATAATTTTACTCAGTTTTCTAGGAGCTGTGTTATTTAATACCTTTCTGATTCTGACGCTGTGATGGCTGTCATGCAGAAAGTTCATGTGTGGAACATCCTAGAGGCCACCTGCCATTGCTCCACCTTGGCTTCATTCATTGAAGCTGATTGTGTTTCAGTACAACATTTCAGTGGTGTAGAGTTTCTCTTATCGGGTCAGGTCATCCGAGAACACAAGCGCTAGCTGATGTAACTCCAAACACAAGGTGGAGAACAGTTCTAAATGAGCTTAATCTATCAACTAGAACCAGGGTTTCAGATACTGACTTTAGGATATCTCTGATCTCTTGAGAGCAAGCAATCTGCTGTCCTTTCATGCGTGTTGAGCATTATATTATATATGGACATGCATTTTTATATGAATAAAAATGTACGCAGAGTCCCGTATAAAAACTAAAGCAGCAGCAGGGGGCCGCTATTGCCCTAATTTCTTGCTTGTGGGTTTCCCAGAATCATCTCATTGGCCACTGTGAAAAGCAAGATATTGAACTAGATAGAGCTTTGGCCTGATCCAGCAGGACTCTTCATATGTTAATTTCTCGCTGGCCATATTTTTGCTCTCATTTTATTGCAGAAAGCACTGTGGGACCAGAATAGAGAACAAGCTGTTTTTCGTAAGACTTCAGAATTTCCCCATATTTAATCTTCAGATCCATTCATGGCTTTCCTTTCTTTGTTGTAGGGACTCCCCACTGCTACTTAGTTTCTCTCAAGCCAGTACTGCCTTGCCCTGCCTTGTTCTATTTGGCTGCATTCTTCCTCCTGGTGGCCTCTGGTCTCCAGGAAGCCCCTGCCTTCAGATCCAATGTGCCAGGCTGCATTGGCCGCCATTTTTTGTTTCCAGATATTCTTGATCAAATGATGCACTTAGGAATAGGGGATGTCAGGGAAAACAACAACTTTTCCCCCAAATTCCTTTAGACCTGCTACTGAGCTATTTTTGGAGCTATTCAATGCCTCTCTTGTCCTGATACAGAAAGGAAACTGGATTTGGACGTGGGACTCGGCGGGCACCGAGAGCGCTCTCTCCCCTTGTACAGGAGCCCGGTAACGGGCTCCGGAGTGGGAGGTGCGTGGTGCTGTGAGTCGACCGCTTCCTCCGTGCAGCAAAGCCGCACTGCCGTGTTCGGAGAGCGCTGCCTTTTTCCTGGACAATTTGGCATCTAAAACATCTATCCGTGAGTACCTGATCCTGGAAGAGCTGAACTACTTTTAAGATTGGTGAATAAATAAATAACATTGGACTTGAACTTGAAATTGAATTTAATTGGGACTCGGAACGGAAAGGTCTAAACAGGAAGTCGCCTTCCGTTCTTTTGTTACGTGAAGAAAGCAAAGACAAATTATACTAAAGCTTGAAAACTAAATTCTGAGAGAACTAAAACTCAACATCTAAGATTTCTAGAACCCCCTTTTGATTGCAGGAGAAGAAGGGGGTTGTTTTGATCTTTTCAACCCTGCGGAAGTGAGTTTAAAATAAAGTAATTTTCCACCGCCCTTTTCCACCATCTCTATAGGCTATTCCAGCTTGGTGCCCATCACCACCTACAACTCTCTTTGTAGACTACAACTCTCATCAGGTCATAGAAGCTGTAGTCTAAAACACCTGGAGCCCCCCAGGCTGGTGAGGGCTGCACTCGTCCATATTCTTGATGATGCATTGTCTTGGCTTCCTAATAAGGGCTAGTGACTGCAACGCTAATGCACAAAGTACATTCTGTTTCCGATCCCTGCTGTAAAAAGGATTAGTTCTGATCTGGCTTGGCATTGTTTTGTTCCAGCACACGGCTTGTCTATGCAATGCAGTCATTGCCTTGCTGAAAGTTCCCTTGTCATTCCAGAGGTATTTTTTCCAGAAGCTGCAGTCGACTAGCATTAAGGTAAGCTTACGGTATCACCGAATTTTAACTGCAGTTAATGCAGAGAAATGTCTACAATCCCTTCGCTGTCAGGAAGAGGAAGGGGAAGGAGGATTGCTGCTGATCCAGATCCCTATGTCTGCTTTGATTCTTTAATTATTGCTATTTTTCAATGGGAGATTCTGTTCAGATCGCTCACTGCATTCTGTTTGGCCCTGGCTCTTCTATAAACAGGAGAGAGAAGGGGAGCCTTTAGTGATTGTATGGCACCCAGTACAGCAGTTATTTTTTCCAAAGCTTTTATTTGTTTGTTTATTTAAACAATGCCTACAAGCAACTCCTCATTTACACACAATCTATTTGCATGAGTGTCCTTTTGGCTCACAAGAAGACCCTCCCCAGAGCCTGAAGAGGACAGAGGCACAGCGGGGCATTGTTGAGGCTTCCCGCCTAACAGCTTCCCCATGCATCAGCTGAGCAGCCTCAACAAAGCCCCTCTGCCCGTCCGGCTCGCGGAGGTCCATAACATAACCCTGTGTAAATGGAGAGTCGCAAAGGGCCTTCTCGGTAGTGGTACCCGCCCTGTGGAACACCCTCCCATCAGATGTCAAGGAGATAAATAACTATCTGACCTTTAGAAGACATCTAAAGGCAGCCTTGTTTAGGGAAGTTTTTAATGTTTGATCTTTTATTGTATTTTTAATATTCTGTTGGGAGCTGCCCAGAGTGGCTGGGGAAACCCAACCAGGTGGGCAGGGTATAAATAAATTGTTGTTATTGTTGCAGGGTATAAATACATTGTTGTTGTTGATGATGTTATATCACTTAACTACAACCTTGTCTAAGCAGTGTACAATAAATTGGTAAAGGTAAATAGAAAATGGAAACAGGAAAGGTAAAAATTGATTAAAACTGTACAGTCAGACTTAAATACTTGCTGGGATAAAAAAAAAGCCTTCAGTAGGCACCAGAAGTTCATCAGGAAGGGGGCCTGCGTCACCTCAACTGGAAGGCAGTTCCACAAAATTGTGTCCAACATCCCACACACATGGTTTCTGGTGGATTTGAGCTGTACATCAGAACCATGGAGAGCCACTAAGAATGACTGGGCTAGGGATATAAGGGATTAGGCAGCCCTTGAGCTGTCCTGGACCTATGTTGTTAAGGGCCATGTCAATTAAGACAATACTCTAGAACCTGGCTCTTTAGTATATGGGCAGCCAGTGCAAGCTTTTGAGCACCAGGGTTACAGGCCAGCGATTGTCCCCATCGACAATCTAGCTGCAGCATTTTGCACCAGCCGGAGTCTCCAGACAAGGGCCAAATATGGTCTGGCATGGAACGTGTTGCAGTCATCAGACCTTGAGGTCACCATGGCCAGACTATCCTTGTTCAATAATGTTATAGTTGATGTATCCGCTGCATCTGGTAAAAGGTAAAAGACAAAGATGGCTTCAGCAGCGCCCCCATTCTCTGAACCTGTTCTTTCAGAGGGAGCGCAGCCCCATACATGGAACATCTGCATTTATCTTCCCCTTTTTATTTTACACCCCCACTGTCTCATTTATCTGAAGGAAATATCTTCGTCGCATCTTTCAAAGTCTTGTGGCCTGTTATTTCCCTGCTTCGTTTTAATGGTTCATTTTATTGATCATTCATTTGGTGTAATATGGCTTCTGATGCTGTTACGCCATTAAGCTCACATCCTGTTTATAAAGTGATCAAGCTCCTGATGGAATATACAAATATTCAGTATGGCTGAAGCATATGTTTAATCAATATTGACCACCCAGACACAGTGCTGTTCAAATTTAGCCTCTTGATTATCCAAAGCGGTGTACATGTCTTAAAAGAGGTCAACACACACGCTCCCCACAACAAACAAATTTGCCACAAAGTTTTATATATATATATATATACACACACACACACACACACACACACACACACAGAGAGAGAGAGAGAGAGAGAGAGAGATATCCAGGATTGTTCCCCAAAGAGCACATACTTTGCCAAAAAGGAAGGTCTTTGCTAGCTTTCTGAAACTCACCAAGAAGCCTGCCAGAAGTACCTCGCTAGAAGGGATCTCTGCAGCACAGGTACATCTGCAAAGGTTTCTCTTTACAGCAGACCCATGGAACTTCCTTCAGGACTCCTTCGGCTAATCAGTTGCCTGTGTCAATAGCAGTCGACTTAATGTCTATTTGGAGTCTTAGAGTATGTGTACTTAAGATTGTCAGAGTCAAAAGCTAAGGGCTCTTAACAAGCAAAAAAGCTTACTTGAAAGATTATCAAATGTTGCAGAATCCATGCCCCAGAGCATAAGTCATCTCTCTGGTTGGGGTAACAGGCCTGTTTAGAATATAAAAACACAAAAATACATAACATAGCAACAAACAAAAACAATACCCTTCTCACAGTTCAAAAGACCATAGATTGTTTAATTAGCCAAAGGCTGATTTCCTGCTTGGTTTCAAACACAGTTTTTAGGCTGTCATCCAGCCTTCCAGCTGCTGCCCAAAGTGCAGAGAAAGCTTTACTGCTTGATTGTACTGAAATATTAAAGCTGCCCTAATATGGGAGTATTAAGGACAGCATCTTCATTGTGTAAAATAACGTTCTAACAGAAAAGTTAGCTGCAATTTAGTTTAGAGAAAATGCATTTCAAGTGTGGAGTGCTTGAAGATGTGTATTTTTTTCTGACAGTGCACTACTCATGCAATGAATGCACTGATCATAAATTGTGTTGATTATATCTTGAGCATTGCAATATCCCTCGCCATCTTCCATGTACTTCTTGTTTCAGTTGCTTTTTTTATTTTATCTGTACTTCAGCTTGCCCTGTCACCATCCCCACGCAACCCTGCTGAGCCCATTGTCGTTCAGAATAACCAGCAAATGGCATTGAAGGTAGAAGGAGTGGTTCAGCACGGCTCCAAACCAGGCCTTTTCCGCAAGATTCAGTCAATCTGTCTAAATGTATCTTCAACACTGCAGACCAAATCTGGGCAAGAGTACAAGGTATGGAGTTGTATACTGTCAACATTTTACCGTGTCTGAAACCTATGAAGAATTTAAATGGAAATATCATTTTCTGCTGTTGGGTGGCGAGGATTTTAATCTCAGCGGGGGAGGGGTGTGTGGGTGTGTAGGCATTTCTGGCAGGTTCCTTGAAGATAAAACCTGTAAGTAAGATCTTGTGGTGGTGTTGTGTTCATATCCCCATGGGAAAAAGCCTGCGCCTTGTGTATTTGCATCTCGGTGGAAAGGGGAAGGTGGAACAGATAATCCTTTTCCACACTTGCTGTCTTGGCAGTAGCACTGAAAAGTCCTAACATTACAATCGACTAAGAACACACAGCTGTCTGGCAGCAGGAAGCAAATCTGCTCAAGTAAGAGAATGCTGATCACTTGGGATGGCTAATCACTTAGAGGTTCCCAAGCCCTGCTATGAACAGCTGAGCAGTTTGCAATAGCTTTAGCAGAGAGCGCTAAATGGCTTCTTACGTTTTGCTTAGACATGCTGAACAAAAGCAAAGGACAACAGTTCTGATACTGTCTTTTGTGAGCCAAACCTTTGCTTATATGACAGAATTGAAACATTGAACACCCCCTTAGAGAAGCTGTGGAAAATGCCATTCCTACTCCTGTTTTCTTTCCCAGATGCCCATTGACAGCCTGACAAATGAGATGGAGCAGATGGTTGAGCCTCACAACGATTACTTCAGCACACAGTTCCTCTTGAACTTTATTATTGTTGGCACCCACAGCATCACAGTGGAGTCTTCTGTTAGAGATCTCAATGGTATCATATGGAAGACGGGGCCCAAAACCACTCTGTTGATTAAGTCTCTTGAAGATCCTTACTCCCAGCAAATTCGACTTCAGCAACAGCAAGGACAGCAGCCACCACAACAGCCGCAGCCACAGCAACGAACTGCCTATTCCCGTTTTTAGCACTGTTCTTATCATTCATCAGCCCAAGTGAAAGGCATTCCATTTTATGTGGACGTTGTCATTTCCCCCATCTGTTTCCCATGATGCTGTCCTTCCTTCCTTCCTTCCTTCCTTCCTTCCTTCCTTCCTTCCTTCCTTGGCAACTGCAATGATCACACCTATAAAATGCAGCTCGGTCACTGAAACCCAATCCTCTTGAGGCACTCCATATAACAAGCTGGTTGAATGAAGTGGCTCTGCTCATAGTTCCAGCTGTTTCCACCATGCCACTGAAATTGCTCTAGCAGTGGAGTGCAGAAATTTGCTAAAGCAGAACAAAGCCTTGGTTATGTACTTTAAAGCCTTTTTTCAGGTTCTTATGGCCCTGTTCATGTGATGTGGGTCACTAAGGGCCTGAGGGGGCTAAATCCATGTTTTTATGGCTTCATCACATACCCAGCTCTTCTCGCCATCATTCAGCACAGATTTTAGGATGGTGTGATGAACTGAAATCTGGCCCCATTACATGATCCATCCATTCACTGTTTTATTGTGCTTTCCGTGTGCCTTGTAACCTGCATTCCACCACACACAATAGATAAGCCACTTTAAAGCCTCAGATAAGAATGGGCCAAGTTGGTTTCCCTTTGCATCGTTGTTGATGGCTTCCAATTGGAAGATAGTGAGCAGTGAAAGGTCTGCAAGAATTTCCTGGGTTGCATCCCAACATATTGGCTGTTTGAGTAATCCAGTTGCCACTTCCTGAGGAGCATGACTTTCGATTCTACATTTAGTCTTTCAAATTGCATTGGGTTTTTATGTATGCAAAACTGTGTTCCTCTGTGTTATTCAGTACATCTACAAATGCAAAAAGTTTCAACAAACGTCCAGACATTCTGGGTGGTTAAATGTAAATAATCATTTTGAATGCTGCTAAGTTAGAACGAGGTTTGGATATCATTCCAAATATCGGGGTGGTGTTCTTTAATGCCTCTGAATCTTGCAGCTGCTCATATTTGTTGCTTCTATATATAATAATGCTTGAGCTATGCCATTGTGGGGAAAGGGAGATTGTCTTGCTTTATAGGAAAAGGCATTTCAGATTGGTTGGGATCCTTGCCCCGCCCCCCAACACAAAGTCCCCCAGAAAGAAATATATTCATCTTTGAAAGGTTAGAAATTTGAAAGATCAGAAAGGGTTGTGTTATAACTGTTCTTCTTTTAATAACAATATGAAGGAAATGCGCATTGAAGCTACGTGAGTACTTTTTAATAGGGTTTTGTTTTTGTTTTTTGGAAGAGGCAACTCATTCTAAAGCAAAATGCAGCTTGAAGTGCAACAGATGACCAGGCCCTGTACCCTATAACCTAAAGAGGGTATATTTTGTATGGTATTATGAGTTACTTCAAGAGAGCAAGGAGACAAGTAATGATCTTGGAGCCTGCTCCACATGGACTCTTGCCCCTACCACCTCCAGGCCAGCTATCCAGTGAGAAGAATCCTGTTATTTTTTAAAAAGCAAACATACGTTATAAAGTACTTTAATTTTACCAGTAAGGCTTGGAAGCATTTGGTATCCTGAAAGGCAGGGTGAAAATAATTCTAATACTAATAATTCCCTGCTTTTTTCTGTACCAGAGTTGTGAATGGAGAGCCTTCTTCCATTAAATACTCTTATGGTTGGTGGAGTGCATGCCATAGCTGTGCAGGAAGAAATTGATTTTGCATTCTCTTACTGAACTTGCAATGTGTCCATTCCTCTTGCTTTCAGATGTGAGAAGTTCACTCAGCTCTTGATGATACAGGTATGCAGGTTGAGGGTTTCTTTCATTGTAAATACTGGGGGATGGGTTTGGAGGTTACTTGCAACATGCTCCTTTTTTAGAAACTACTCAGATGTAGTTTCTTACTTCATCTTACATCAAGCAAATGCCTCCTTGTTATGTATAGAATATCCTAATAAACCATTTGTTTCCCATTTGAATCTGATCAGCAAAACCAGAACTTCTTGTGGGGAAAAAAGACATTGGCATTCTTTAAACTCCAATACTTGATTCACTGGCTGCCTTGGGTTTCAAAGTGTCTCTCCAATTTAACAAAGAAACATTTCACCTCTTCTGTCCCCAGCATGTTGATTTTGCAAATTATGAATAATCTCCAGTGTTAGAAACTCAGTTATATAAACTAGGTTCCAAATGGCTCCTTAATGCCTAGTTTCCATTTTGGGGCCAGACGACTTGAAAGTCATATTTTTCAATATGACATTTTTGGGTCCTGAAATTCAGTCTGAATGTGCAGATAAAAGATAATGGATAGAATTCTACAGAATGGGGTATTAGCGTGTGAAAAGAGTGCAGATCCAATGATCCCCAGGCATGCACCTCCAGATGGTGGACATGTCAGCTGCCAATCCTGGCACCCGGGCATCTTCACTTGATCGCAAGTGGCCGATAGCCAGCCAAATGCGCCTGGCAAATTTCTAACGCTGCCTCTGACAGCAAGCAGTGGGAAATGTGCTGCTTGACATACGTAGGTAGATGGAGCTTCGTGTTGATCAGCTGGCTAGCTTCACAGTTTGTTCCCCATTTTTATCTTTTAGCCACCTTTGTCTAGCACTGACTTAGATGAAGTCAAACCTATGTAAACCCAATCCAAAGGCTTATCACCCAAGTTACATAGAGGTCACTGGAGCTAGGTGTGCATACCATCAGCTGACCATGGGGAATCGCTGAATGTTTCCACCTTGTGCTGAAAAATCCAATTTCTGATTGAATAAGCTATTTCCCTTCAGGACTCCTCTTTCCCTAAATTTACTTAATTGAAAAAGGAGTTCTGTGCCTATAGATACTGGACTTGTTTAGAAGCCACTTACCCCACTGCTGGAATACTGAGCATCCCTTTGTTTCTACATGAGACTGCTAGGGGTGATTTGGAGTTGGATATCTTCAACATGCTGATGACACTTAGCTGTCTCTCCTTTCCACCGACTCTAGGAGGTCTTGGAAGTCTTTAATTGGTCTGAAATCAGTAATGGAATCAATGTGGGCTAGCAAATTTTTGGTTTAATCCTGACAACTCTGGGAATTGTAGCTCTGTGAGGGGTACAGGGATTGCCTAACAACTCTTAGCACCCATAACAAATTACAGTCCGCAGGAATCTTTGGGGAAACCCATGACTGTTTAAATTGGCATAATTCTGCTTTATGGTGTAGTATATAGTGCCCCATTGAAATGGTAGGTGAATGGTTTTGCATAATGTCTAACTTTGCTCAAGAAGAAAACTTGTCCGATGTGTTAATAGCCATATATGACAATCCAATTCATGCTCATTTATGACCATGGAAAGCAGAAAAGGAAAGTGTGATACCAGGAGCAAGAAGAAGGAGCTGAAACATGGTTAGAAAATACTCGGACGTTGGTTGGCCTTTTCGGGACATTGGTGAAATAAACCTGGGAAGTAGGGGGAGCAGAGATGAAGCTAGAATTTCTGCATACCAGCACGGAGGTAAATTCTACAAGTTGGAACCGTTGGAGGAAGAAAGATATGGAGTGGTAAGCTTTTTTTAAAAAAATGTGTAATCCATTATGACGATTAGGCAGTTCCCACATACAGAATAATACAGATTTTCATGTTGGTTCCTTCCTCCGGTGCATCAGAAATAGCCGTAGCTGGAGATGGGATTTCAAACAGGATGGACTGGCTGAAAGGCAATAGAATTCAAAGCAGGGAAGAAATTCAATATTTTTCCCTCATTTTTGTGTAGCTGCACTTTTAAGAAAGATACTTAATTCGGGGTTTTATGGGCCTTATGTCTGAAGTTCTGAGGCTGATGAAAACGGAGCCATGACCAACATCAGCATCTGGAGTCCTTGGAGTCATGGCCTGAGCCTCAAGCTTGAGCCAGATATCCTGGTCAGAGGCAGCAATACTTCTGCATACAGCTGCCTCCACTGAAAAGCATAGTGATCTGGGTCATAGGAAATTCCTTGCCTGAGTGTTTTATCTGCAGTTATGACCCACACATTATGATCAGGGATGGGGAATCTCTTTCACCCCACAATCTGTGTTCCTTTGTGGGTAACCTTCTAGGGACGAGACTTTAGGTAAGCACATACGTGATCATGAATTCAAGCATTGTATGCAAGTTAGGACTTCTTTTCCTTGACCAAATTCTGTTGTATTTATTTCATTTGTTCTCTCAGGAATGGTCAAGTCTGGGGGAAGCTATTGCACATCAGCTGTGCTGGATTTTAAGGACCTACTGGAAATGTTTCTTTGCTTCGTATTTCAAGCACCTTGAAGAACTGTTTGTCTTGCATAAAATCAGAATTTTACAGAATCTTAGAATTGTGATTGTATTATATAATGCATTTTGAAGGTTATCTTCACAACACGGAAACGAGGTTGCATATTAAAAGAGGCTTGCAAAAATATTTCCCAGTAAGCAGCCATTCAGAATGCAAATGCTGATTGTCCAAAAGACGAACACATAAAAGGGAACATTCGGCATAGAGCAGCTTTCCATTTGCATAGAGAAAAAGGCAAATTATATATAGCCTACTCTGAATCTCTTATATCAGTGCTAGAGATTCTCTTCTTCGAGATTACTAATGCCACCACTTCTGTAGAACATCTCATGAGAATATATATATATCATTTCAGTAATTTTCACAATAGCTCTATAATGTTGGTGAATGTTACCTCCATCTTCCCAGTGGTGTAGGGGCAAGACTGAGAATTTATTGCCTGTAATTGTTTGTGGTAAAGGAGAGACTCTGAAAGATTTCCTGTTCATACCCATAGCCACCATATGCTATAACAGCTTTACAATAGATCATGGATGGGAGTGGACCAAGGGTGGGAAATAAGTGTCCCTCCAGTATCGTGGTGCTATAAGTATTGCGATGCGATCTGTCCAGCGGGAAGAATTAACTTTTTATTGTCAAAAGTACACTTACAAGTTAGGAGAAGGCATGTCCATCAGTCCTACGTCTCTCAGCTACTCCTAGGTGATCCAGCAGCAATGGAGAATGAAAATACTAACAAGGTGTGCACCCAATGTGGCAGTTGCCACAACAGAGAGGTCCCAACCTTGGCTTTTGGATCTCCCCTACCCGAGCTGTGTGCAAGCGAGAGAAGACTCTGCCTGTATGTTACCTCCTGCTCCTCCCACTTCAGTCCTCTCCTGGTCCTGGGAGACAGAGGATCAGGAGGAGGTGTGGAAGCCCTTGACTCTCCACCAAAAAATATATTCTTGCTCAGAAATATATTATTATACACTGTAATAGGAACCAATAAAAGTACAGGGGAACCTTGGTAGTCAAATGCCTTAGTTGTCGAACAAATCTGCTCCTGAACGTCGCAAACCCAGAAGTGAGTGTTCCGATTTGTGGATGTTTTTCGGAAGCCGAACATCGAACGCGGCTTCCGCTTGAGTGCAAGAAGCTCCTGCAGCCAATCGGAAGCCACGCCTTGGTTTTCAAACCGTTTCAGGAGTCGAACGGACTCCCAGAACGGATTCAATTCGAGAACCAAGGTACGACTGTAACTGCTAAAAGGAACTGAAGTTTACCCTGTATTTCCTAATGCACTTAAATTACAGCATTCTTACAAAAAAAATGTTGCAAAAATGAGGCCTACTGAAAAATGAATAAGAGGGTGGTATTGCTGTTCTCAAGGTCATCCCAAGGTTTGCAGAAGACAACCCCCCCCACACACACATGGATTTCACATTTATGCAGTGTGCCTGAAGAAAGCTGAGCAGTGGAACTCCTTAACATGAGGAAAATGCTGCGGCAAAGAATCTAGCAATTTCCAAAAATGCTTTAGATATTGGTAGAAAAATTATGTTGGTAATTACTGGCCGATTGCTGAATTCTGCCTCCATCTGCCACCCTTTTGTGACTGGTGGGCCTCAGCAATAATCTCAAGTGGGACTGAAAATCTGACACCTCTGCCATACAGGAAAGATTTATTAATGAGAAATCAGCAAAGCCTGGATTCCTACACTAATAAATTTCTCTCCCCGCCCCCGCCCCCCAATGGATAACCATGCATACATTTGCTAAATTTTCCTAATTTATTTCTGGTCGCAGAATCTGTGTGTTTGCATAATATGAAATCCTCTTACATGAGGCAGATCAGCCAAGGAGGCAAGAGCCAGGAAGATGGAAAGCCAGTTCTCAAGGTGGTAAGAAGGTCGCTCAGTCTGGAAAAGCTACCCGCCAAACTTCACTCTGTTGCCTGACTTGGGAAGGAGCAGGCTTGATGCTTGGTGAGTTATTTTATAGCTCTGGGGGGGGGGTCATTAGGGGCAGATTGTTGACCCCACCCATCAGTGTCCCATGACTTTCTCCCATGTTAATGAGGGCCATTCCCACCCCCCAAATGAGGAAACATTCATAGGGAAAATATTGAGTAACCTGACTCTCATAGTTTGAAATCCCCTCAATTCTTGGCAATGTGTTTTGGACCTCGCAGGCAGCCCATCGGTTGTGATGACAATCTTGCCTCTCTAAATGAAACCAGTTTCCCAACATTCTGCCACAACTATAGCGCAGAGATCGCCACAGGGTTGTCCTCTTGATGTTGGGCGCCAGCTCCCATCAGCCTCAACCAGAATGGCCTGTGGTCAGGGCAGATGGAAGTTGTAGTTGAACAGCACAAAGCACGCAGTGTGTTGTCTCTTATTACTTATGACGTTTATTTGTCGCTTACAAAAACATCTCAAAGCTGCTTACAATTATAAAAGCAGACGGGATACAGTGGTACCTCGGGTTAAGAACTTAATTCGTTCTGGAGGTCTGTTCTTAACCTGAAGCACCACTTCAGCTAATGGGGCCTCCCACTGCTGCCGCCGCACAATTTCTGTTCTCCTTCTGAAGCAAAGTTCTTAACCCAAGGTACTATTTCTGGGTTAGCGGAGTCTGTAACCTGAAGCGTCTGTAACCAGAGGTACCACTGTACAAAGATTTAAAAATATCACAAAGTTAAAAGGAGCATTCATTGCCTAAATGTGCCCATCCTTCAAAAACATAAAAATAACAAATCTTTCCCCATCATACCATTATGGACTTGGGTATATCATACCTTATGACCACCAATTAAAAGCCAAATTTTAGGGTGAGCAGGAATGACTTTTCCTGGCTAAGAAGTTGTTCCTATGATGGCACCAGGCAACTTTATCTGAGGAGAGCAAGCCGCAATTGGGGAGCCACCACTGAAAAGGCCCATTCTTGTGTTGCCACCTGCCAAATCTCTCTCAGAAGTGGGACAAGAAGCAGGGCCTCAGGTGATGAACGTAGTCTGGCATAAGCAAGCTATGGAACCGGTGCCAGGGTTACACCAGGCAGGGGCAGACACAATCCTTGGTGGATCCCCTTCTAAAATATTGTCTGTTGGTGAAAGCAAGATTTGAGGGAGAGGAGACCCTCAATAGAGAGGCAGTGCACACAGGGGGCTGGGTCTTTCCTTGGACAAAGAGTCCATAGTTCAGTGGTAGAGAACATGGTTTGCATGCAGAAGGACCCTAGTTATATTATTTAGTAATATTATTTAGTAATTTAGTAATATTATTTAGTAATATTATTTAGTAGTATTATTATTTATTAAATCTATATACCGCCCTATACCCACAGGTCTCAAGGCCCTTTACAGAATAAAATCAAAATATAAAACTATAAATTCCATATTCAAAATAAAAACAACAACCCAATAACACTCCCCTCAAAAAAAAAAAAAAAAAATTAAAAGGGCATAGGATGTTGAATCAAATCAACCAAAGGCCTGGTTAGAAAGGAATGTTTTGGCCCAGCGTATAAAGGTGTATAATGAAGGCACCAGTCGAACTTCCCTGAGGAAAGCATTCCACAGACGGGGAGCCACTGCAGAGAAGGCCCGCTCTCGTGTTGCGGTCCTGAGTCATTTAATGTACGTAGCTGGTAATGAGGCTGACAAAATAGTCAGGGCTGGCACAAGCCATTTTGCTGCCTGAGGCAAAGCATCAAATGGCAACCCTCAAGTCATAGTACCCAAGATCAACCAAGATATTTTGACATCTGGGGCAGGACATCCCACAAACGGTTCTATCCCCTTCTAGGCAGCAGACGTACAGTGGTACCTCGGGTTACATACGCTTCAGGTTACATACGCTTCAGGTTACACACTCCGCTAACCCAGAAATAGTGCTTCAGGTTAAGAACTTTGCTTTAGGATAAGAACAGAAATAGGGGTCCGGCGGCGCGGCGGCAGCAGGAGACCCCATTAGGTAAAGTGGTGCTTCAGGTTAAGAACAGTTTCAGGTTAAGAATGGTACTCCGGAACGAATTAAGTACTTAACCCGAGGTACCACTGTACATTAAATGATAATAATTTGCTGCCCTTTCATGAGGCTTAAATCAGTTGCCCGAGGCAGCCATGTCCTAATAGTTAGGACCAGTCCTGCTAGATTTCTACATTGTTTGAACCAACTTTTCATTTTGGGCCATATGGGGAAAGTCCCAGACTTGATCTCCAGTATCTGTAGTTAGAAAAAGGATCAGGTGATGGGAAAGGCCTCTCTTGCCTGAGACCCCGGAAAGCAGGTCTAAATCTGTGGTAGCAGTGCTCCTCCAAGGCACCTTCCTCTCTCTAGTCCTTTTGCCTGTCAGAATGAGCGTTGGCTTTTCAACACTGCAGGTCAGAAACCTATTCCATCAGAGGATGCCGTGGTTTCAGTGTTGCTGCCTCTGCCAAGTCCCAAATGACTTCCTTGTGGCGTGTCACGATGGCTTCTTGATCCTAGTTAGTGCCATTATGTCTCCACCTCTGAAGAAGGATGCCAACTGTCATTCTAAATTTATTTTGCTTTGAGTGCTTGTTATCACTGGCATATTTCCTCATGCATTCTGCTAGCTGCATTTCCCAAGAGGAGACACTGAAATTGCACCTTGTTTAGGAACCAGTAAATTCCTGTAATTGGGTTTTTTTTAAATTTGCCATTTTTAAAAATAAATAAGTTTCAGAGCTTCCATGACTTGGAGGGTGATGGAGGCACTGTTTAGCATGATCGTTTCCACTCTCCATGCTTACATGTAGGTTGAACACATAAACAGAGGGCCCAAATAGGGTTTCTGATGTATATTGATTGCTTTAAAATACTGCTTTTTAGCACCATATTTTGGATCGTACAGTTTTATTGGTTTTTAAAAATCATATACTGTACATTTCCCAGAGAATGTTGGTTATTGGATAACTAAAAATGCAATAAATTAGATAGATTTACATTTATCTGTAAATATTAGTATTAATCATTTGTTTATTTCATAAAATGTATACATCACTTGATTGTTAAAAAAACAACACTCAAAAGACAAAACAGTGAAATCAAAAGAAATCTCAAGTATACTTTAAAACACAAAAAAGTTAAAATACTAAAACAGATTAAAATCACCTCAACTTTCTGATTTTCATGTATTTAATCAAATATTGTTTATTTTCTTTCTTGGGCAGGGACTTTGGCTGTTCTGGGGTGGGAAGGAGAAGTTAAGTCTCCAGGCTGATTCAGTTAAATCATCAACTTATATAAGCACAATAAAAATACATACATACAGGCACTCAGTTTGATTGCAGAGTACAGTACAGGGAATAATCATGTTTGGAAATGCATTTTCTTACCACAGTGCCACCGAGTGCCCTTCCTACAGCCTCTGCTCAGGTCAAATGTAGGCCTAAAACATGTCCCTACGTATGTCAACCGCTGCAAACAATTTCCTGTGCGAAAAACTGATTTAATTTGCAAGGATGGGTTTGTCTGAGCTTAATGCCAGTCACTACCAAGCTGAACTTGATTTAAGCAGCAGCTGGCTATCGGTGCAGGAGCACTGGAAATTCAGTTTGCACAGTTCAAGTCGCAGCTTTTTGAAGAACGGAAAATGTTGCCTCCTGAATTTAACCGTATTAAGTTTATGGAGACGTGCATCCGCCTTAATCCCATGGCTGGCCGTTGTAATCGCCATGTGATGGTGAAGCTGGCCTGTCCTTGTACCGTTCCTGCAGCTGCCTCTGTCCATTTTGCCTGCCGCAAGACTTGCGTATCGGGCAAGCCTGCTCTCTGTGACCTTCCCCCTCCCTTTTAGTACTTCTGATCAACATCATCTATAAATGCAAAAGTGCTTCAAAGAGAATCTGGCTACTTTAATAGGTTTGCACCCTAATTTTGTTCCAGTCTAACTTGCATTCAGTCCAAATGTTAATTGCATTCACACAGTGGGAATAACCTCCAGCTTAGCCCTGAGCATAACTGACATACAGGTCTCTTTGTGTGCTGTTAGTTGGTGATCCAAATCAAGGTCAGCACAGGCCATGCCAAAGCCAAAGTCAGGCCAACACACTTGCAGCCATTGGATCCCAGTCGAAGTTAGATTTTGCTCAGTAGCAACCTGGGTAAACGGAGGAAAGCTTACAGTCCAAGAAAACCCACAGACAATTGCATGTGACTGAAACAAATTACTCCGTTAATATTTATTTATTTTTAATAAAAAATATATACAGTTTAAATATATTGCAGTGGTTTAGGTTAAAAAAAAAGTAAAGGTCCCCTGGACGGTTAAGTCCAGTCAAAGGCAACTAGGGGTTTGTGGCGCTCATCTCGCTTTCAGGCCAAGGGAGCCAGTGTTTGTCCACAGAGAGCTTTTCCGGGTTATGCAGCCAGCATGACTAAACCGCTTCTGGCACAATGGGACACCATGACAAGTGCCAGAGCACACAAACGCCGTTTATCTTCCCACGACAGCGGTACCTATTTATCTACTTGCACTGGAGTGCTTTCAAACTGCTAGGTTGGCAGGAGCAGGGACAGAACAAAGGGAGCTCACCCCGTCAAAGGGATTCGAACCACCAACCTTCCGACTGGCAAGCCCAAGAGGCTCAGTGGTTTAGAGCACAGCGCCACCCGCGTCCCAACAATAGAACAACAACAACAACAACAATAATAGAAAAGCATAAAGGATATACAAAGCTTAATAGATATGGAAAATGACACTGATGTGAAATAGAATTGTGAATGATACAGAATGCGTACAGAAAATGGAAAATATAATATATAAAAAGCTATACAAAATCAGGTAGATTATTAGTTATTGGATATGATTTGCATAAGGATTACCAAATGGCAAGCATTGACAAAGCAATCAATCAAAGTGAATCAGGTCGTGTATCCACAGAGGAGGAGGAATGACTGCTGGAAGGAGCACAGAGAGAAGAAACGCCATGGTGTGTCTGCAGCAGCACAACCGGACACTTTCATCCTCCCCAGATGCCACAAAACATGTCTCTTCCATATCATTCTTTACAGCCACAGCAGGCTCTATAACTCTCCAATGGTTTGACTTCACCCCCAAAGACGCACTCCTCCATCGTCTCCCGAGATACCAGATACAAGACTCTTAATCTCAGGGTCGTGGGTTTGAGCACCACATTGGGCAAAAGATTCCTGCCTGGCAGGATGTTGGACTAGATGACCCTTGTGGTCCCTTACAATTCTAGGATTCTAGAGAAGATGGACCTCCTCAAGAAAAGACCTAAAGCAATCTCTAAGCACAGACCTATAGCAGAAACGTTTAAAAGAGACTACAATCTGTGGTGGCTGGCTCATTCTACATTTTTGGTCTTCATCTATTTTTTAGTAAGTCATTGCTAACCTTGGGGCAAGATGAAACCCCAATGGGCAGAGAAATAATTGTACCTGGAAACTGACCTAACTGAATACATTTGAGCCTCTAGGCAAGGAAATCCAGCCCTTTTCTCTGCAAAAGGTTCATGTGTGTACTTGTTAGCTGGTATGTTCAATCTTCTTGGCAAATGATCTGTCAAACTCAACAGCAAGAACAGATGCAAAGGAATGGGATCGGTGTCATATTTCTAGATAAGAGATAAATTTCCCTTTGCAGTGTTCAGATAGACAAATGATACGCCATGTTCCTGTGTTTTTCGCCACGGTGGCAATAATGGCTTGATGCATTCTGAAACCGGGCTTCTTTGTTTCACTTCAAAATTCCTCAAAACCAAGTACATAATTTATGCCCCAAGGATGGAGCAGGCTGGGCTTTGAGTCGTGACTCATTTGTACCACGTTGCAATATTAAAGCCTGCGAGAGACATCAATGACAAACCTGGAGTACAGGTTACAGGAACCTGAGACACTCAGTAGCAGTATGGTCACAGAATCAGTGCCTCCTGAAACGAGATAGGAAACTGTATACAGCAATCAAATAACAGCAACACAATCTGAGCGCAAGCAGGCGACCGTTCTGTTGAACATCCAACTATCCTGGCATCTCCTGGTAGGACAGGGCATGTCTCCTGTCTGAAAACTTGAGAGCCGTTGGTTCACATGTCATGGTAAGCCAAACTATGACTCAGCATGAACAAGCAAGAGTGGTGGTGCAGAACTGCTATGTTATTCCGCTGCTTCTGGGCTACAAGAAACTAAGCAATGGTTTCATTTTGGGGGTTTGTCGCATTCCAAACAATAAGCTGTAATCAAGGTTAGTTATTGGCTTATCACTTATGGTTTGTTTGGGAGAAGACAAACCATGATCCTGGGTTGAATCTAACACTACTGGTCTTGTCTGTTCAATCCGCAGCAGTCTATCTTTGCATGCAGGGGAAATCCGTAACTCACCAAGGGTTTGAGATACATCAGCTAAAAGCCGTCTCCAAGGGTGTGGCTTCTGTTGCATACTGACAGCTTCTAGGAGCCACAGGGTGAGAGCTGAGTGCAGGATGAGGACCAAAGGCAGACAAACTACCCCAGGCATGACTTGTCCCCTGCCAGTGGTAATACCTCTCCCCAGCACCCGACTTGTAGATCAGGAACTGGTTAAGTAACAGAAAGTGGACAGTAGGAATATATGGACAATTCTCCCAGTGGAGGGATGTAGAGAATTGAGTCCTCTATTAGGACCGGGCTTATTAACATTTTCACAAATGAGTTCACACTCTAGCTCATTCATGAGCCAGTTAACAAGCACAGTCAGGGGAACAGTGATGGCAGCCAAGTTGACAGATGGTACTAAATTGTACACCTCTGGTCACCTCATGTCCTGAACTGGCAGGAGTATGGGGAGGAGGAAGGGGCTTCCGGGAGGGTGTAGACAGCACTGGGGCACACCAGGGCAAGCAAGGGATGGGGAAGGAGATGTTGGTGTAGGAAGCACTTAAAGGGGGACCGAGGAGGACGAGGGGATGGGGGTCGATGCGCAGGAGCAGGAGCAATAGGACCCATCCGCAGAGCCAGAGGGGCCCCTGTCTCCAGATATATGCAGGCTCTGATGCACAGGGAACAGCGGGTGGAGCGCTCCCAGAGGCAGAGACAGGCAAGGGCCCACAGCCCAGCTTACTGTTGAGAATTTCCATTTCACCTTAAGGAGCAGACATGTGGAACTGTTACGTGTCATATGTCTGTTTACATTCCAGCACAGCTTGCTGGGAACTTCTGCTGTGTGTATAGTTTTTGCTTTTCCCGGTCTTTCTGAGAAGACAAAGAGAGAGAGAGAGAGAGAGGACATGTTTCTTTGTCTTGATTTATGATTAATAAATCTGTAGTTGTAGTATGCTTTCCACAAGCCTCACACCTATTCTGTGTGTGCAGTTCAATCTGCTGATAGTGTGCCCTGGCTTTGAAGCCCGGGTTGCTGATTTACGTCAGAGCAGAGGCTGATGGGTCTTCGCAGCGGGACAGCTGGAAGGAGACGGCCCAGCTGGGGCTAGCCAGCTGGCCTCCCGGCCCTCTGCATGTCGACACTTACCAGTGAGCCAGGTGGGGCTCACTAGCTCTGGGAGGAGGTAAGTGATTCTCCAGTTGGAGTAGGCCGGGAGCAGGTGAGGGTCACATGGCTCCTCAAGCCCAGATGCTGAAATCAGCAGGCATAGTATAAAAGGGCAGCAAAGCTGAGGTGCTGTCCCTGCTCAACTGCACCTTGACTTGGGTGCTCCTGGACCTCCCCGGGACTGTATTTTGGGCTTGACGCTGGACTGTATCCTGACTTCAGACTTGGATTGGCCCTGAACCTTGTTTCCTGACCTTCAGCCTTTGGATTTCGGACTTTGCCGGTGCTGATCAACCCTTGGCTTTTGAACTTGTGTTTGGCACACTTGAGTGGCTGACGGGTAGGCCAGGGGATCAGGACACCAAACCTCAAAAAGGATAGAGTTGGGAAAGGTTTCTAAAAAGGCAACCAAAATGATGAAGAGGATGGAGCGGCTCCCTATGAGGATAGGGTACAAAATTCGGGCTTTTTGGTTTAGAGAAAAGGCAAGTCAGAGTTGATATGATAGAAGTGTGTAAAACTATATGAGACATGGAGAAAGTGAATGGACACAGGTTTTTCTTCCCTCATAGTGCTAGAACTCATGGGCATCTCATGAAGCCAACTGTTGGATGGTTCAGTGCAGACAATAGAAAATACTTCTTCACATAGTGCATAAACTGAGGAACTTGCTCTTGCAGGAGGATGTGAGGGTCCCCAACTTTAAAAGAGGACTAGACTGTCAGGCCGAATGCTTCTGGATAGTAGTTGCTGGAAACTGTGATAAGGGAGCTTGTAGGCTTCCTCTAAGTCTCTGGTTGGCCACTGTGAGAATAGGATGCCGGGTTGCTCCAGCAGATTCTTCTTAAGCCTCTTATAATGGGGAGAGTGGAGTGCCTGGGCTAATAGCTTATTTTCATTTTGGACTTGCCCATGCAAATGAAAGGAGAGGATACAGGTCAGTGACCTTGCGCGCATTAGCTTGCATGCAAAAGGTCTCGGGTTCAATGCCTGTCGTCTTCACTTAGGGCTGAGAAAGACTCCTGTCCAAGCTGGAGAGCAGCTGCCAGATAGTGTAGACACTATTAAGCTAGCTAGATCACTTGTGTATGGCAGATTCCTATACTCCTGTTACCAAATCAAACATCCCTTTTATTGGAGCAGCAGCAGTATGTCTTAATTGGGTCTTTAGGCAGGAATTGTGTTTCCCGTGGGTGCAGCAGTGTTACACTGGTGGTTCCTTGGAAACGCATGAGGTGTAATTGGCAGGTGTGTCTCCAAGTGTGAGAGCCCCGGTTACCATTTTATTTCCCCCAAATAACAATTCTTGCCCTGAGCAGCTTACAATACACATTTCAACATGGGGTGGAGGAGGAAAGGAAATGACAAGGACAACAAGGGATGGATGTGAGAAAAGGACACATCCCATATTGATAACTGCTCTTTTCCAGCTGTTCTGTATCATTTATTTTTCTATCCTGCAGGATGGCTGAGACTTAGAGTCAGCCTCTGTGGATCAGAGTGCACTCCGTCGTTTAAACTTCCAGCAGCAAGTGCCACAACTGAAGGCATCACAACTTGTTGCCTCATCATTTTCCAATGAAGCTATTTGTTTCAAAAAGGAAGCGACTCAAAGCTGCGTGACCCTATAGGACAGGGGTGCGGAAGATCCTTCTTACAGCCCACATGCTGGTGACGGGAAGGGCAAACAGACCAGGGTGACGATTTCCTCTGTACAGTAATCTCTGCTGCACCCACACAAAAGTCTTGAGGTTTCTACACCCACACACTTGCAAACAACACTTCTCCATTCAGGCAAGCGAGAGATGTGATCACTGTTCTTCAAAGACTCCAGCCAGCCAAAAACAACTGAGAGAGCAGGAGCAAGGACTGGTTAGAGGGGCCTGGAGGATGACATTCAGGCCTCAGGGCTGAGGTTCTTCACCCCTGCACTATATTCGGTCTGAGCATAGCCAAAAGGTTTTGGGCAGTATTCAACTAATTCCTCCTCCAAGCACAAGGATTGCCACGAATGTAGTGGAATGCCCTGCATGCTCTGTACCTTCCAGGGGTATCAGGGGAAGCCCTAGAACAGTTTTAAGGGGTGCGCCGGGGAAAAAGAGGGGGGAGTCCCATTGCACTAGCCGTAATCCTTGCACTGATGGGACCCCGACGTGGTGCTACGTTGAATGCAACCCTTTGATTCTGAAGCCACCTGAACAAAATGAAACAAGCCTACAGGGCATGAAGGCAATGCCCATTCCCGAGTTTCAATAAGCCTTGCACCTGGCATTAAGAGATACACTGTCCCCAATACTGGAGGCTCAACTGGCCAAGTGGAGACCTTTCTGCCCTGGTCCCTTCTTTCCTCTTCTCAATCTTCTACACTTTAGACTCTGAAGGCCAGCTCTACCATTAGGAAGTGAAGTGGCAGCCCTAAGCGGCCATTTTGGGGTTTCTTGAAAGGCTGGAAAGTGCTAGTTATTTAATGCATTATTATTTAATGCATTGCTATTGCATTTTTAGCACAAGGAAAGGTGAAGGACACTTGTGAGACTTTCTGCTTCAAGTGTCAAAGTAACTTTAACCTGGATTTTTCTTTAAAATCTGCTTGTTTGTTTTTAGAAGCCTGTTGCCAGATTATCTCAATGACTAGTTTACAGTATTAAGCTCTAATTTGGAAGCAGCCTTGGTCATTGTTTTAATTATTTGTTTTCAATTTTTGTTGTTGTTTTATACCTCATTAGCCACCCGAGCAACCTGTTTTGGAGGAGAAAAGCAGGATGCAAACAAATCCTAGTGTACCATTTGCGAGCATCCCATATTATGTATGATGTGTGGAAACAAGGCTGTGGTTCCTCGAGCTTTCCAGATGAACAGATTAGAATTTCTTCCAAGTATGCCAAACTAAATCTGTATGCAGTATTTTCAGAAGCCCAGTTGCTGGGTGAGGCCTTTGTGATTTATAATAATTGCAAATAATTGTAGCATCGTGGCATAGCTATTTCCTAGATGCTGACACCACTCCTCTCCCAGAGATCCTGCTAGAGAGGAGAAATCAGCAGTGTTGCTTTTGAACAAGATGCTTCCTCTGTTTGCTGCAGTTCAGAGCCGGCAGTGAGGTGACCACCTTAAGCAGTAGATGCTGACGTGTGGAGAGCCACAGCTAAATGTGAAATGGCAAGGGGAAAGTTGCTAGGTTATAACCCAGAGATGCACTGAAGGCCTTGATAAAATGGGAAAGTCAACACGGTGTTATTGGGCCTTGTACGATCACTTAAAAAAAGCAACAACAGGTGGATCAGGGCCTCAGTAGCATCAAAGTGTTAAAGTGCCCTCTCCCCACACTATGACCTTGAGCCAACTCCCCCCCGCACTACAATCACAACATACAAGGCTAATTTGATACCAATGACATCATGTCTAGTTTGGTCTTTTCAGGAGTGGCCCCCTCTATGGAATGCTCTCTGCAGGGAGGCTTGCTGGCACTGATCTATTTTTGGCACCAGGCAAAGTCGTTTCTCTTCTCCCAGGCATTTATCTGGTGCCCCGAAGACTGTGATGGTTAGACCTATGTTAGTGGATGTAGGGACTGCTTATATCAGGCATGTCCAAAATCCATTTCGGGGGCCTAATCTGGCCCACCGGTTGGTTTAATCCGGCCCCTGCACCAGTTTATTTCCTGGTCGCCCCTCACAGCACTTCACTTCATCACTTCATCAAATCTGGCCCTCTTTGAAAAAAGTTTGGACACCACTTGTTTATATGGTTTGGTTATCTTCTATTGTGCGTCCTTTTAAATCACTGTGCTTTTAAAGGTTGCATACTGTATTTTTACTATTATTTGTAAGTCACCTTGAGACGCTTGTGACAAGAAACTACAAAGCCTCATAAATAATAAACATGGTGCTAAATGTGTCATTAGAAACTAGAAGCACTTCCGGACACAAGGCTTAATATTACAAATGGGTCATTCACGTATTGCAAGTTGGCTCACCAATTGCATTGGCTCTTTTTTAAAAATAATTTAAAAAAAACGTTTTGGATTTCAGTGCATAGCTGTCAACGTTTTCCTTTTTTTAAGGGAAATTCCCTTATTCCAAATAGGATTCCTCACAAGAAAAGGGAAAAGCTGACAGCTATGTTTCAGTGGCATAGCATGAGGGGGCACAGGGGCGCTTGCCCCGGATGCAACATTGTTAGGGGCACAAAATTTCAACACTCTGGTGCCGCCTCAGTACAGCTGTGTGCTTCCGTCACTGAGCTCCAATAAAAACAGCTTTTACATGTGAAACAGGAAGTGGCCTCTCCAGACAACAGGACGACTCTTCTTTTCTTTTCTCTGTGTCTGCGATCTGCTGGGTGATGCGGACGCCATTAGGCAATTGAATGCGCATGTGTACTCCATCCATTTCCATCCCTCCCACCTCGTCCACCCTCTGTGTGGCCCTGGGCACAGGCAACCCAGACTATGCCACTGCTGGAAAGAGTAGATCTGGACTGAAGGGGGTGGGGATACAGGCTGTCATTTTTATGACAATATCCTTTCTTTTCTCTCTAGCATTTGCATTGGTTGATGCAAAAAACAACAACCTGGCATGTCTGAGCAGCATCGATCCCACAATAAATACAGTGGTACCTCGGGTTAAATACTTAATTCGTTCCAGAGGTCCGTTCTTAACCTGAAACTGTCCTTAACCTGAAGCACCACTTTAGCTAATGGGGCCTCCCGCTCCTGCTGCGCCGCCGGAATACGATTTCTGTTCTCATCCTGAAGCAAAGTTCTTAACCCGAAGTACTATTTCTAGGTTAGCGGAGTCTGTAACCTGAAGCGTATGTAACCTGAGGTACCACTTTACTGCCTGGAATTGTCCTATGTTAAGTGGTGGTATTTTAAAGCCAGTTGGGGTGGGGTTAATCAGGACAGCAGCATGCACAGATACAAGATTTGATTCTTGCTTTCCCAGTTGTGCCCACCAATAATTGCCCCATGCACTGGTATTTGCCTAAGAAATAAATATCCCATTGCTGCCCATGGGAGCTTTGCTCCCTAAGGCTGACAGCAGCACATGGGAAATTTTAATCAGGATTGAGGCAGAGAATGGAATGGTTAAATCTCCCCACTCTTGTGGTCCCAATGAAAATTCCTCCCCCCATCTCCAATGCCTATTATTACATTTTAAAAACCTAATTTAGTTTCTAATGATCCATTTAGCATCGCATGTAGTTCGGCTCTCTGAGTGCGCACACACTAATGGCTTAAAATGCAGCAAGGTTGTTTTCCACCGCAGCGTTTCAAGCCACATTTGCACAGTGTTGTGCACATCAGTGAGGGAGCAGGGATGTACTCGCCCGATGTGCATGATCTTTCTTGTTTCCCTGCCCCTGCAACTTCCCTAGAATTCCAATTAACAAAGCTTTTGTCTGTGCATGCACACCCATCTGCACATGTGCAGTGACTGTCTCAAATATATGCACCAGGCTTAAGCACAAAGTGAATGCAGCTTAGGTTTTCTAGCTGGATTTAAGCTGGTTTGAGGGAGGCAGAAAATGCATAAAACCGTGGTATTTGTACAGGACTGATACAGATTGTGGCTAATGTCACAGGCACACAGCCATGGGAGCACCCTGCAAGCAGAGTAAGCTGAAGCCAGGCAAAACCTGAAGGGAAGCCCTGATGACAAATGCCTTTCAAAATGTTATTCAGAAATCAGATATGCACTATCCAGTCCCCATCAGCAAACTACGTTGTGGTGTATTCTGGTATTAAATCAGACCATTCACAGACTGTCTTGGGCACCGTGCTGCTGAGAACGAATCACTTGGGGCAGTGGCTCTGTGCCAGCAAGTGGAACAACCGATGATATCACCTTCTCCAAAGTTCTGAATGTGGGCCAAGACCCAGCACCTAGAATGCTGCCATTCCAACTTCCCACACCGGAGATTAGCAAAGTCGATGGCTGTTTACAGAGACCTAGAAGGAGTGTGGGCAACGCCAAGATTTGCAAGAAGCCATTCATGAAAATGTCAAGAGATGGTTGTCAGCATTCTGTAGTAAAATGAAGCTGTCCATGCTTCATTTTTCAGTTGGAACTTGCTGGAACTCAGTTCCAGCACTTCTCAGATGGGTGCCATTGCCATTACAAGTGAACAAGGGAAGTGTTTGTGGTGAGTTCTGGCACCTCTTTTTCTAGAAAAATAGCACTGCTTGGAACCCTCAGAATTTTCTGCTGTACAGTGGTACCTCGGGTTAGGTACTTACTTCGTTCCAGAGGTCCGTTCTTAACCTGAAACTGTTCTTAACCTGAAGCACCACTTTAGCTAATGGGGCCTCTTGCTGCTGCTGCGCTGCTGGAGCACGATTTCTGTTCTTATCCTGCAGCAAAGTTCTTAACCTGAAGCACTATTTCTAGGTTAGTGGAGTCTGTAACCTGAAGCGTATGTAACCTGAAGTGTATGTAACCCAAGGTACCACTGTACTACAATAATAAGGCAAATGTTTATGAGATTCCCAGGATAATGATTATTTAGTGGACCCTCAGGCCATGATGACATTATTTTATTAGGGAACAGAGACTGAACTCAAGGCCTCTCCTCCTAAGACTGGGATGGGGGGATCTGTGATCATCTGGATGACCTTGGACTATGGCTCCCAACACCTCTGACTGCTGGCCATGCTGCCTGGGGCTAATGGGAGTTGTAGTCCAATGTTATCTGTATGGACACAGATGCCCATTGCTGTCTTAGAAAATGTTGTGAAAGTTTGACAGGTCAGTCCCAATGTGCGGTACGATCACAGAAATGCCTAGAATGGGACACCAGTGCCCCCAGAATTAAAATGTTGTGTTAGCTGGACTTGAACAGTGTTGTGTTCAGAGGGATTATTGGAAGTATGAATCCGGATGTACGTTTAGCTTAATGAATTAAGGCTGCAATCCTGTGTACACTTATCTGAAACTAAGTCCCACTGAACGCAAAGGGACTTAGACCTACTTCTGAGTAGATATGTATAGGATTGCAGTGTAAGGGTTTTTAAGTTTTGTAATTGCTGGCTTTTAAATACTGTGACCTTTGATCTTTTTACCAGTGGAACTTCAAATCCTTTTTAGCATTGTTAATTATCGTTGCATATTGATTTGTTGTAAGCTGCTTTGGGAGCCTTGTCTGTACTGTAATACTGAGATCCGCTAGCATGTGAACAAATAACAAACTGAAAAATTGTGCCAAGGTTAATATTTTAATAACTTAAAATAACATCAGCAAATAATTAACTCACTTGCGATGAGTCCTGCTGACCCATTTTGCCTCAAACTTAACAGGCCACTACCGTTCAGCAGATAAGTAGAAACTAGATTAGTCATAAAGCAGTTTTGTCCATGGGAGTTCCACAACATGTGGGTGAGTTTTAGATCTAATCTGCATGCAGATGAACTACTTCAGTTCTTTTTCCTCAAGCTCTTTTCTCTCTCTCCTTTTTAAAATAGATTAGCAAGCTGGAACTTGTCCTTCAGCAGCTGTACAATTAACTTGCAGTAAACACAGCTGATAATTGCTTAGTACTTGTATCTTGGTACCTGCACACAATTCATTGCGTCCTGAATGCTCAGTGTCAACTTTGATTAAAAAAAAAACACCCTCATTGATAATCAGCCAGAGACTTCCCTATCATAATCAGTGAGTTTGAATACACATATCTGCTGAGTCTGTTGATGACCTTCTAATTGTGGATCAATCCATGTACTCATATGCTTACAGATATATATATATATATATATATATGTCTCATCTTCTCATCTTTATATTTTCTCTCACACCACCCCTGCGAGGCAGGTCACCAAGAGACAAGCTATGTTACCCAAAACATGGAGCAGCTGATGAAAACAAGCCTCATGTCAAGTTCCCCTCTTCTGTCCAACAGGATGTTGTAATTAAACTCAAGACATACCATTGCCAGATGATGTGCTCTCCTGCCTCCCCAACTCAAGTTGATGACATGAAGTGATGCCATGATGGAGGGATGCTATGCATTCATTACTGAAATACCCCATCCTTCCCAACATGCCCTCTTGGGTGTGAAGATCAGCAGAGGGAGCCCTCTTAGTAGTTCTCCTGCCCTCAGAGGTTCAGGGTGCTGGCAGGGTGCTGGAGATGGCATTCTCTGTGGCAGCTCCTAGGCTGTGGAATTCCCTCCTCACAAAGGTGAGTCTGTCATTTTCAGTACAGTGGTACCTCGGGTTACAGATGCTTCAGGTTACAGACACTTCAGGTTACAAACTCCGCTAACCCAGAAATAGTACCTCGGGTTAAGAACTTTGCTTCAGGATGAGAACAGAAATCGCACAGTGGTGGCGCGGTGGCAGCGGGAGGCCCCATCAGCTAAAGTGGTACCTCAGGTTAAGAACAGTTTCAGGTTAAGAACGGACCTCCAGAACGAATTATGTTCTTAACCTGAGGTACCACTGTATATAGTTGCCACTATATGCTGAAGACCCACCTCTTTATCCAGGGCTTTTGAAACTCAAGACATGTGTTTTCAGTGCCTGCTCCATTCCTGTGACGGCAATTTGTTTTACACTGTTTTTAACACTGAATTTTAACTTCTTGTAACCCGCCTGATGGGGGAAGGGCAGGTAATGAATTAAATAAATAAGAACAAGAACAAGAACAGCTTTGGGAGCAGAATGCAAAAAAGGGCCCAGGAACCAGGGGCATCTCTGAAAAACCGAACTTCGACAAAGGGGCATGTCTGGAAACTGGATTGCGGCAACGGTTGGGAAGCAGGGTTTCCCTTCCTGTCTGGGGCCTGGAAATTTTGCCAGCTCTTCAGTTTTGCACTTCTCCTTATGGCCATGCAGCTGATGTGTGCAGTTGACTGCTGCCTCTCTGGCACATGTTGGCTGTATGCTTAGAAATGTGCATTAGGAGAAGGGCTGCAGCTCAGTGGTTGAGAACATGCTTTGCATGCAAAAGGTTCTAGGTTCAATCCAAGGTCTCCTGGTAGTTTCATGGCCCTCAGACATTCATGGGCTGGCAGCCTGGGAGAGGGCATTTTTTCTGGCAGCCCTTCAATGTACATCTGGCCCCTTCATTATTGAAGATGCGCCTCTTTCCCTGGCTTTTGACACATGGGAAATATAGGTAGAGAGAGAGAAAGACAGGAGGACAGACTCTGTTCTTTTGACTGTAATTTTAACTGATTTTAATCATCTATTTTCAAATTGCTGTAACCTACCCTGTGATATTACGGCGAAGAGCAGGTAAAAAAGTAACTTAAAAATAAACAGTAATGGTTTCTGCATGTTATATGGGAGAGAAAAGGGAACTTGGTAAGTGTTGTGGGTAACGTTTGCTTCTCATTTGCAGGTAGGGAGAGAAAGCATGACATGTTCCCCCACCATAAGAACAACCTAACACCCCATACACATGTAACTGTATTCTTGTAAAATTTGGTTTGTCTGTTTTTGCTTCAGTTTTTTGTTCACCACTTGGAGATACTTTTAATATATTGAGTGGTATAGAAATTTTATAATCAAACTCGTTAGTCTGGAGAAGACTTGGGAAGGTGGGGGCAGCGATAGTATCCTTCAAATACGATGGGCTGTCACACAGAATAGGGCAAAGATTTGTCTCTTGCTACCCTAGAGGACAGGATTTGATTTATTGGGCTTAAATTACAGAAGGGAAGATCGTAGTTCAACTTTAGGAAAAAGACCTTGATTATGGCTGCCTAATCTCTGGCCCTCCAGAAGTTGTTGGACTCCAACTCACATCTGCCCTAGCCAGCAGGGACTACGGTCAGGGATGATGACAACATCCAAAGGACCACAGATTTGTCATCCCTGTTTGCCGAACAGAAGCTGGGCATCTGTTGGGGATGCTTGTTGGTTGTACTATGAAATGGTGCACTCATGCCACTTCCAACACTATGATCTTCAGACTAATTTCTTTAAAAATTGGTTGCATTCTCTCTCTCTTTTTAAAAATTTCTGTAACTCCACAGTAAATAGCAAGGTATTGCAACTTAAGTTTCTTTCATCACTGCCACAGCGGTATTCAGTATTGCTGTGATGGGACAGCTTGGTCTTTTATTATAATCAAGTGCTCTACCTAAGGTTTTGGCAAGCACTATGTGCTAATGAGCAGACTTCAATATCATGTCTGTTTTAATGCATCTGTAACGTGACCATCTGGACTGGATAGTGCTGCAGCCTTTGTAAGCATGTGGTAAACAGAGCATGACAAAATGCGCAATTGTTAAGTTTTGACGACATTTAATTGGGCATATTTAATGTTTGTTAATAATTTATGTCTTTTCCGTGTTTATATGTTTGTGGAGATTATTCACTATGCAATTTAAACTCCTGGTATATATCACCTTTTGAAACTTCTTGGATAAATGATAGGTTAAAAAAAAAGTCAATTTGCAAATAAAAGTGTTTTGCTTTGTTTTAAAAAGGATAAATTTAATATCCCCAAAGACCTAAATAATTCAACAACCACTACTAGTACGTGAAAAATGTGACACAAGATACAGTGGATGCTTTTTGAAAATGATGGGTGTCTTCAGCTGCTCCGGCTGTTCTGACACAGGAAGAGGAAGAATGTTTTGAAGGGTGCTTTATTACTTCACAAATCAAAGTTTTTGTGTAGTTTACACTGGCATCTGTGAACTGCTCTGATTTTGTATGAAGAGTTGTATGTCAATGGAAAAAGACAATCAGCAGTTCACTGCTTCTACAGCTTGCTAGATCCTGAAATAAGTGTTTTTATCTGGGTATCCTGTATCAGCAGCCTCCAGCCAGCTCCCCAAAGTAGCCGTATTACAGTGCACTGTCTAATAATGAGACTTCCTGCCAGGTAACTGCGTGCAGAATTGCAGCCTAAGGCACACACCTGGAAGAAAGCCCCAGTGAACAGACATGCACAGTGCAGTGTCTCAAAGCACAGGCAACAGGGGAGTCTCATGTTGTACCTTTAACAAATGAACAGTATCATGTAGTTCTGCAGCCAAGATCCTACCTCATGAATCACTGTGCACAATGCTAGCCACATGGATTACTTTTCACAGCTGGCAGTCAAGTGACTCACAGTTGGGACACCGATACAGAACAGCTCTAAAGCTTCAGTTCTATTACACTAACCTTGAATTCAATGGGAATTATTTCTGAGCGAAGTGGCATGCATAGGCTAGTGCTGTGAGTTTGGGAGGGTCAAAATAGCCCTATTACGGTAGTAGGCGGGAAATGGTATGCATTCAGCTGTGTCATTGTTGAGGAGTGCGTTAACACCGTCCATGCCTGTGGCTTCATAGACATAATGCTGCTGCTTTTTTCTGTGACAGGAACAGAAGACGTTACTATATATGGAGGCAGACCATTGGTCCAGCTCTGAGGGCCTTCTGGCGGTTCTAGCACTGCAAGTAGTGAAATTACAGCAAGTCAGGTACGGGGACTTCTTGGTGGTGGCTCCTGCCTTGTGGAACATCCTCCTGGCAGATGTTAAGGAAACGAACCACTATCTGTCTTTTAGAATACATCTGAAGGCAGCCCTGCATAAAGAAGTTTTTTAATGTCGATGTTTTCTTGTGCTTTTATATCTGTCAGAAGTCACCCAGAGTGGCTGGGGCAACCCAGTCAGATGGGCGGGATATTATTATTATTATCATTATTCAAGCTCAGTATTGGCAGCAGCTCTCCAAGGTGTCAAATGGGAGTCTTTCCCACCCCTGGAAGTGCCAGGGATTCAGCTGCTTGTATGTAAAGCATGTTATGCTATGCATATGCTATGCTAATGAGCTGTAGCCCTTCCCCAGATTACAGTGGTTCAAGATAAGACCACCTCAAGAAATTCATGTTTCAGATGCAATTTGCATCAGAGTATTAGTTGTTGAGGGAGTGACAATGGGAGAGTGTGATTGCCCTCAGGTCCCGCTTGTGGACTTCATTCTGGGCCTTTAGCAATGTGGCAGCCATTTTGTTTTCTTCTTTCATTGTACAGATAGATTTTTAACACACTTCCTTATCTTTTCCACTGCCAGATCTTTATGTTAATTGCTCTGCAAAGCAGTGTTCTTGGCCAATTTCAGTGCCTGAGGAGGAGAGCTCACGTCTCAGACTGGCATGACAACCAACATTTTTTCCCAAGACTACATGGAGTTGAAATGTAAATTCTTATCTAATATTTAGGGTTACCATGTGTCCTCTTTTTCAGAGGTAAAATTTGAGACAGATTGCATCTATTTGCTTTGAATGGCCATCATAGCGTCCTCTTTTTTGCTCTTCAAAATATGGCAACCCTAATCGGAGGCATTCTCAATGTGCTTAGAGACCTAAGGCTGCAAGTCCTAGAAGAACTATTTCCTGCCTTGCAGGCCTTTTCCCACCTGGCCTGGGAGAGCTGGGCCCTGACTTGAGCTACAGAAACTGAGGCTACTGGGCTGCCGTATTTGGTGGGGCGTGTTGGATGTTGCTGCTGCTGCCATTATTGAAATTAATTTTTGTACCTTTATTTTATAATTTATTTTTATGAGGAAATTGTTTCAATTTACTTGTGTACTTTTTGATGTTTTGATAGAATCACAAAACTGTCCAGCTGGAAGGGACTGATGAGAGTCCAAACCCCTGCAATGAAGGGATCTTTTATTGCTTATTGCTATGCCTGCTTCTTGGGAGAAAAGCAATGACAAACCTAGACAGCATCTTAAATAGCAGAGACACCACCTTGCCAACAAACGTCCGTATAGTTAAAGCTATGGTTTTCCCAGTAGCGATGTATGGAAGTGAGAGCTGGACCATAAGAAGGCTGATCCCCGAAGAATTGATGTTTTTGAATTATGGTGCTGGAGGAGACTCTGGAGAGTCCCATGGGCTACAAGAAGATCAAACCTCTCCATTCTTAAGGAAATCAGCCCTGAGTGCTCACTGGAAGGACAGATCCTGAAGCTGAGGCTCCAATACTTTGGCCACCTCATAAGAAGAGAAGACTCCCTGGAAAAGACCCTGATATTGGGAAAGATGGAGGGCACAAGGAAAAGGGGACGACAGAGGATGAGATGGTTGGACAGTGTTGTCAAAGCTATGAACTTAAGAGTTTGACCAAGCTGCAGGAGGCAGTGGAAGACAGGAGTGCCTGGCGTGCTCTGGTCCATGGGGTCACAAAGAGTCGGACATGACTACACGACTAAACAACAACAACAAAAATGTTTGTATGTGATTTTATTTCATGTTGTATGCTGCCTGGAGCATAGTTTTAACTACGGAAAGGTGGCATATAAATAAAATGATATATGTATATGTACACACAACGTTTTGAAAGCTGCATTTCCAAATTAACACGCGGTTTTCAGACCCACTTCACTTCCCGGCCCTCCCACATCCACTCCAACCTGGCCTGTCCACCCCACACCCGCCAAAAAACCCCAATGCTCCTTAAACCTTGAACAAGCAAACTCCTCCCCGCCTTTGCCGACCCCCCTTGCACCCCAACCCTCGCAGGGCATACATCTGCAGGCCCTTATGTGTGAGGCATGGCCCCCGAACCCAAAACCCATTGCCCGTGCCTTAAATTCCTCTCGAGTCCCCGCTAGGCATCTTTCTCCGCGCCCCGTTAGGCAGGAGCATGCACACGAGTCGTGTGCCCGTGTTCGTCGTGCCCGCTTCGAGCCCTTCCACGCGACATTTTTCAAGCCAGGGGTCGCTGGTTAATGACAATGTAAGAGGTGGAGGGAGAGAGAAGGGCAGTGTGGGGTCTTGCATCCATCCAATCCAGCAGCTTTCTCGCTTTGCTCAAGCTCAGTAAGAGGAGGAGGAGGCAGGAGGAAGTGTGTGGGGTGGGCTCCTATTGCCCCCCCCCCTTTTGCCTCTCTCTCTCTATACGTGTGTGTGTTTGTGTCCGCGCAAACATATAGCAGCATGTTTTATGTTATATATAGGGCTGCTATTTATACTGCTGCATTTCCCCCTTCTGCGTGAGAGAGAGAAGGGGAACCCCCCACCCCACCCCACCCCAGGAGCCTTCCCTCTACTTTCCCCTCCGAGGGAAGGGCGACGCCGAGCGCGCGTTTCCCTTCCGGGCGCGGGGCGGGGGTCGAGCGAAGGAGGCGGCCTGCCGAGGCCCTGCCCGCCGCCGGGGGGATTCTCGGCTCGGCCGCCTGAGCCTGCCAGCTTTCCGAGGCTCGTTAGAGGGAGCTGTCGGCCGGAGGGAGCGGCGCTTGCTGCAGTGAGGGGCCCGCTCCTGCCTCGCTCGCTGCCGCTTCCACCACCACCAGTACCACCGCCTCCTCCTCCTCCTCGGGAGCCGGAAAGGAAGCGAGCGAGAGGGACCTTCCGAGCGCCAAGAGGCGAAGAGGCGGCGGCGACGGGCCGTCGCGGCGGAGCCTCTTCCCGGCGCGAGAGGTGGGCGAGGGCTGGCCGGGCCCTGTGGCGGCCGCCGGCCCGCCGCTATGCATCCCGCGAGCTCCTGGGAGCCGGCCTGGGGAAGGCAGCCGGCCGGCCGGAGGTACGGAAACACCCCCGCGGCGTCCGCGCTTACCCGAGAATAAATGGGGCGCTGGTTGGGGGGTGGCGGGAAAAGGGAAAGCAGGAGCGGCGGGCGCGCGCGCGCACGCGTGTATGTGGAGGGGGGGGGAATCGCCGTTCATCCGCCTGCTGGGGCTTTTGGAGAGGCAGCTCCCTCCGGAGAAGCGGAGGACGGGTTCCCGCGCCCCTTGGCGCCCTTGAGAGGGTCCCCGCTCCACAGCTACCGCGCGGGCCGGGAGGAGGCTCCCGGTGGGGCTTTCCCGGGGTCCTTCCTCCTCTTCTAGGGGAGGAGGAGGAGGGTCTCCCCCTGTCGCCCTTGAGATGGATTCCCCCTCAGGCTGAAAGGGTATGGGGTCTTCTTGCCCCCCTTCCTCGCTGCTGCTTTTCTACGCCCTTTTTAAGAGAGGGGGGGTGAACATGCCACCTCCTCGGGCAGATTCAATACGGACATTGGTCCCTCTGAATTCGGATTGAGGGGGCGGGGGGGCCGTCACCCCAATAGTGCCCTTGAGAGGCCAGCCCTCTCTGGGCAGGAGGGAAAGGGCTTCTCACCAGGGGGGTGTCCTTAAGAGCCTCCTCTTTCCCGACAACCGGGAAACTCGCCCCACTGACGCCCTTGCGAGGTTCCCTTTACACGGAATGCATGGCGGTGGTAGTCATTGCCCTATGGATGCTCTTTTGGAAAGTCCCCTTATTTCGGGTGCCCTTGAGACAATTCCCCGCATGGTGGCGGCGGGAGAGAAGGGAATGGGCAGTTTCAGGCTCTGGAAAAGGTCACTTCCCAAAACCGACAGCTCAAGGCGGGAGTACAAGGGAAGGACTGGACTACTTCTCGGGGGCAGCCTGACCTCATCCCAGCTTCTTTTCGTTGTATGGTGGAGAGACTGAGAGCCCACCTTACTGAGGAGCAGAATGGCACCGTTTCTGCCCTTGAGAGGACCTTCCATCCCGAGTGGCTCACCCCGAGGACCCCCCCCCTTTCCCCAGTGGGTGAATACTCGACATGTGGGTCACGCCTGGTGCTCTGATCAGAGCCTGGGTGTTCCCCAGCATTGCCTGGCATCTGCCTCTTGTCGCCCTTGCGACAACCTATGGGGTAGGTTGAGGTGGGGCAGCGGATTAATAATAACAATAACAATAATAATCGAAGCTATCCGGCGTGCAACTCGGAGATTCCTTCCGAGAGCTGCCGAGCCCCTCCCTCCTCTCTGTGGGGCCCATGCAGGAAGAGCACCGCCGAGTTCTTCCTACTTCTCTATATTTGAATGGGGCGCAGATGCGTCCCTTTCCCCCCGGCTCTTCACAGGGTGCCCCCCCACCTTCTGCCCCCAAATACGCTGCAGGAGCAGATAGGTAACGGGGCGGGGAGTTCCCGAGACGACCTCTATCCTCCCCTTCCTCGCCGCGCCTCTGTACCCCAACAGGTGTCGCGCATGCTTCTTCCTCGTCCTCCGCCCTCTTGCCCTGCCCTCTTGCACCCCACCCACTTCGGTGGGAGATGCGGGGGACACCCGCCCGAGGGGCTGCTGGCCGCCAAGCTTAGCCTAGGAGAGCCGGGCGCGTTAGGCCCTGAAAGCCGCGACTGGAGGAGGCGGCGGCGGCGGCGGATTTAGCCGCAACCCCGGGACAAATCCTCTTGCCGGCGACCTCCCTCGCCGGGCTGGCAGCCCCCGGCGTTGGCGCCGCTTCTCTCTTCCCTCTCCCGTTCGCTCGCTCGCTCGCTCACTCCGCGCCTTTCTCCCCCCCCCCCCCGCACTCAGGGAGCTGCAGACGGAATAGGGAGCCGGCTCCCAGCCCGTTACTTTGGGGCCAGGCCAGCCACCTCCGTGTCCATGAGCCCGCCGCCCTCCTGTCAGAGCTGCTGCTGCTGCTGCCGCCGCCGCCGCCGCCACCTCCTTCACCAGCAGCCGCTGCCAACTAGGGCGCACATTGCTGCCGCCGCCGCCGCCGCCGGGCCCAGTTCGCTCGGTCCTGCCATCTCCTTCCCTCTGCGCAGCAGAAGGTGAGTGATGATCCGCGGAGTCCCGTTGGTTGGCTTGGCGTTGTGGTTGCCCACTATCCCTTTCCTGCCTTCCACAGGCTGCTGGCGTCCCCCCCCCCTTCCTAGTCCTCGTTAGTCTTCTCCCCCCCCTCATTCCTGCTTTCCATTTCCAGCCTGGGATTCTCTGCCCTTCCCTCTCCTGTTTATCTCTGCTTTTACCTACTGGCTGCCCCCTAATATGTTTGGATGTCCATGCTTTCCTGACTAACTTGAAGGCTAGAGAGGCCATTTCAGGTATTCTAATGTCTGGCTTCAATGCTTACTGGTTGTAACAGCTAAAAGGTCCTCTCAGTGCAGCTGGTGGTTGCCTGTTTTCCTCTCAGTCACCTCCCCCTGTTAACTAAAGGGGAGTTGTCACCCTGCTTTTAGTGTAACCCATAATAATTTCCCACTTTGTTTGTTGAGGGGGGCAGACAAATGGACTGCCCCTTAGTGTACAGTTACTGCGTTTGATTGTCTTCTTGCAGCATGGAATGTACAAATGTGCGTTTCCTTTTCATCCGTGCTATAACTTTACAAGACTGAATTATGATGATGAGGTCCATTTACAGTTTATTTATGCGATTATACTCATATGTGTCTGTAAAAACAAAGTGAAACCCTAGGTCCACAGGGAAGGGTTTTCTGAGATTTCTTTACAACCTCCACAAACATAGTTCAACAACTAACACAAGTGATCCTTTTGTAGCGAGGTAGATTGTGGTGTGTCAGTTTTTAAAAGTAAGCTTGGGTATATGCATTCTGTGCGGTAGACCCAAGTAAAAATCCTAAGCTCCTTATCAGGCTGGAAAGATAGTTATGACTCAATAGATGATGTGTGTGCAAACAGGCCAATTAGTGGGGGAAATCTTTGCTATGGTGACTCAATACATACAAAGCACATAACTGTTTCTTTGAAATAAGGCCTTGTTGGACATTGGTAAGCAGGAAGTTGTCTTCTTCGTGTTGAGTAATTTCTCTCTTTCTTATTCTGTAGGAAACGACTACAGACTCCTGTGTGAAGAGAATGGCTGTGACTTTAGAACAGGCCCGAAGGGCGGCCTATATATTTCTGAAAGCACTCTTAAGATTTGGCTTCATGGTTGCCAATAACCTTGTTGCTATTCCGTCCTACATTCTGTATTTAATAGTACTGCAACCTCTCCGATTGTTGGATAGTAAACGGTTCTGGTATATTGAAGGAGTATTATTTAAATGGCTTTTAGCTATGGTGGCTTCCTGGGGCTGGTGTGCAGGATATACAGGTAAGAACAACTTACTACTTGAAATTGATTATGCATGTATACAGAAGTAAACCTATATGTGGAAGTCTCCTAAAGTCTTTTTATGTATTAATAGAGATTTATATTCAATGCTTGTCGAATAGCAGAATTTTGGCTTAAAGACACACTTGACCAAAGGGAGGAGGGGGTAGGACAGGTTGACTTCCATGGGAAAGAGGAAGCCCTTTTGAAATCGGTGAGATTTGTTGCAAAGTAAATACAAACATAATATATACTTATAAGGCTTCCGGAATAGAAGGACACTTCATGCCCTTCCATGGGATCTATATTGGTGAGAACTCCTTAACTCCATCATCAGGAGTGGTGGGTGCATTTTGCCCTCACTTCAAAACAGCAATACTTTGCTGTTTTCCACCTGGCTTAATAGTAAACGCTCACAGGTTTTATTCTTCCTGAGCTCTATCCCAGATTGTGTCTTAAGATTGTGATAAAGTGTAACAGAATATTGGGAACTGGCTTTGTAAAGTGCATGAATTATATGTGCACATTTAATGATATTAAATGTGCAAACTGGAAAACATGGGCATTCGGTTATGAATGCTGACAGCTCTAGATACATTTTGTGAATACTTATGTACATATTTCTGTGACTTACCATTTACCAGATTTTGGACAATCGAAATTTGTGGATATGCCAGTGAACAACAATCACTTGTCTGTGTTTGTAAAAGGGGAAATAATACATATATTATAAATAGTTTGACTAGACAGGTTTGCTTTTTCTGAAATTCTTAATAAGTGACTTCCATTTTACTAATGGCTTCCCGAACTATAAAGATGCATGAGGACTGTTCTTGGCTTGCTTTTGTTTGTTAGAACAGTGTGTAATAGTAGCTTTTGGATATTGATATGCTCACAGTTTAAAAAAAGAGGTAGATAACTCAGTATCTACGGAAAGTCCCATGCCTCTATGCTGCAAAATGTTCTCTTATCTACTGATATATATGTATATATTTTGTAGAGCTTAGACACGATCATAGTGCCTCTCAGCACTAACAGAAACTAATACTGTAGGACTTTTAAAGAACCTGAGCTAAGTGCAGGCAACAAATGATTTAGGCGTGTCTGAATGACATGCGAACGATCACATATGATGCTGAACCCAGAAGTGGACCCCCCCCCCGCAAACGTCATAAAGACGTTACAAAAAGGGAAGTGGTGGGCTTATGCCTCCACTGATGTGTTCGGCGTCCAGAACATAACCCCCATGCGAAAAGAGAATTGCCTGTATGTTTATGGGGGGGGGGATTTCCAGTAGTTCCTAGTCAGTATATTTTAATTAGAGTCTTTGTCAGTATAGCACTAGAATCTAGAAAGAACTTCCTCACTTCTCTGCAAAGTAGGCTTCAAGAACAGCTGTCCTTTTTAATAATATGCCATGTTCTATTCTATCATGGGCTTTTCTGAGTAAAACCTTTTTTTAAAAAACCCAGATGCTTTAAGATGAGGTTTTGTTGGTAGTTATCCAATGATTCCAGCTCATGTTCATATTATATAATGTTCTCACTAAAGTTTTAATTGGCCTACAATGTGAATGCGGTGCAAGTTTGTATTTTTGTTAGTCTTTTGTCATTCACGAGCAACATTCACAAAAGGTACAAATAGCTGGAGTGTGGCTCAAAGGTGCTTTTAAGGACCCTTCGCTGTAATGCATCCCACATCTTTGGGGCTTCTTGAGTAGTGCAGTGCTTCAGAAGTGCTCACCCCGTTATAGAGGTTAATCAGATACTCATTTTCATGCTGTAGATTTCAAAGATGTCTATTCAGAAAAAGTCTACATAGTATTCACAATGGAAAGTTTCCATCTGAGGTCTTCACACACACACATTGAAGAAAAATTCTTCCAGCAAGGATTGAGGATTTTGATGCTTTACTGTGTTATGTATGTGAGGTTACTGTAAAAATGATGAGGTTAAAGACCTCGTTTATTATCCTGAGGATGTAATATGACAGTTTTAGTTAAAATTCAGGCCAATTGTTCTGTGATATTAGATGATGTTAGTGGTTCTGAAAGGCTTTTTTGTTTTTAGTTCATTTCTTCTGACAGCAGGTGAAGGTTTTTTCTTCTGCCTGTTGCGTGAAAGGCATTATCGGCATAAGGTATATTCGTAATCTGCCACTGAAATTATGACAGACCTATTAGTTCTTTTTTTCCTTTACAAACTTAAGAATTGTATAGGTTTGTTTAGGATTCATATATGGTCCTTGTTAGCATATCATGCTAATAATGCACACCGTGACTTAACCACTTTGCTCCTACAGTTGTTCTGCTGATTTAAACCATGGTTTGGCTTAGCATGTCATCCATACCTGAGCTCAAGGTTTAGCGCGCTCTAGACAAACCACAAGCTGTAAACCATAGTACAAACTTTGATTACAGCTCCTTACAAGCATGGGTTCAGACAACACATTATGCCAGCCATGGCTAAAGCTGCAGAATAACCAGAGGAGAAGAAAAGTAGTTGTAATCACCTCTCTGGGAGCCTACATATTGTTTGTTCACACTAATGTTTTGGCTCATTCAAACTATACCATTGTCAACAAAGTGGTGATATCATTCTGTTTATGCTATACATGAAGAAATTAGTTGAACATATGAAATTGTAGGAGCCAGTGCATTTTTTCCTGTAGATGTTTGTGTTAAGAAAGGAGAAGTACATTTCTTATTCCCTGTTTCCCTCCCCTCCCCAATTATCATTACCTCAGGCGTTCCATATACCTATAATACTTGTGAATATGTTCTTAAAAGACTTGATGTGCTCCTTAGTGTTTAGAAGGTAAGTGCCAGTGCTTATTTGCATAAGATCACAAATTCTGGAAGATTTAGAAAGTGGCCCTAAAAAAGAAAATCTCTTTCAGTTCTTTCTTTACATTTGTACCATGTGCTTTACAGTTATGTCATCTGTTAGCGTTTGCTCTAGCATTTGTCTTCAACTCCGCAGGTGTCAACATTTATTTGCATTCTTGTGCTAAAACAGAGTGGAACTGTGATGCAGAGTTCAGATGACTGCTTCTTTGCCTAAATATTCTATTTATGGTGACAAATTGGTTTTGCCACAAACCTCCCAGAAATATTTTTGTGGCCTAGTAATTAGCTGACTTGTCTACTATTATAAGAGTACTTGAGAGTATTTATGCTTGGTTATATATTTCTGCTTTCAGCTGTTTCTAAACATGTGCTCTTCAATAACACTCAAAAGAAAACACAAATCTCTTGTTAACAAACTGTTCTTTGTTTTCTGTTTTTGATATAAAGCTTCAATATTAAGGCCAAACCAGGCATGACAGTGCTTGTCCGCTGTCTGCACCCTTCACGAATAAACTGAAGGGTGTGTGTGTCTATATTTTTAACACCAAAAGAGGTGCACATGTGAGGAAAGCTGAACAGGTTCTCAGTATTGTCATAGGCATTTTTATTTCGTCCTTGGTTACTTCTGGTGTTGGAGTTGGGTTTAGAGATAAAGGAATTTGGGCAACAGACTACATAAGAGTAAGGTAGGATGAAATTCAACTGAGACTTCTTATTTTCTGTGACCAGTTCCTGGGAAGGGTCTTCCCAGAAAACTATATATCAAAACTAACTATACTCTTTGCTTTGAGCTATTCTTAGTACTAAGTGGATGAAATTATAATAGGAATGGTATTATTGCATGTCCTCATCTACACATCACTGATTATTCATGAACAGGTGGAACCATATGTTTGGATCTTTAACCAAGAGTCATGGTGTGCCATGGAAAATTGAGTCTCCAATTAAAGAAATTGGTATTGAGATCAAGACTGAGAGATACAAAATGTCTATGTACATGGTTTATTACAAGAAAGGGAAAAAGGTTCACTGAATTACAAAGGCATTATTTAGATTGGGTGGCAACTATGTGGTTAAATCTATAGAGAATAGAAGAGATTGGGGCAGATAGAATGAGAAGGAGGGATGTGCCGATGCTGAGAGAATTTGGAAAAAGACACACCAAATAAAGGAAGGGTGACTGGTGCTACGCAGATACAAAGGGATTCATGTTGGAATAAGGAGGAGGAATGAAGAGGTAAATAACAGTTCATTTGGTGACAGAACTTGCTTGAGAGTTTGAAAAGGGGAAAAAGAAAGTAGAATTAGAGAAGGAAAACCCAAGCATAGATACTGAGCCCATTCACCCATCATAGTAAGCCCTAAACTATGACTTAGTACGAACAAGCAGCTCACTAGTGCATACCGTTGAATTGCTCCTGCACTGGGAGGTAGGACCAACAGAACTCAGTGTTGGCTTACTGTGAACTAGTGCTTTTGGTTTGTTTCTCCAAACAAGCCGCAGTTGGTAAGCCAAGAGTGTTTTGATGTTTGTTGGGAGGTCACACAAGAACTGGGGCTTTCTGTTGTCCATTAATAGGTCATAATTTGTTCTCATTATTAGGTTACAGATAACTTGGTTTTTTGTGCATCCAATAACCTGAGGCATAAAAGACCAGGCTGCTCTTTTTTCCATATAAATAGAGGGTCACAGCTGGCTTGGCAAACATTCCAGCTAGCGAAGAGACTGAGAGACCAAAGTAGGAGTGTGGGGACAAAGTGGAAGTGAATTCGTAGACTCTGGTGACAGGATGTTCAAAGGATAACAGTGCAAAGTTCAGTGCAGCATGCAACTATAGTTTATAAATTTACCTCCATCTGGTTGTGGAACAGTGTTGACTGAGTTGTAGTAAAACACCCAAGGATGAACTTTGTAATTGCCATGGAATAACGCAATATGAAAAACCTAATATAGCTGGTTTTCTTTTTTAGTCCTTATTTCTGAGTGTTCAGTATACTGTATTTTCAAAACTCTCATGCGAGGTGGAAACACTCCTTTTCTTCAATAGAATTATTTGATTCTCAGGATTTTAAAGAACTATTTAGGCAGTATAGCTAGCACAAGTGCCTTGGGGAAACACGTTGACTGCCTCCGCTACTGAAGAGACCGAAAAGCAACTTTCCATTATTGACACCATGCATAGAAGATGGAGCTCAAGAACTGTTAACATGGGGAGGATGTGACACATGGTATACAGTTTTTCTTTCTGCAGTAGGCTTCCTAGGCTGTACCTAGTTTCTGATAGATTAATTGTGGGTGGGAAATGACACAGTTGGAAAAAGTATAAATTTATAAAAGAAAGTGAATGTGTTTTACAGTTGTGGCCTATGCAAAATATCTTGTGGTAACCTCTGCCTTTTTTAGCTTCACCCACATTTACCTTAACTTATTCATATTGTGTAAGATGTGTGCCTTTGGGCTAGCTGGAAAAGAAGATCAGGAAAGAAATTTGCTTATTTATTACAGTGCTTTTCTTATTCATATTTAAAGCTAGAATCTAATTTTTTTAAAAAAAAATACAATGTGTTGCAGTAAAATTACCAAAGAATAAATCATCAGAGGATTTTTCTTGCCTGTCTCTGGGATTATAATATTAAAGGGAATTCACGTCTAACAGATGTGATTATGTAATTGTCACTTGACAAAGTGTCTTACTGGTGTTGAGTTCTAGAGTAGGTGGGCTGTGCCACTCAGAAGGCTACTTTGGTCCCTGCTGAAATTCAGAAACAGCTCAGGTCTCTCCAGCAGTTTTGGAGGGAGGTTACCATAGCAATCCATACATTATATTTGGCTCCTAGATTTCTAAGAGAAACTCCTTACAGTGGACGCTCGGGTTGCGAACGTGATCCGTGCGGGATGCACGTTCGCAACCCGCAGCGTTCGCAACCCGCGTCTGCACACGTGCGGGTTGTGATTCTGCGCATGCGCAAAGTGCGATTTAGCATTTCTGCACATGCACGACCTCCGAAACCCGGAAGTAATCCGTTCCAGTACTTCCGGGTTTCGGCGGTCTGCAACCCGAAAAGATGCATCCCTTAGCGGCTGTAACCCGAGGTATGTCTATTCTTCTTTAAAACTTTGCTGGAGTTGTGGTGTAGGCAGGCTTCAGGTAACCTATTCATTAGCAGAGAGGTGGCATATACACCTTTCATAAAGTTCTACAGCTTTAATTGGTCTTAATGTATACAATTGTATTTTGATTACCATATTTGCTTGGATTTTCCTCATTGTAAACTGCTTTGGAATCTGTTAACAATAAGTGATCTATAAATGGACAAAATAGATAATTATGGGCTATGGAGCCCTGGCAGAATTCTGAGAACAAACATTTGAAGTGGTAGACATGAATTAGATGAAGCACTGGAAAATGGAAGTGGAGTTGGGAAAGGCCTTCTGGAGGTGTCCCTGAATGGTTGGGGGTCACATCGATGAGGACTGCATTTGTCTTTAGGCACATCCATTTTTGGCTATACTAGAACCACCTCACTTTGAGGGAAAATAAAATGAAAACCTGTTTTCTATGGAATATCTCATCTCCAAAGAGTAAGGCGTGTCCATACAGAGAAGGATAAGTTTGCACTCGAACCATATTATCCACTGAGGGTGTGGTACATCTAATTTCATGTGTTATCAAAGGGGACACTGCTGCTGGGATTGTAGAAAGGGTAATAATACACAACAGATCACAACTGAGGCATTTGGTTACTGCACACAGAAGACTCTTCTGCAACAAGTTGATTCCCAAGGAGGAATATCAGGATTTCAGCTATTGATTTTGCTTTCTCTGGCAGGGACCTGCAACTTAAATTTGCTGGCATGCGTTTCGGTTTTTGTGTATGGATTATAGCCTAGGGGAGTTACAATTGAGTTGAATTGGTGAGAAGATAAAAGGGTTTCCGCACAATGATAAGGATGATATTGCTGCAATTCTGAAAGATGTTTACCACAGCATAATTTTGAAGAATTGTCCCTTGTTTCAGAAGCATCCAGCATCCTAGAGCTTGGGGTAGCTATATTTCAGAACGTTGGACTTTCACATTCTTTCCTAGAATGGATACCACACTCAAGGCTGTGTGTGTAGCTGCCTTGAGTTCCACCAGGGAAAAAGATGTGGGCAAGTTGTTGTCTCTCATCCTTAAATTTCCCATCTGCAAAATAGGAATAATATTGAGCTTATTTTTTAGAGTATTTTCCTTTTTTAAAAAACATGTTTAACCCATGAGCTTCAAAATAGGGCAGAATAATAAAGCAAAGGAATTGCTGTAGTTGAGGATGTGCATTGCACAGAATCCAGAATGCACAACTTGTCAATTGTTCTCTTCTCACCTGGATTGTAAGGGAACTGCATACCTGTGCCTGCTGTCTGCACCCAGATGTTTGACATCCAAAATGGCTTGGAAAAGAAACAGATTTATTTGTTAGGTTTGTTTTCCCCCATCCTCCTCTCTGTCACTTGACTTGCCCCTAGTGAGTCATACTGCTGATTTTTGCTTAGAAGCCTGGGAGAAGAAAAAGAGGGGGGGGGCTGGAATAGAAGGGAGCGAATCAGTTGGACATCTTTTCCCTTCTGTTTCTTCTTCCTCTTCTGCTGTCACTTGGCTCACCCAGGGCATGTGTGCACCCTTTTTATTCTACTGGGCGGGGGGGGGGGGGGGCCTAGCTCTGTACTCAAGAGAAAGATGAATGGTGACAGCACAAGCCTTAGGGAGTTCAAGTGACAACTGAGGAGGGTGGAACAGAAGGAAACACACAGGCCAAATTAATCCACTCCCTTTCCCAGCCATGTCTACCTGTTTTCCCCAGGGTCAGTTGCAGGTTAAGAACACAAAGGATTAACTTTGTTTGACTAGATGATCTCTAGGCCCAAGCAGCTTTCTGTTTGCATCCAAAGGTGCTTTGTGCAAATAGGCACTTCTGCAATTCCATCAGTTTTCCTCTTATCTCGTTGCACATCATAGAGGATCCTTGTCCCTCAAACAGACTTCAAGTGGGCTTCAGTAGAGAAGAGAGGTGGGAAACTCCTTTTGCATGTACAGAAGTCTGTTTTCACTTCTTTGGATCAAACCCTTCAGGTTGATGCCATGGATGCAAGATCAGTACAGATTAAACAGCATGTAATAATAATATAAAATCAAATAATTATCTAAATGGAATAGAAGGTAATGTATGTGAACTTGTATTACTTGGTGTTTGTTTGCTTGCTTGCTCAGTGGCCTAATCCAGATCTCGCTCCACACATAGAAGTGGAGGGTCTGGATCCATGAAGGGGTGGCTGTTAGTGACAGCTAGAAAGCAAAAGGGTTTCTAGTGCAAGAAATCCCCCCTTCCCCTTATCTTACTCTGGTTGCTGTATACATCACATTGAAACTCACAGTTCTCCCATCTTCTGTTGGCTTACATTCCTAATGTCAAGTCTTCCCTTTCTGGCATTCTTTCCCCATCCTCAGCCACCTCTTCATTCCTGGCTTTCCTTCCTACCATACCTTTTTATATAAAGGGAGTGGATGTTGTAGATTATTACTTGGGTTGCATTGTTGATAGCATTTTTCAAAAACTGATCGCAAATATTAAGCTCAATTTAGGTTATGTGAGGCAGGTTGCTACAAGATGCGTATTGGAATGCATGTCGTGTTAAAAGCAATGCAGCGTGAATAGGCAGCTTTCTCTCTTAGATGCATGGATGGTTATTCATCCAGTGTACACTATAGTTGTCAATCTAAGTGATGTATGCATGAAAGCCTGCTTCTGCGTGCAGATTGGGTTTTTTTAAATTAGAGCAGAACAAATCCAGAAAAGCATGGAGTCATTGCTGGCGGTCCTACTGTTGCTCTGCCTCACCGCAGCTGCAATACACCATGCCTGCCACAGGAAATGTAAGGGCAATGGTTCTAATGGATTTTATGGGCACCGCTTTAAAACCACAGCTTTTATAGACAGTTGGCAATAACTAAATTATGACTTGTTTGATTCTGTCAGGGTGCGTCCAGACTGGCAGATTTTTAGGATTCCTTTGCACAAACTGCATCTGTATTGTTTTTATGTCTTTCTTGCAGGGGATCCAATTAAATCTGTACTAAACAAAATGATGTGAGCGAATTCATACTGTGATACCAATTAAGCTGTGCTTTCTATAGTCCTGTGGTTAGATGAGCATTTCTTACTGGAAGCAAAGTGTTCTACCATTGCCACTTCTTGCACTATTATATGAATAAACAAGAAGTACTTCAGTTATGACAAGGATTATGATTTTTTCCTTTTCTGGCAATTGGGACCAAACGATTTCTCATGTTATTAATAATGGATTTATTCAGTGCTGTTTTTCTAGAGAAAAGAGGTGCCAGAACTCACCATGAACACCTCCCTCGCTCTCTTATATGGCGCCCACCTGAGAGGTACCGGAACTGAGTTCTGGCTAAAAAATTGAAATTCAGCATGCTTTTTGGGATGGGAAGTATGTGAGAATGGAGACTAGAAACAACTGAAGGGACTTCTGCTTAAATGACACAAAAGAAGAAAATGTGCAAGTAAATCTTTTTATTATTTGCCTCTATGAGTAAAACTTACCAGGGTGTTCTTCCTGAGGTGACTCTCTGAAGCGTACATCTTGTACACTCTTATCAGAATAATATGGACTGATAAAGCAAGCAGGATCACAGGAGAGGATGGGTATAGCAAAAATGTACTTGTAAAATTGTATGTTTTGATTGTAGTTTTTTTTATTTTTTAAAAAATCCTATTGAGTTCCATAGAACTTAATAGAATTTTGGTTGTAGATTTAAATAACTAGATCAGCATGAAAGAGCTTCTCATATCCAAGAAAAGTGGAATGTTTTGTAACTTGCATAAGGTTATCATTTGCAGCACCATTGCTGACAGGAGTGAGGCCTTGTCGGCATGTAACACCAGTGGTCAGAAACCTGCACTGGTTGCCAATTTGCTACCAGGCCGGGTTCAAAGTGTTACTATTAGTATATAAAGACCTTAACAACTTAGGGCCAGTTTACCCATGAGATCGCCTTACCCTGAGAATGTCAACCCAACCACTTTGATCGGCGGAATTGGCACCACTACAGGTGCCACATAATACATGTTCCACATTTGTAAGGACTCGATTGTTAAGTGTGGCAGAGCCTACACTTTGGAACTCCTTGCCCCTTGAGTACTGTGCTTTCACAGGGCTCTTTTCTGCGCCTGTTAAAAACATACCTGTTTAGACAAGCCTATTTAGAGAGTCAGTGTGGTATAGTGGTTAAGAGCAGTGGACTCATAATCTGGTGAACTGGGTTTGTTTCCCCGCTCCTCCACATGCAGCTGCTGGGTGACCTTGGACCAGTCACACTACTCTGAAGTCTCTCAGCCTCACTCAGCTCACAGAGTGTTTGTTGTGCGGGAGGAAGGGAAAGGAGATTGTTAGCCGCTTTGAGACTCCTTAGGGCAGGCGGAGGCAAACTCCAGGCCTCCAGATGTTTGGGGCTACAATTCCCACATCCCTGACCACTGGTCCTTAGCTAGGGATGATGGGAATTGTAGTCCCAAACATCTGGAGGGCCGGAGTTTGCCTATGCCTGCCTTAAGGGGAGTGAAAGTCAGGGTATCAAGTCCAAACTCTTATTTTTCTATCCAGAAGCTTAGAGAGTTGAGGTAATTTTAACCCATTTCAGTATTGTAACTTTTGCATGTTTTAGAGTAGGGTTGTGAATCTTTCTTGATTTTACTGTTTTGTCTTCTGTAGACCGCTTTGCGGTGCATACATTTTATTAAATAAATAAATGACTAACAGTTACAGATTAGAGGTGTTTTGTGCCTTACGGGTGTTATTCAACCAAGTCTCACTCAAAGTAGACCCATTGAAATTAATGAATATGACTAAGGTCCGTTGCTACTAACATGAGTTTGACCAAACTGCGGGAGGCAGTGGAAGACGGAAGTGCCTGGCCTGCTCTGGTCTATGGGGTCACAAAGAGTTGGACACAACTAAACGACTAAACAACAACAAGGTCTGTTAATTTCAGTGGGTTTACTCTGAGTAAAACTTAGTTGAGCTCCACCTGTAATTAAAGGTCAACAGCTTTTAAGCGATTAATTATAGTGGTGCCTTCCTTCATTAGTCCCATGCAGTGTATTAATTTAGTAATAACAGCATAGTAGTGAATGTTCTTCTTTGAACATTTTGCATTAGGGGTCTTCAATATTTGGCAGGTAAAATCCTTGCTGTACTAACCTTGTAGGAGAACAGCCAATGATGATACACTGGCAAATTTTTCATATATAATGAGGAATAGCTTAGGTTTTCAGTTTATTAACATGTCTGTTATTCTGTAGATTATATTTATAATATTTCTGTGAAAACGGAACAGTTGACCACAAGCAGTAGAATATTATACAGTCTCAAGCTCTACCACAGCACATTACAGAAGGCAGGAAAATATTGTAAGTGGTCTGCCAAGAACCTCAGCATTTTTAGTGAGTGGTGGGGAGTTTTGATCCCACAGCTATAAGTTATTGTATGTCATCTAGTCATACCTATTTTGGTCAGATTAGCAAATAATGAAAAAATATCACAGTGGTTCTAAATATATGCTCAAGGCTTAGTTTAGATGATGCCTTACTCTTTAGGGTCATTGGATCATAAATCTCTTTCACTGTTTCATTTTACAGGAGAATTCCATTTTAAAGAATAAATTAGAGACACCAGATGCTTTACCGTTATTTATTATGAACTCAGATTTTAATTTCCTCACCTGAAAGTGCTTACATTACAATTTCCTTGTATAGTTAGTGAACTGTAACTATTAAAACCAATACAGCTTTTGATTGCCCAAATATATTTATACCTCAGTGATTTGTTGAGGCTTGAAGATCTTACATATGTGAAGGCATTCTCTTGCCACAGTGTTTATTCATAAAAATAACATTTGGTTGAAATCAGTATTGCAGATTATTATTATTATTATTATTATTTATTAAATTTGCAGGCAATCACACAATTGAGGGATTTAAGCTCGACTTAATTTACTTCTAGATTAAGTATTCTATTTCTGTCCCACATTCTCCGTAGTGGTTGTAGTAGTAGTAGTAGTAGTAGCAATAATAATAATAATAATAATAATAATAATAATAATAATACTAGGTGTTGATGCCAGTTAAGCTTAGATCTTGAGCTTGATCCTAAAGAAGCTTAAAATTTGGACAAAAGGTTTGTTGTCTGCATAGTTAGTTAGTGTGTTTGGATTTTCTATTCTGATACCCATTGTAAACTATTTCCATGGTAGTAAAATTTGAAATCCCTTTTTTTTTGTTCACTGCTATCATAACTAATTGCCGATATACTGTTTTGCTTTTTCAACTTTATTTCCATTATCCCTGAGACATTGAATGGTGGCGGCGTAACTTCTGAATGTGGCTGTTCGGGTTTTTGTTTTTTTGTTTTGTTTTTTGTTTTGCAGTACACCTGGCACATTTTGAGGATTACTTTGTTGTAGCAGTCTTCCAGCTATTAGACTTAGATAAAGTAGATAAGTGTGGGACACGGGTGGCGCTGTGGTCTAAACCACTGAGCCTCGGGCTTGCTGATCAAAAGGTTGGCAGTTTGAATCCCCGCGACAGGGTGAGCTCCCGTTGCTCTGTCCCAGCTCTTGTCAACCTAGCAGATTGAAAGCACACACAAAAAAAGTGCAAGTAGATAAATAGGTACCGCTCCGGTGGGAAGGTAAACGCTGTTTCTGTGCGCTCCTCTGGTTTCGCCAGAAGCGGCTTAGTCATGCTGGCCACATGACCCGGAAAAACTGTCTGCAGACAGACACCGGCTCCTTTGGCCTGTAAAGCGAGATGAGCGCTGCAACCCCAGAGTCGTTCGCGACTGGACTTAACTGTCAGGGGTCCCTTTACCCTTTACCTTTAAAATAGATAATATATACTTAACGCCTTTTAATATTGATACAGTGGTACCTCAGGTTACATACGCTTCAGGTTACATACACTTCAGGTTACAGACTCCGCTAACCCAGAAATAGTGCTTCAGGTTAAGAACTTTGCTTCAGGATGAGAACAGAAATCGTGCTCTGGCAGCGCGGCAGTAGCGGGTGGCCCCATTAGCTAAAGTGGTGCTTCAGGTTAAGAACAGTTTCAGGTTAAGAACAGACCTCCGGAAAGAATTAAGTACTTAACCCGAGGTACCACTGTACTTGTGATTGTCAGTTTATCCTTTCCCCCTGACTCAAGGGGGCTTACAGGATTGAAGGTAATTTCAATTACAGTGGTACCTTGGGTTACAAACACCTCTGGTTACAAACACTTCGGGTTACAGACTCTGCTAACCTGGAAGTAGCGGGTTAAGAACTTTACCTCAGGATGAGAACAGAAATCACGCAGCGGCAGCGGGAGGCCCCATTAGCTAAAGTGGTATCTCGGGTTAAGAACGGTTTCAGGTTAAGAACGGATCTCCAGAACAAATTAAGTTCGTAACCAGAGCTACCACTGTACATTTTAAAAGCAAGCATAACATTTTCAGGGGAGCTCTTACCAGGAAGACCTGGTCCTCAATAAATTTATTGAAATACTGACGTGGATCATTGTGTTTAGAATAAATTGCTTACTTCTGGAAAGGTCAGGACTGAAATGTGCTGTGGAATTATTTTTGTATTTTGCTGCCTTTTTATAATAGATTGAACTCCTCCTTTGCTGTTCCTCAGTTTTGGTATGATGAGTACATTCCATGTGTTGAATTAAAACTGGAGATATCTTGAGGCAATTGTAGAAAGAACATGGTTTAGGCTTGGAAGCTTCTTTTATGCAGTCACAGTGTTAAAAAGTACATCTTGGATTTGAATGTTGAATGGGCTTACTTGATTTTATTTCATTATTATTCTGATAGGCAAGTTATTTTAACGGTTACTGTATAAAAAAGTTTTCTTCATCTTAGTTGTGGAAGTTGTCATCGCGTTCAGTGGTTTAGCTTTTTATTCAGTAGTGCTTTGTTATTTTCCTTTTTATCTTCATCTCTTGACTATTGGATGAATGGTTTACATTATTGTGATCCGGACCTGTTATCTCCTCTTGCTTGTTCTCTTCATATTACATTGAGAAAAAGACATAATCTCTTCTAGGCTGCCTCTTAAGCCCTTGGATCACACTGCAGTACAGGGCAAATATTACTTAACAGTGTTACATTGCAAATCTGAAAATAGCCCTGAATAATGATGGTCAGTAACCAAACTAGATGTGACAGTGGCAGAACCTTTTGTTTAAACCAGCTCTGAACCCTGCGCTTGCTACTTACATCTCTATAGCGATGAGGTAATCTTTGAGTGATGGGTTTAGTTCCCTTTCCTCTAAAATCTAATCTGGTCTCTGCTTTATATGTGATTGAGGCGGGCTTGGGCTTTGATCCCACCATATATTTGAAGCACCTACCCTTCCGAATTCTGGGAACTGTAGTTTATTTCTCTCAGAACTGTATTTCCCAGCACCTTCAACAAACTGCAGTTCTCATTCCTCCCCCACCGGGTGGAGGCATGCTTTAAATGTATGGTGTGGTTGCAGTTTTAGACTGAAATGAATTAATCTTCTGCTGTTTGCATCCAATCTGGCCATAGACTAAGAAGTTTTTTTAGCATTCTTCAACAGCTGATCAAAAGTTGGTGCTTACCTTATTCCAGAGTGGAGGTGATTCCATAAACTGGGTACCACAACTGAAAGGGTCATTTCCTGGTTGTTGCAAGATGGGATCTCAGCATGCTTTGACACAACCAGACAGGTCTCAATATACAGGTTGAGAGAAGGTGTTCTCCCAGGCGTCCAGCTTCCAAGTTGTTTACAGCTTTGTAAGTTGACAAGAGAACCTTAAACTTGTCTCAGCAGCAACTTGGTGCCCACTGCCCAGTTCAGTTCTTTCAGAAGTGGTGGAAAATGCTCACGGCAGGTAGCCCAGTCAGCAGTTTAGCCACAATGACCCACACACTGGTAACTTCCAGGACTAGACTACTGGAATGCAGACTACTGGAATTCACTCTAGTGCTTTATTATGCACTAGCTTCGGCTTCAGACCAGTGTTAAGGGCAGCCCTACTTAGAGTGAATTCCAGTAGTCTAGTCTTGGAAGTTACCAATGTGTGGGTCATTGTGGCCAAAGTACAGTGGTACCTCGCAAGACGAATGCCTTGCAAGACAAAAAACTCGCTAGACGAAAGGGTTTTTTGTTTTTTGAGCTGCTTCGCAAGACGGAAACGTCTTGCAAATTTGTTTCCTTTTTCTTAACACCATTAATACAGTTGCGACTTGACTTCGAGGAGCAACTCATAGAACGCGGTGTGGTAGCCTTTTTTGAGGTTTTTAAAGACTTTGGTGATTTTTGAAGCGTTTCCAAAACTTTCCCGACACTGTGCTTCGCAAGACGAAAAAAATCGCAAGACGACAAAACTCGCGGAACGAATTAATTTCGTCTTGCGAGGCACCACTGTACCCAGGTAGACATAACTGGGTCGGGTCAGGATCCCCCCATCCACATCTCGGTAATATACATCAGATCAGCCTCTTCATCCATAGTCAAATCATGAATGGGTCTTATTATGGACTGACTTGGGATGTGGCAGTGAACCAGTCAAATACAAAATTTAATGGTATCTACAGTTTCAGGGGTTTTTTTGGTCTACTAATTGCAAATCAACCAAAGTTCTGCACCCTGGAAAGCCGTATCCTGCAAATTACATATTATGTACGTTTTGCTGATTTGGTCTAACCAAATTCATCTCACTATTTATCACTGAACAGAAATAGAAACAGCTTATTTAAGATACTGCCACCCACGCTAGGAGAGCTGATCTGCCCCATTTGCAAAGTAGAACATTAGGAGAGAGGAATGCCTGCATCAAGATAAGCCAACATGGTGCTCTTCTGATGTTGTTGGACTACAACTCCCATCATCCCTGGTGTGTGGCTATGCTTGCTGGAGCTAATGTGAGTTGGAGTACAACAAGATACAGAGGGTACCATGTGGGCTTCCCCTGGCCTATGCAGATGCGGAAGTGAAGAGAACTGTGTAAAGCAGATAGGAAGTGGCTGAAAAAGGAGATTACCGTATTTTTCGCTCCATAAGAAGCACTTTTCCCCTGCTAAAAAGTAAGAGGAAATGTGTGTACGTCTTATGGAGCAAATGCAGGCGGGAGGCAGGCAGGAAAAGCCCCCAAGAGCCGCACACAAGTCCCTCCTCCCTCCTCGGGGAAAAGCCTGCAAGAGTGACGGGCTGCCCTTCTCCCTCCTGGGGAAAAGCCTGCAAGCACCGCACACAGGCTCCACGTGGCTAGTGAAAGGGAGTGCTGAGCAGAGCCTGGGATGCATACAGGCTCTGCTCAGCTCTCCCTTTAAAAATATTTTTTTCTTGCATTCCCCTTCTAAAAACTAGGTGCGACTTATGGTCAGGTGTGTCTTATGGAGTGAAAAATACAGTATTTTTTAAAATGTCATTGCCGTCTTGCATTCCCAGTTATATGTATTTTGCTGCTTCTTTGAAAGTTCATCGTTTACAGCTATATTCAGTTAAAAGGCAAATGATTTTGGGGGACTAGAAACTGACCTCTGACCTATTTCGTTCAGGATTTTGTCGGGCAACCCAAGTGTTAATGAGCAGCCAGAACTTGGGCCATGCCAAAGGTTGGTATACCAATAGCAAGATGTGGTTGGAAGCAGTTCAAAGTCAAGGCTAAAGTAAACTTTGTTCTGCAGCTAAGCTTTTAAATAACTAGCTGCTTGTATATCACTGAACTTTTCAATTGTTCAAGCCTTTTTTACATGGAACATCTTAATTTTTTTTTTAAAAAAAAGATTGGTAGACATCATAGAACAACTTGGATTGAAGCATTTAAAAATGTTCTGCCCTAGATCAGGTATAATAAGGTGTACCAGACTGTGTTGATCAAGTTATGCCTACTTGGCTTGTACCTTATGTAATTTATGATGTCAGGTGGGAACAGGTAAAGACAGGCTTTGGCCAAAAGGGGTTTGCAGGCACCATTATTCAGCTGTTTGGCAATGCCTGCAAAGCCCTGTGCACTAGATTCTGCAAGCACCGATGATCAGATGATCATTGAGGCTTCCAAAGTTTTTGCCTTTTTGGTTTGATTTCAACCAAAACAGCAGACAGTATTCCTTTCAGAATTTATATACTATGTCTTTATTTTTATTTAAAATTCTTTTCAGAACCGTGTTCATACAGCGTTAAAAACCACAATACGGTAATTATGCCTTGATTACTTTAATTTGCTCTACGCAGGGCTGCCCTTGAAGCTGACCCAGAAACTCCAGCGGGTACAGAATGCCGCGGCGAGACTCCTTACAGGGTCCTTGCTGCGGGATCACATTCATCCAGTGCTTTACCAGCTGCACTGGCTCCCAGTGAAGTACAAGGTCAGGTTTAAAGTGCTGGTTTTGACCTTTAAAGCCCTGTGTGGCTTAGGACCCTCGTACCTACAGGACCGCCTTTCCTGGTATGCCCCGCGGAGAACCTTAAGGTCCATAAATAACAACACTTTGGAAGTCCCGAGCCCCAAGGAGGTTAGATTGGCCTCAACCAGGGCCAGGGCCTTTTCAGCTCTGGCCCCAGCCTGGTGGAACGCCGTACCGCAAGAGATCAGGGCGGGATTTGACATCTTTCCGCAGGGCCTGCAAGACGGAGCTGTTCTACCTGGCCTTTGGGCTGGACTCAATCTAACCCACCACCCCCCATTTTTTTTTTATGGAACCCCTTATATGGGATTTGTATATACATTTTCCCTCAGCTCTTTTTGCTGGCCCATGTACAACCACCATGGATAGTTGGCCCCGGTGAATATTTGACGTTTTCTCCCCTTATGGCTTTGATCTATGGGCTACCACTAAAACAAGGCTGCATTTTAAGCTGCATTTTAAACTGTATTCTAACTTATTAATCAACTATTGTTGTTTTTTTTACTGTTTTTACTGTATTTATATTCAGTGTTAGGAGTCCTGAGCCCGGTCTTGGCCGGGGAGGGTGGGGTATAAATATTTTATTATTATTATTATTATTATTATTATTATTATTATTAACATAAATCTTGGGATAGAATAGAATTTTGCTTGGTCTGTGTTTTTAAGTGAACTGATATAATTCACATCTCCCTCTCTAATACATGAATTGGAACATAATTCTCCTTTAGTTTTCATCTTCTCCAAATTTGGCAATGCAGCTCTCAGATCACATGTAGAGCAAGTGCAGGGAGGCAAAGTCCACTTGAATTAAGGAAATCTTCTCAATTCCTTTGGTTGTGTCATACAAATGTGGACTTCTTGGAGAAGTTGTGAAAGATCTGGTTCAGGTTTTTATTTTGTGTTCTGTATTTTCATTATGTTCTCATTTAGTGTTATCTCCATCACAGTGACAAACAAATGACGTACCATTATTTTGCTCCTCCCCGTTCATGTTAGCTGGGCACTGGTAGAAAACAAGTCACAATCCCTTTGATGTCCACACCAAGGGATCATAATTATTCTGCTTCCAACAAATCATGATTTCCAGCCAAAGTTTGTTCTAATAAATCACAATCAGTAATCCAAAAATGAAATAAAACTACAATCTCTGGTTCAGATCATTTTTGGGTTTTTTGTTTTAAATTGAATATGAAGAGAAGACAAACAGGCCAGATAGGTGCATACATAGTAAACTATTAGCCAACTGCTTCGAGGCTTTTTTTTTTACATTCAAGCAGTATATAAATTCTAGTTTAATGTGGAGTGCAGACTGGGTCAGTTTGTATTATGTGCACTGTAATAGGTAGCATGCATTAAGCCGCTCCATTACTCAAACATAAATCCTTTTAAAAATCAATATATTTTACATACTTCTAATTATATGCTGAATAAGTAATACAACCATTAGCCTTTAAGGTCCCACGAAAGTCTTTGTTGTTCATGCAAAGAATTGTAACATTATATTTTACTTTCATGCTTTGGTTTTAAACATGTTGTGACTTTCACTGAGCAATCACGGTTGTTGGGTAGCTAGGTTTTTTTTAAAAAAACACAACACTGTTCATTGCAGTTGGATATGAACTCCTGCCTCCATAGCTTGTTCAAACTACTGGGCTTCTCTTTTTAAAAAAAGGATTATAAACATTTGCTTGCTGCACAGTGTAATTCATTTCTCAGGACAAAGCAGGAGAAATTTAAACCGATGAATAAGAGCACATTTAATTGAATAAATTATTTGTTGGAACACATGGTTAGGCGAGGTTCCTCTTGGGAGCTTATTTTTCTGTGTGCACCGTGAATCAGACTCAAGAGCAAGGGAGCCTTGTGGAAGCTGGCTGCAAGCTGTGCTCTTATTTCCTCTCTGCAACAGAGAAGAGACTAGAGATTTCAAGGCAGGCAGGAATGAAAGGCATTCCTCAAACCCTCAGCCTACATTTGTAATAAAATAGGAGGACTTTGACTTATGGAGCTTGAAGGTTGGTGGGAGGAAGAAAGTCAAACTAGGCAGAAATAGCACAAAAATTGCCCAAGGCAGAACCATTAACATTTATAACATGATACACGGAGGGAGGTTTCAGAAATAGTTACTGATAAAGGCTGGAGTTTGCCCTACCTGGAGCAGAGAGTTACAAATGAGTTGAGTGAATAACTGATTTTCGACTGAGAACTTTAGAAAGATTAGTTTTCAAATGAGGCAAGATGGAGTAATTGTTCCAGGGTTGCTGCACGTAGGAAGGGGGGATTGAATGCCCCCATTGCTATTTACACTACTGAGCATAGAATCATAAAATTGTAGAGTTGGAAAGGACCCTTAGGCTCATCTAGTCCAGCCCGCTGCAATGCAGGAATATGCAGCTGTCCCATATGGGGATCGAACCTGCAGCCTTTGCATTAACAGCACCATGCTCTAACCAGCTGAGCTGTAATGAGATGGGAGGGAACACGTAGGTTTATGCAGGGGGGAATAATTTAAAAAGTTGCTATCCTGCAGCTCCATTTCCCCACTTCAGGGCTGGCCCACCCATGAGGCAACGTGAGGCAACTGCCTCAGGTGGTAGCATCCACAGGGGCAGAAGATCTGGTCTCTGAGGAACGTATCACCTGCCACCGCTGCCGCTGCCTTGGCAGCATTGGAGGTCAGCACCCCCCATGCTGCCTCTGCAGTAACCTCTTGGCAAATAGGAAGCAGTGCTGGTCTCCTCCCAATCCTTGTTCCTGATGGAGATCTTCACTCATCCCTTCTCCCCTGGTGGAAGGAAACACCATTTTGTGGTTTGCCTCAAGTGACAAAATGTTTTGAGCCAGCCTCCCTGCTGCTTTGGGGTTTTTTGGGGGGGGGGTGAGAACCATGGGAGATCTAATAATGGACCTCCAGTCCTCTCTTCAAGTTTAGCTCTCCACTTTGAGTGCAAGTAATAACCAAGAAATTTCAGGAGGGAGAGGAAGGTAGAAGCACCATTATTGCACCTGGCAAGGAATGGGAGCGGCCTTCCTCACTTTGCCTATGTGTATTTTAAATCATTAATATCTGAATATGTTCTCATTTCGCTTTTTTGGTTCATGGATCTGTTTATATTACAACTCTGTTGGGAACCACCTAAACTCAGAGCTATAGTTGCCTGCCCTCAGGTCTATGGTTACAAATAAACAGAAACTGAAATACTTTGCCATGCAGTAGACATTACTCCCCCCCTCTCTCTGGTGTACTGTAATTTATTACTTGATTGTAGGTGCATTCTTCAAATGTCCTCAAATGTCCGGCAATAGGAACAATTTGTAATGGAAGTACTTGTTCTTGTTCAGTAGCCCTTTAAACAGTTTACCTCTGGTTGCTCCTTGGCCATTTCACAGGGGAGCACATCAATGTTCTTGCTTAGTTGCTGCACTCCTGGTGATTGATAGATGGAGGGGTTTGTTTGTTTTTTAAGCCTTTATGCATGGAAAGAAGCACAAAAACCACCTCCCAAACTATGTTTGTTTTCCTTGCTCCAGCGGTCTGAAGGCTAAAGGGTCGCTTGCGAGCATGACATTGTGGAAAGGAGGGTTTGACCACAGAGCCATGGCAAACTTTAAACCCAGCCAGATTAAATATAATTCATTTGTTTCTGTACAGGTCACAAGCACTATTGATTCTGTCCTGTTGCCTAGGGCCTTATTGCCAGCACTAGGTTTGGATCTGGTGGAGTGGATTCTAGTCCACAAAACTTAACCCACTTTTATCAGACAGTGGGCCAGGGCTCCCCACTGTTCACGGGCCACTTTTAACTGGGCCTCAGTGCCATAGCCTGCGAGCCATGCCATAATCTTTGGGTTGATTCCATAAAAGGAAGAACCTCCTAAGGAAAGCTAAGCTGTGAAATAGTTTGCCACAAGGCAAATGCTACAGCAAAGAATTGAGCAGTAATCAGATATGGATTAGCTATTGGTAGAAAGTGGTGTCAATAATTGCCAGCTGATTATGCCAAGCTCTGCCACTACTTGACACTGTTTTGCGACTGGCTTCTCCCCTGTATCTCCCGTTTTCTGTCTGGTGGGCCTTAGTAAGCATCTTAAGTGGCTTGAGGATAGAACGTTTGAGAACCCCGGCCTGGCCTGTCATCAGTGTCTTTGCTTTTAAGGTGCCACATTTAAGGTGTCTCTGGCTTTTGCTGCAACACACACAGCAACTTTCTGGTACTTGTTTTTGGTTTGTTTGTTAAACTACTGTTTTTAAGCCCACCTTTCTAGAACTGCTTAAGGCAACCAACAATCAACATTTACAGGAACATCATATCTATAAACACAGAAAAGCAGTGCAGCTGAAAAGTAGTCCAAGCTTTCCTACAGAGAAAAACTCAGGAGTGACTTTTTAAAAAAGCCATCAATTCCTCATGCCCCCAAGCTTTCCTAAATAAATGAGCTTTACATAACTGACAGAAAGCCGAAAGGGAAGTATACAATCAGAATTTCTGTTGGAGGTCATTACACAGCCCCGAGTCACCACTGGGGGCCCTGCTCCAAACACCACATTCCTTTACTTCACTTAATCTGGTCCTTTGATAATGATAACAATAGGCAGATAGTGGTGCTCATCAAGTTCCCAGGTTATGAAGTGTTCTCAGGTGTTTTGCAATATTGCTTAAACATGTTTATCTGCCACAGCATTCTGGACCATCTATGCTTTTCAGGCTAGTTTCAAGGGCAAATATATGCAGAACTTATTGCAATACTGTAAACCCACAACTAGTGATGTTAAATTCTCGAGAATATTCTTTTGGAGAATATTTTCGAGAATATTCTCAATTAATCAGAATATTAGAGAATTTTCATTTAAAATAGGAGAATTTTCATTTTAATGCATTGAAAATGATATAATTAGTTAATATACATGTTTATTCATGGGTAAACTTGTTCAGATGGCAACCAAAAACTGTAATAGGCTATCTTGTGCTTCTAATACATGGGTAGGCAAACTAAGGCCCAGGGGCCAGATCCGGCCCAATTGCCTTCTAAATCCAGCCCACAGATGGTCTGGGAATCAGCGTGTTTTTACATGAGTAGAATGTGTCCTTTTATTTAAAATGCATCTTTGGGTTATTTGTGGGGCATAGGAATTTGTTCATTTCCCCACCCACCCACCCTATGTAGTCTGGCCCTCCACAAGGTCTGAGGAACAGTGGACCGGCCTCCTGCTGAAAAAGTTTGCTGACCCCTGTTCTAATAGCTCTAACACTTAATAACTGTTTGGGTAACTAAAACACAGCTTGATAAACAAAACTATATGCATACATATAAAAAAGAAGCCATTAAGTGGCGCTGTGGGTTAAACCACAGAGCCTAGGACTTGCCGATCAGAAGGTCGGCAGTTCGAATCCCCGCGACGGGGTGAGCTCCCGTTGCTCGGTCCCTGCTCCTGCCCACCTAGCAGTTCGAAAGCACGTCAAAGTGCAAGTAGATAAATAGGTACCGCTCCTGCGGGAAGGTAAACAGCGTTTCCATGCGCAGCGCTGGTTCGCCAGAAGCGGCTTAGTCATGCTGGCCACATGACCCGGAAGCTGTACGCCGGTTCCCTCTGCCAATAAAGCGAGATGAGCGCCGCAACCCCAGAGTCGGTCACGACTGGACCTAATGGTCAGGGGTCCCTTTACCCTTTACCTTTATATTATCATTATATGATAATACATTTCAGTATGTCATTCTCTGTTAAATAGCACTTAGTATCATTGAATGGCACTGCAAAAACCAGTTACTAGCACTAAATAAAAATATAGAAACATCAACTTTTTAAATCAAGGTCACCTCACATGCTGTTACACACTAATTGTATAGGCCTAGGTACTTTAAGCATTAAAGCTACTTTGTGTAAAAAAAAATCACAATGTATGGCCAAGGGTATAGAATTGCTAAGAATAAGGTCACACCAAAGTAAAAAAAGGCTATTACAAATAGTTGAAATACATATGAATTCAAATGTTCATCAAATTAAATGAATAGCATTTTTAAAACTAAAAAAAATATAAAAAAATTTAAAAAGTTTTCTGTAGCTCTCATTTCAGAACTGCCAATGGTGAATGATACAATGCCCAGTAATGTAAGTGGATAAAAAAAATTATTATTCATTACTTATGAAATAAATATTAAATTGCCTCCCCAAGGGCCCCCCTCCTCAGAAGAAGGACCAGGGCCCCGGAAGGAGCGCAAATGAAGGCTCTGTACCGGTCGGGAAGAGACAGAGACCACACCAGGATTGAAAAAGCAAAGCCTGATCTTTATTGAAAGAACAGGGGAAAAAAAACAACAACACAAAAAACTGTTGCAACAGGGTCCCCGCTCACGCAATGACACGGAGTCAGAGACCCTGAACAAAGGGACTGCCTTGATTCTTATACCTTTTGATTTTCATTCAGATCAATAGCAAGGAGGTGGGGGGGAAGCGATATGAGGGGTGTGAAGTGTGGATTAACATAAGGTAAGCAGGATGTTGAAAGACTTTCTGGAGGTGTCAATTTGCTGAAGGGCTCAGGTGGTATGTGTCGATCTTCGTGTTATTTAATTCTGGATCTGCTTCAAATGGCTTTTCCTTTATCTACAGGAAAACCTCCGCAACTGCTGATAATCGGCATGCAGATGTGAGGCTGGATGTTTGAGAAGATGTTCGGAAATGACTTAAATGTTAATGTGAAGTCCTACTCTGCATTGCTATCAATTCGGGTGTGATAGCCTGATGTTTGCATATTCTTTTTTGAAAATAAGACTGCTTTATTTTGGGCTCATATCTGTGTGTATTCATGGTATGGTTTGCAGACCCAGTAGGAGGCAGTGTGGTGGATTGAGTTTTGGCAGCCTTTTGGATACAATATTGAGTCAAGTATATACATTTTGAAATATTTAGATTGTTACATTCTTTAAAAACTACATTTTGGATACATTCAGAAAAGTAGTACGGCATTTCATTAAAGATACATCCACGAATACATTTTACAAGGATAGCTTCATGGAGAAAGAGGTACACAGGAATGGTAACAGGCACGTCAACGTTAAGATGATGCATTAAAAAGGCACATATTATTTACATTCAATGATACGTGAAAAAACACAGTAAGATGGCATCTTCCCAACGATGCGTTCTTTAAGGCACAGTTTATTATTATTGTGGGACTTTGGGGTAGGATGATATCATTAGGATCATTTTACCTTTATTCCCCTCTCTGACCCTGATTCTCCTATGACAATTACACCGGCAATATCACAGCTTGACTTATTTACTAGGTTTTTAAAATGTGGGTTGTAAAACAGGTTCTTACATTAGAATTCACAATTTGTGGAAAATATTCTCTGGAGAATTTTCTAGCAGAGAATTTTCTCACCTCATATCACTACCCACAACCTATGCGGGGGTTGCATTCTGGGAATAGTGCCAAAAACCAAATTCACGTACAGTGGTACCTCGGGTTACATACACTTCAGGTTACAGACTCTGCTAACCCAGAAATAGTACCTCCGGTTAAGAACTTTGCTTCAGGATGAGAACAGAAATTGTGCTCTGGCGACGCAGTGGCAGCAGGAGGCCCCATTAGCTAAAGTGGTGCTTCAGGTTAAGAACAGTTTCAGGTTAAGAACGGACCTCCGGAACGAATTAAGTACTTAACCCGAGGTAACACTGTATGGTCAAAACACATTGGGTTCAGCGGCAGGTGAGATTGTCAAAGTCTTTTTTCACGGATGCCTGTCCCCTTTCTGCCCCACCCCCTTATTTAAGTTTATTATTTTTTGCCAAGCTCATAATGCGGAATGTGCATAAGTTAATGGAGCGTAAGTTGTGGGCTTACTGTATTTTGTTTGTTTACAGTACTTCAATACTAAATTGATCATTGTGATTGCAAAAGAATGGAAAACAATGGTGGGGTCCCACTTTTCCAAGAGTGAGCACAGCCTGTGCATTAGATGTAGCTGATAAATTATTTGTGATGCTACTGCTGTCTTGTCCCCAAGAAGTGTGGGAATTATACTATTGAGAGTTTTTTTCCCCCCTGCCTGCATTAATAGTTTCTTTAGGGAGAAAACCTTTTATCTGCTGCCCTTTGCTTCTCTGGCATGACTGCAGTGAGCTGCTGGTTTCCATTAACCACATCCAACACGGCATCCAAACTCTTAAACCAGGACTGGGAAACTTGTGACCTTCCAGATGTTCCAAGACTATAACTTCCATCACCCCTGTCCCTTGGCCACACTGGCTGGAGTGATGGGAGTTGGAGGCCAACAACATCTGGAGAATCATTGTTTCCCCACCTCTATCTTAAACTATGGTTAACATTAACCACAGTTTGTTTGAACAAACTCGCTTCATAATCCATGGTTTGAAGTTGGCTTGTTTTAAACCAAACATACTTTACATTAACAAATAAAAACAGAAGTGAAAAGCTTCTGAACTTTAGAGGAAAAGAGGAGCGTCTACAAGGCCAAGGGTCACTGATTTGTTCTCCTCGTGCAACACCAGGCAGTGCCTGATATCCTTTCTGCTATCTAGTGCATTTAAAATCTTCAGGTGTCAGAATACAGATTCCTCTTTTTGAATTGACACGTTTAAAGTGCCTGTGCCAATTTCATGACGGTTCCCCCCCTTAAAGATAGTATGCTCTGTAACCAATATTGTCATCCTTACTTAATTACCAATGTATTGATTAGTGATTGTGTTCTTTCTGATGTTTAATTCGGGAACTGCAATTCAGTTCTATCTTACTGCTGCAGATTTTTGAGTTCTTCTAAGTTTATAAATTAATGTGGTCTGCTAGAATGCCTTTTGAATGAAATTGACTGTTTCTATTGTGCTGAAGAAAATAATTTTGCTTAACTCTTATATATAATACCAGTTTAACTTCACTTGTAATGACATTTTAAAAGAATTTTTAACTTTTAGAAATATGTGGTTTTAAATAAGTTTTTCTTTTCCCTTTTTTCCAAAATAGTCATAGAATGGGGAGATGATATTAAAACCATCTCAGAAGATGAAGCTGTGATGTTGGTGAACCATCAAGCAACAGGAGACATTTGCACCCTAATGATGTGCCTTCAGGACAAAGGCACGGTATGCTATTTTTGTATTCACCGCTGTTTCATACTGGGTAGGCCATATTGAGAATATGCTCCGAATCATAGCACTGGAAACCACTGCCAAGTCTGGTACCTAGCCCTGAAACTCAAATTCACATGCATTTAATGGATCTAGCTGCCCTCCTTCCCTGCAGTGTGGCCCAGATCCTCCAGATGGCTGTGCTATAGAAGCAGGGCATACAGACACCAGAGTTGTTTGCAGGGCAGGAATCATTTAGCAATCCAAGTGGCCTAGGAAAGCAGATCAAACTAAATGACTGAGGAAAGGCACAAAGTAAGAGATGCTTCCCCGGGTCCACTTCTGGAGAGGAAAGGAGTTGAAGTTGCACAGTGAATGTTACCCAGGAATGGAAAGCAAAGCAGGGGGCATTCAAGGATAGCAAACATCCTTTTAATTTTGCCTTGATGTACTGTAGACAATGCTTGCTGAATAAAAATGCACTGCACTGCATTAGTCTTTCATGATAAAATGCTCATAAACCTTGACTGTTATGTTCACGTGATAAAATGGGAATTCTGCATTTCCCATTATCTTCAGTTCTGAAAATGGGATATGGCCTGCAGACAATATTTGTTTAGAAATATTTATGGTCTTTACTCCAAGATGGTTGAAATGGGAAGCATTTGATTTAGTGTTCTATTTCTAGTTAGTGCTAGGCTATAAAAGTGAATACATGCCATCCATCTGTTTGTTTGTTTTTTCAATCAAATGAATGTGGGTTGAAATAAATTGTTCTGAACATCAGTCCAAAAATGAAATTGCTTCCAGTAGTTTGTGTGTGTGCATGTAATTGTGATGATACCAGAATTCTTAATTAGTCCGTTCAAATGGTAAACTTAGCAGGTTTATAATTCCTGTTTGCATAATGAACCCTGACTTGGAGCCAGTGAAATTTATTACAAGCTAAACTCTCTTTTCTGTGCCTCTGTCATCTGCGTGGAACTCCATCTTATAGCAAGCTCAGATTTTGCCTATTGTAACCCTTTAGTTACCGAAGGAGATGAAAATATCACATGTTGTACATGTTCAGAGAAATTTTCCTTTTACCACTTTGGTTCTTTTGACGAAGTGTAGCAAAGCAGTTTAAAAGTTTGGATCAGAAGCTATACAACCATCAATCACTTTGGAGAATCAGACATGTTGATTTGCACCATTTCTTTCTTGCTCATGGTCGGGCATTCTTTTCTCCTCCAGCTAGTTACTACTGATCCCACCCCCCACCCCCACCATATCAAATATAAAGTTTCTTTTTTCTTTTTTGTAAGTAAAGTACAACTTGACTCAGGTTCTGGGTGGCACTGTGAAGGAGATGAGAAAGGCAATGCATTCTCTGTGTGTTCAGCCTTTTGCAGTACCTGCATAAATTCCTGCCTGTTGTCCTCCCCAACACCATCTCCACACAAAATTGTAGCATGCGGAATTCAGTTCAGTCTGCATCAAATGCTAGCTAGGAAGCAAACCTGGTAGCCCAATGACCCCAGGACAGTGGAACTCAATAATTTCACGGGTTAGATGAGATGAACCTCGTGGTCCCTTCCAACCCTACAGTTCTATGGTCTATGTGGCTTGTAGAGTTAATCCCCATGGGAGGGAACCATTATCCCTTCTTGATGAGCTGTATTTTGGAGCATTTATCCATCACTGTGTCCCTCAAGAGAAGTTGTCTGGAAGGAACTACTTTTCAGACAGCAGTTTTTGCACTTTCAGCTGCTGTTACAAGATGCTCTCAGTACAAACTTTGAAGATGGCATTGGTGGGACCGTACATCTCACCATAGATATTTGCAATAGTTAATGAGTACAAGACTACATGTCTGTTACTACTCATTGGTTTACAGTTGCAGATATGGGCAGTCTGGTGAGACAACAGGTGGTTCTAAACAACTGGGTTTGGCTGTGTACATGCGTGCAAACTGACAGCAATCATTCTGTTGAGTTCTGATTCCCCAGCCTGGATTTCAAAGCAGACAGTGCAACAAACATTATGAAGACACTGTATGATGGTAGGATCCAACATATCTCACTGCTAAAACATGGTTTTGGAAGGCAGACCACACATAAAACTGCAAGCAGTATTAGTGATTAATTCAAGCAAACTGTATCTTCACAAACAAGACTGAAAGACTTGGTTTGCAAGCCCCCTCCATAGAGGCTGGCCCCTCTCACTGTCCTCGGAGCTTGCTTACCGGTAACCTCCTCTGGCTGATATCCAGACAGACCAGGGAGATTTTGATAGGCGACATTTTCCCAAGCGTGGGTAAAATGCACAACCCCTCCCTCCTGCTTCCGCAGGAGAAAGAAAATAAGTCAGAAATCTATTTACATGATGTTTATTTCTGACATTACAGCACTAGAGAAAAACACGTCCTTTCAGTTCAGTTCTTCTAGCACATCTGACAAACTTCCTGAACATGCGCAGTCGGAAGGTTTCAAGTTACACTCTTCACAAAGACTTATCCAGCCTGTGAACGTCCTGGGAAACTTCTTTCCCACAGATAGGCACATCATGTGATGTCAACAATCTGGCTGTCTGCAGCGGTGATGTTTCCATATACTGACAGAGACCACCACAACAACATAGCACTGTGCTGCCTAGTGTAGGATGTCCTTGCAAGTTGGAACAGCAAGCTGCAGTAGTATTGTACCTCTGCAAACAACCCAAATCAATGGTGGGTTGTTGTTTTTTACAACTTTCACTTCATTCCAGGGCAATAGGAATAATAAAGGACCTTTCTCACAAGCAGCCTTCTGACCAATAGGTCAGTTCTGACCAATAGGCAGTTCAGGGGGAGATTATCTGGTTACCTTACCCCAAGATTCGTTAACTATTTAGGGAGGAAGGTCCTGTTTAAAATAAGTTCGGTAGGATGAATGAGTATCTGGTGGGAGAAACTGTAATGGCTTGTCTTGAAACGCACTAGGTGTTTGTAAGGTACAGCATAAAGTATCTGATGCACTCAGTAGCAATTTTTCAAAGGTTATGGAACAAATCTCAGCAACATCCAGAGACACTGAGACTGATCCCTCGTTCGTCTTGCAGAAGTCCCAGGTGGATTGTCTGGGACTCGTAAATGAAAATGATTATTCACCTTATACCAGACATGAAGCTGCAGCAGTGACAAGGCAGGAACTTGCGAGGGGGAGGGTGTGCCAGAATTTAACAAAGCCCTAAGGACCTATATGCTTTATCAGAAACACAAGTGGCATTTGCAGCGCTCAGCACACACTGTTTCTTTGGGCTCCCTTGCTAGCCCTCCCACCAGTATTCACTCTGAGAGTCTGTTCAGCACAGCTGGAAGGATTGTAACAGGCAGCATAAATAATCTGCCAACAGAGAATGCTCATATTTGAACCACTCATGGATACCAAAGATGCAGCCAGTGGACCCTTAAAAACTCAGTTGCCGCCTCCCAGCACATGTATCATACAGCAACAGCAGAAGCAGTAGCCGTGGAGCAGGAAGATGAGAAGAAGGAGAAATGACCGAGCCTTCATCAAAGAGCCATTTTTGAAGTCCTCATTGAAGTCAATAATGAACTACTTTTCAAAACAAGCATGAAAACCCACAGTGCAATATTCATACCATCATGCTAGTTTAATGCACAATAAAGTAAAGCTGGTTATCTACAGAAACAGTGTTTATTATTTTTGATAATTGATGAAACATGATATGTTTATATTTCCTGACTTTAAATTATTTTAAGTACAACAAGGCAGGAAAGGAAGTATAACAAAAACCAAACAAACTTCTAATAATGAAGCAAAAATTGATTATTTCTGTCTTAAAAGTTGCTTAATTAGGCACTCTTTTCGAGTTTTTTAAAATAAATAATACTTTGGATGAGAATACAAACTTTCCATCCATCCCATTGTCATTGTTACTATTTTAAATAATAAAAATAAGTGAAGGAGTCTAGCGCCTCTGCAGTTAACCGTCCCACCCCCCAAAAAAGAAATAAATACACTTACGCAGAAGCAGTCTCCACAATGACGACAGCAGCATACTGAGTCTTGCAACAAATAGGAATGGGCATTTTGGCTTGTTCCATAGCTGCTGTCTCTGCCTGTGGTTCCATGTTGATCTACTCATTATTGTAAATGAAGCCCACATGAGAAGGGTGCCTTGTGATTTGTGGGGTGGAAAAGGAATGCCAAATTCACACTTTTGTTTCCAAGATCTGCTTTGGTGACGTGCACACGCAAAAATTCAGAGATGCTTCAGAAGATTGTAACACAGGAAAGAGTTTGCCTGGGTTTATAACCCTGGACTGGTAACCTGGCTGCCTGATTCTGAATTATAATGGGTCAATTCGCCCATCTGTAGTTATTAATATAACTAATATAATATACTGGTATGGCAAAGTTTAAACAACCCATTCCTTGATTAAATACTAGCCATTCGCTCAATGCCAATAAGGCATATAGGGTTAGGACCTTTTGTTTCTCTGGCCCATTGGTCTTTGGCTGTTAGTTTGGGGCCCCCTTGTTCTTTGCAACTTGACATAAAGTGGGTCACAGCAGCAACACTAACACCTTACAGATATATAGTGTCCCATTAAGTGTATATTTGAATGAAAGATGTGTCCTTGGTATGAAAAGGTTCCAGAATATAGTTCTTACCCAATATTGTCTGCTCTGATTGCCAGCATTCCAGATTAATTTGAGACTGAATGGTTGGATGTTTGTTGGGTAACTGGATTAAGGGGGAACCTGAATTTTCTATCAGAAGGTTTACAGTCTGAGAACTATGTAAACACTACAAATTTCCTAGATAGAAACTGCCAACATAAAAAGTGTCTTCATATAGGAAGAAGTGTGAAAAGTTCCTTGAATGCATCTGTTTTCACTGCATATTTTTATGTTGAGAAGCTGGTGTTCCCTACACTTCCCCACACTTAACATATGCAGACAAATAGGTGAATGTGATTAGCACATACAACTTACATGGTCCTCATGGCTTTTCTTCTCTTGACCATGCTTTCTGTGTAGGAAATTTGTAATGTTCAAAGTATGGTGGACGGAATGTATACATAACACTGTTTAAGGAAATATAATGGTAGGAAAAATTATATTATTTTCTGCCAGTGTCTTCATATTTCCAAACTCCCTTACCTCATTGTACACCTGCACAGGTCTTTTAAAATTAAATAGTGTAGATATTCTCCTTCTGAAACAGAACAATATAAAGATGACAACAGATAATTCATTGAATAGGTGCTGTTCTTGTATAGCTTATCATGAGAAGCCCATCTTAGATTTTTCCTTTATATTCTCTTGCTCTCCCTTGCAAGAAAGCAAGCCCATCTGTTCAATCAAACCAATTCGAGGAATGTATTCAGTTGAAAGTAAGGACTATTTAAACTAATTTTTTAAAAGTGCATATGAAAGTCATTGTAAAAGCTTGTTAATACAGATTAATTGGAAGTGACTGATTTTCCCCCCCAAGAATCAAATGATTTACCCAAGATGTTTAACAAATAGAGATCAAATCTGTATTTTCCCCCTCTGTAAAATGAAAACAGTGAAGATACTGGCTTGAGTGGGAGTAGAATTCTGGGAGATTATGTTTTTGCAAATGAGACTTCGTTGAAAGGTAATAGTCTTTTAGTGGTTACATCTGTACAGAGATATTCTCGATGGCATTTATATTCAGACTTCTTAGTAAGGAAAATGGTTTTCTGCTAGCTAATGTGTTCTGAAGGGTTACCATGTTTTACTTTGTACATTGGCTTGTTTATTTGTTGTGTTACTTTGGAGTGCACTGACAGGTTCTTGTCTGAACTTCCCCAGGTTGTTCGTAAGATGATGTGGCTGATGGATTATATTTTTAAATATACAAACTTTGGAATTGTATCTCTAATTCATGGAGACTTCTTTATAAGACAGGTAATGGATTTTTATTTTTTTTAAAGTGTATCAGTAGCATCATCTGCTTTCAAAGTGGCCACCCATTTCATCGACTATGCTAGGTAGTCATAGTGTATAAAAACATTTCCACAGTGTACCTTGGCACAAAACCAACTGTTTATCCCCAAATTAATGTTTCAAAGATAATATATTATTTAGGAATACTTTTATCCTACTTGTTCCCCAAAATTCTTCAGGTGGCTAAAAGAGAACTGGGGAGGAGAGAAGAGAGAATGCAGGAAACATAATGGCAATACCTAAACATATAGTAGTTGAAATGGAATGCAAATAAATGTCTTCAGGGCAATTGAGCCTGCCTCTTCATTCCTGGAAACTAGTCAGTACTTTCTATAGAGCAGATGTGGGAAAACCTGTGACCCTCCACATAGTGGACTCAACTTCCATCCGCCCCAGTCAGCATGGCTAGTGATCAGGGATAATGTGTGTTAGGGTCCAATGACATGTAGAGGGTCACAGGTTTCCTATCTATGCTATAGAGTCTCTGGGGCTATTTAGGCATGGTGTGAGCAGGCATAAGCCTAGCGCTTCCTCCTCAGGTACAATATTCTTTCAAGCCTAATTGCACCTAATTTGGTGGGGGTATTACTGATAGGACATTTTGACTGACATAAGCTACAGGTCAGTAAAATTCAGCTACTTGATCTAGCCATTTGACTAGAATTGGTGGATCTGGGAGTGTTGTATAGCTGGTGAAGAAGGAAGTATGAAGTAAAAGGTTGTGTTGCTTGTGGGATATTGTGGGATACAGGTCTGTGAGAAATGGCTAGCATTGACCTCATCATCATCCTCTGAGATGTGATATGAATAAACAAACTTCCATCTATGAAGTCCTGACGAGAGATGAATGGATACAAAAACTTTTGGATTACGCAGAAATTGTGAAACTTATCAGAAGAATAAGAAATCAAGATAACATTTTTAAAAAATAAAAGAATGGTAATGGTTTATTGACTATCTAACAAACAAATTATAAACAGATAAAAGACATTGGCAGGATTGTTGTAATAACTTGCAATTTATATATTCTTTTAAAATAGATGAATAAAAGAATAAGTTAATTTAGAGTATGCAGGAAGTGATAAAATAAATTTAAGGAACCGCAGGAAGAGAAGGAAGGAAGTCGAGATTTGAAATGTTAGAACTAATGTTAAACTATTGAAATGTATATAAATGAAGAGTATGAATAATTTATTTTAAAAAAAACTTCATCAGTGCCATATCATGTTTCTCTATATGTTCGGATTTCAATGAAGAAACGACCCTGCAGTTGTGAGTTGGGCAGCCTGGCGGCTCTAGACGAGGCTTCTCCAACCTGGTGTCTTCTGGATGTCCAAAATATCTGGAGGGTACCTCGTTGGGGAAGGCTGTCACAGGCTATGTGGAGGGGATCACATTATCTTTTTGATAGTATGTGACAAGAGTATTTACATGGAAATAGGGGTGGGTAGGAATTCTCTCCCAACTCTAAATTCAGCCAAGTGAGATAATTTGTTTTGGGACTATTATTTCTTTTAAGTAAACAATAGCATTATGAAAATAAACTTTCTTAGAAAGTTGTACTTACGTTTCCATATTTGCATTTTAGGGAAAAGCTTATCGTGACCAGCAGCTTTTGCTTCTCCAAGAACATCTAGAAAAACATTATAGAAGCCGCGATCGGAAGTGGATTGTATTGTTTCCAGAAGGTGGTTTTCTTAGAAAAAGGAGAGAGACCAGTCAGGCATTTGCCAAGAAAAACAATTTGCCATTTCTTACACATGTTACACTGCCAAGACTGGGGGCCACACAAGTTATATTGAAAAACCTGATAGCTCAGCAAGAAAATGGAACTCTGGCAGGTGGCGATGCTCCAGAAGCAGGTATGGGTCATTTTAACTTTTTATAGAACCAGTTGCCAGCTGATTGGGATCTCAGAATCAGAATCAGGTCAAAATGAGTGTCAGGTTTTATGTTTTACCTAAAAATATTTTTTAATGTAACTTAAAAAAAAAAAGAATTGGACTTTTTGGGCCATCCAAAAATACATAGCACTTCCAAGCTATAGCAAATTCAAGTCATCCCAGAATTAACAAATGCTTATTTTTTTCCTTTTTAAAAAAAATGCCTTAAAATATCTGGTGTGCCTTGGATTACCTAACCACATACATTTAACTGTTCTGGGATCATAAGAGTACTGTATACACCTATTAGTGTAGGAGGGGAAGTTGTGAGTGTGTTAGAGACTGAAGTGCAAATTACTACTTCTATATTGTTGACTTTTCCCCTGTTGTGCGTCTATTATAAGTCTGAGTGCCGGAAGGAGAATATATAGCTCTCACCTGCAGCGTTTCAGAATTCAAAGTTCTTTGCTGTAGGCTGCATTTAAAACACTTCTACTGCAGTCCTTTCCTCCTACCTTACAGGAGTGATCTCCACCATGGAGCCTGCGGGCTAGAAAATGGAAAGCACCGGCTTTTATCTCATGGAAACAACTTATTTAAAAATAAGTTTCCGTTACTCCCCTAAAAAGAGAATTTTTTTTCCATTGGCTATCGGTTTAATAACACTGCCTGGGCATCTTTGTATGAACAAATTAATTGTGGGCCAGGGGTGAAGAAGAAACATGAGCTGAAGGAAAGTTATTTTGTCCCGCCCAATTGCAAAGCAACACCCCCCCCAGCCCACTTTGCAGCCAGGCTTCTCTGGATGCAACACATCCGTTAATTAGCTGTGTGTCTTCAGTTATTGTTGCTGCTTCTCCCCCCAGCTGCTTTACTGTGTTAAGAACAAAGGAAGTATTTTGGATGTGTTTCTTTGCCACCTCTATTCCATCACTCATAACCTAGTGCTTCTAAAGGACTGCCACCTTCTCTTAGATGGGTTCTTCATGAACTGGGCCCTTTTGGTTGTGCAGATGCTGTAGTAGAATGTTCTTCCCTAGAGAGGCCTGCGTAGTGTCAGCAGCTGATGAAAACCTGGCTCTTTAAAGAAGTATTTGGGGGAAACTGAACTGATCATCTGTTGTGTTTGCTGATTCCATTATTATGATATTTTATTATGCTGTTTGATATTGCCTAGATTATTTGTACCTTTGTGCTGCTACTTATTTTGAATTTCCAGAAGAAAACGGGGGTAGAAATTTAATAAACATGATATATTTTGCTCTTGCTATACTTGTACATTATTTGAGTTACAACTATCCACATACTGGCAACGTCCAACTTTCCTTTTTCCACCAATTGAGCTTATAATGATTGTGTTTTGGCAATTCCTGTACAGCACATTATAGTAATGTAGCCTGGGTGTTACTTGTGTGTGGCCTTGTCATCGGAAAAAGAATTTCCGCATTATTTTTCTACATTACTTGTTTCAGAGTGAAGGTGTGTTGAATTTGTAGCATTGTTTTTACGGGGCTTTATAGAGGTATGCTTTCCAAAATGCAGCTGTGTTCAAAATTAATATGAGAAACTGGGGGAGCTTTCTCTGTATTTTGCTTTGCAAAACAGTCTCTGACTTTTGGGAGACACAGCAGAATTAAACAAGCAATTTATGTTCACCATGTAAGTGAGATTACTTATTTAAGATCTGAGACTCAGCTGAATTTAGGTATCTGTAGGAATGTGAGTTTACAAGGAAAAAGGCATATTCATTCATTTGCGTGCAGTTCTTTGTTACCTGGCCAGCTTCTGGCACACCAAATGCGATTTCTTCTCTCTTGAGACCTTGACATTGACAGTTGGTCTTGCTCAGTATTTGATGAAGCATATTGTAGTTGCTTGGCAGTTTCATTGGTCTTGCCAGCAGTGTCCTGTCTCCAGTCCTTCCTTTCGTTGTTTTATATAACTCTACAGGATATCCTAAATCTCGTCAAGAACGTGGTGCATACATAGCAAATTATTTGGTATTCCTCAGGGTTAGAGTTTTCTGTTTTTCACCTGGACTTCATTTTACAAGGTTATAGTGTCTGATTATATGTAAGTTTGGTTTTCACACGCCACTGCTTCAAGGTTTATCTTGTTTTTTAATGACAATGTGGACTAACAGAAACTTTATCAGAATACTGGACCTCGGCAGTATAAGCAGTTTCCAGTTGTTGTCCATTTTTTTAAGAGATGCCTTTGTGTGTCACGATATATTTGGGCTCTTTAAAATGATCACATTGCAGAGTCAATTTTCAGGAGCACATTTCTGCTAAAGATTGTGATTACTGATTGTTGTAAACCTGCTATTGGAGCATTGTGTTTATGCATTATTCCCGATGTGTTAGAAAGTCTCATTAGTAACATCCTCATTGGACCAAAATGGGCTTGCAAATACCTTAACATTGAACCTGAGCAATTAAGTGTTCAGTGACAGAGGTGTAATGGAATGAAATAGTTTGCAAAAAATTGTTGGAATGCACTACTTGCTGATAACTGATGAAAGTTTTTATTAATGTAGATAATGAATAAATCTCATTTACATAGATCAGCATGTGTTATTTATTGAATTATGATCTCATATGATAGAACTCTGATGTCATTTTAAAGAAGTATTTTCTTTTGTCTGCAATAGCTGACCCAGTTTAAATTTGTGAGTTTGTTATATACTGCACACAGATGGATGCATAGATGCCTCCTCACCCTCGAACATGCTGCTTTGTGCCTAATTCCAGTTTTGACCAGGCTTAATTGATTTAAAATAGTTTACCTGTATGAACCCAGCCCTAGTTGTTCTGTATAACCATAGTACCTTTTGTTTATGTTTTAATCCTGCAAAGAGCACAAGCCCAATATTTCTAAGTTACTTAGGGCTGGAGTTAGCCTATGAAGAGGAACCAGGATTGAGAAGTAGAGATTGTATAAGAGATGGACAGTACAGGAGGTGAAGGAGTAGGAAATAAGATAAGTTTATAAGTGAGAAGTGGGCACAGTGTCTGAGAAATCTAAATTAATAGGGAAACATTCAAGTCACTGCTACAATGTGCTGCTGCTACCTGTAGAACAAATGAATGGAATATCCAGTCTAAAACACCTGTATTACCTATTTTGGTCTATAGGCAGCAGCAATATGCTATAACAATGCCTTCCTGAATCGTTTCAGATGAGGCTGAGATGTGCCCGGCCATTTGTTTATTAATACTTTAGAGCTTTCGTTTCAAATGCAGTGTTAAATATTGCTGGCTTTTAATGATAAAAATTGGGTAATGATAGACAAATATTGGATAATCTGCTGGCTTATTTATATTCATCAAATTGATGTTTACCCATTGAATGCAGGTAGAATACCTTTTGTAATCTTTACTGCAGTTCACAACTGAAGGGATGTCTTGTTTGGTTTATGTGGGAAGATAAATATGCTCTTCGTTTTAGATTTGGAGTTTACTTTTTCTGGTCTGTCAGCATGCATAACCAATGAATCCTATCCTGGCTCTAGATATCAAGCACAGCCCACACTGCGTGCTTTTAAGCATTTAGGTCCCACAAAATGAGAAACAGAGTTGAGTGAGACCCTATCTTTTTATTTCAACCAACTATTATTATTTTAAAATCTTTTCATCAGGTTGGATATTCAAAGGGGGAAATGATTTTGAAACATACTGGATCAGACCACGAATCCGTCTTATAGTCCTGCATTAGACCAGACATTCACTTCCACGAAACCCACAAGCAGGGCATGATGCCAGCAGTTCTGTCACTTTGTCAATTCAGTGTTTCGGCAGATTTTTAATATCAAGACACAGGAATTTATTTAAATCAAATGCTTCCATTTAGATATCTAAGTCTGAGCTATACTGTTTAGTGTCAGATGGGCTTCCCTGAGACAAGCAATATATCAATTATTGCTGTATTTAATAAATACTACACTTTTTCTGCTCTCCCTTCCAAAGCTATGACTCCCAATTATATTGGTGGCACAAAGATGCCTTACTTTCCTGGTTGCTAAACTTCTAAATGGAGAATGTGTATGGGTGTTATATATTTGTTTGTTACTTGGCTGGGATTCGTGTAGCCCAAAATGTTATCCTCGAACGGGTAGTATTGCTAAAAGACGTTTCTTCCTTTTCTGTTTCTTTGATTGCTCTGAGTGTTGTGAGAATTTGCCTTGGCACTGGATGAAAGCCGCCCTACTGAAGAGCACATTCAGAACTGCTAGGCCAAGCTATTGCACTTGGCAGCCCCTGACTGCAAGGAACCCAGAGGGAAGGAAGGGCCTGTAGAGAGTGATAGATAAATACATGCCGCAGCCTGCAGGGTTTCCATTCAAATCCCCGCGGGCTAATTTACTTGCTTCCAGAGGAAGCAAAGACTAAGAGTATTCTCGAGTGGAGCAACACTGTAAAAAAAAAATAAATTAAAAAAAATCTTTTTAGGTATAGTCTCTGAAGTATTTACAAAATTGTATTTCTTCTGGTAGCACAACTGGGATTTCTTCAGAAGCATTAGTCTCTGATCTGCTCTTTACTCTGGCACTTTTGTGGTAAAAGCTGGAGGCCAAGGAGGTGAGCTTGCTCTTTTGTCTCCTTCAGCTCTGATGCCATAGCACAGGTTTGTCTTGGGCTCAGAGGCCTAAGGACACAATAAGGGGGTCTATTGGTTTGCTTTTGCTTTTGTTTTATTCTGTATTTTGTGTTCTCATTTTGTTTGTTTATATTGTGAACCTCCCTGTGATCTTTGAACAAAGTGCAGTATACAAATGTTAATAATAATAATAATAATAATAATATACCCTAAAGTCCTACATTGAGTTATGGTCTGAAGTGGAAGGATTGGGGGGGGGGGTGATGAGCAGCCTTGGCCCTCCTTTTGCCCCAAATTAATTTTAAGTACTTCTTCGCTGGACTGAGGAGGAATAATTGGTGAACCACTTCTTTCCATTCATCTCTCCAAATTTTGGGCCTTAGCTGGCCAAGAGTAGCACATACGCCCAAGCCTTGTCCAAGGTTTTTTGGAGCCTCCCAGGTTTTTTGGGAGGAAGCAGGCAGGGGTTCATTGTGACCCACCTCTATTTGGGACCTATGGTAGGGTTGCCACATGTCCGTTTCCCCTGAGACGTGTCGTCATTTTTTAGGGTAAAGATTCCAGGCGGGTTTTAATTTTTTTTGCAAAACGTCCAGGTTTTTTATGGCAGCATCATGGCGACAGTGGTAGCGAGGTGGAAGCCCGTGTGCCCTATACTCCATCACCCTCACCAGGCCCACATTCTGGCTCGTGGTGCCTGGCTCGTTTGCTCTCCTCTTTCTCCTCTGAGGCTGTAGCACGGCGGGCAAGGCCGCTGCAGCACTCAGGGCACGGTTGCTAAGGGAACATCTGCCTGCGCACTGAGAGGAGGAGGCAAGCAGGGGCAGGAGAAAGGAAAGGTGAGGGCGCTGAGAGCCATGGGGCAGCAGTAGAGCGTGTCTCTGTTCTGCTCAGGGAAGGTATGCACACGCACACACACACCCCACTCCGGTGGCAGGGTGAGGGGCAGAGGACAAAAGCAAGTCTAGAGTGAGAGACTAGGATAAAATCCACTGTTTCCACAACTTCTTCTTGTGAGCTTTCTGTGGGTGAGTTGAGGGTTTGATTGGACCCTGGCTGAGAACCCAAAGGCTGAAAGGGAGGGTGTGTTAGGAGGAAACTGAATTGGTACTGATTTATATGTAATAATAATAAAATAATAATAATAACAACAACTGTCTTTTTCCAATATTTTATTTTAATTGTTGTTGCTTCAGTTTTTTGTACACCGCTTAGAGGTATTTTTTAATATATTAAACGGCATAGAAATTAAATAATCAAAAAAGTATGCTTTGTAATTGTAAAATAAACTGGTGGGCAATCTGACCTTTTAAGAAGACCTTGCAAGACTGAATTCAGGGCACCCCTGGCCCTCAGAGCATAAGAATTACCTCATGCAAGCAGATGCAGCCTTTGAGGGAATGGTCATGGCTCAGTGGTGGAGCATCTGCACAAAGAAGACCCTTGGTTGTGTCTTTAGCTCAGCAAGGGCACAAAAAACTTCCTCTGTTAGCAACACCAGAAAGCTGCTGCTCATTTGCCCCATGCAGTGAGCCCCATGCAGCACCAGATCAGGGAAGAACCTTCTTTCTCAGGCTGGCCCAGGCAGGAAGGGGTATAAAGCACTTTGTTTTTCAGCTGACTCTTTTCTAAACCACAAGGTCCACCTGATTCTATCACAACTTGCCTCTGTGGTCTTGTTTGCTGGTCCAGACCCCTGGCTTGTTCCCTGGTCCAGCTTTCTGGATTGCCCTCAGGTACTGGTGGTCATGGAGTCCTGACTCTCCAGGCCACTCCTTGCCTGTGGTCCAGCCTTGACATGCCACTGGTCTCATAGACAGCACTGAGCTAGATGGACAAATGGTCTGACTCTGTATGAGCCAGCGTCTTACATTCGTGGTCCCCATCACTGCACACTAGGACACAGATAGTCCTCTGCTTTCAGAAAAGAGGAAGAGCGTGGAAGATGTGGCAACAGTGCTTTTTGCTTCTCTACTTGGGGAAGTACAGTAATACAGTGTGGCTATGGAGCTTGTGCATGTGTGCTCTCTCTCTCACTCTTCCCCTTTCGCCTCTGGCAGAGACAGAGTGTGTACATCAGGTCACTGGTCAGGGCACATCAGCACACTGTAGCTATTGCTTTTATAGTGGCTCCCTCAACTGTTTGCAGAGTGTGTACGTGTAGGTTGGAGCTAGTTCTGCTTGCAACATCTCCTTTTCTATCTTCTGGTTTTAAGAACAGAAATGGAGAGAGCAATGAGCACTACTTTCTTCATGCTGCAATTTCTTTCTGCGGTGCAAGGTAGCCTATACTGGCTTCCAATGTGTGTAGATGACCCTTGGGGGAATTACGGGTTTAATTTTCCAGGGTTGCTTGAATATCAACATATATAGCATGGAAGAAGTGGAAGCCAGGATGAAACCTGAAACAAAACAAGCAGTCCCTGGAGGGAAAAGTTGATGTAGCTGGCTGCTAAGTCCAGCACACCAGGGTAATTGGACCATTTGCTGAAAAGAAACTCTCAGTGTCTTCTAATGCAGAACAAAAGTATTCTAATTGGAAAGATCAAAATAGCTTGGCTGCTTGAGATCTGTGTGTCAAGATTGTAAGGAAGGGGTTTAGGAACCATCTCTTTCCTGTTGCAATGTTGTCGCTCTTGGCAGAAATTATAATGCATTACACATATTTATTGAAACAAATCAACCTGTCCTTTGGCTTAAGGTTTCTCAGCAGTCCATTATATGCATAAGAAGTATGCCTTTGAAAGGCATACATGTCACAGAGTTACGGGCCAGTGCGCTATGTGGAGAATAAAGCATACAGTTAAAATGTGACACATGATTATATTACAGTGGACGCTCGGGTTGCGAACGTGATCCGTGTGGGATGCATGTTCGCAACCCGCAGCGGTGCGTCTGCGCACGCGCGGGTTGCAATTCGGCACTTCTGCGCATGCGCAAAGCGCAACCAGCGCAACCCGGAAGTAACCCGTTCCGGTACTTCCAGGTTTTGGCAGTCCGTAACCCGAAAAAACACAACCTAAAGCATCTGTAACCCGAGGTATGACTGTATTTTAACGGCCGCTTTTGTCTGTAATTTTATGTCTGCGCGCTACAGGCGGTGATAACTTTGTGTGTGTCCAGTTGACACACAACTGCCAATGAAGGGGTCCTTTTGGACCTGGAAGAGGGCAGAATGGTGGACAGAACAGGGCAGCGAGGGCATTGTGCTGACACATGCAGGGGCCAGCATGGAAGCCCCCACGCACAATGGTTGCCACCTGTATTTTATTCTCCTCCTGTTTTGTATTTTTTATGGTGGTTGAGTTATTTTGTGGCTAAGATACCTTGAATGCTATTTAGCTGAGAGGCAACATATAAACCTTTCAAATAAGTTAGACAATTAATTTGGGTGAAAATAAAACATGCTTAACTTTATCTCAGTTGCTCTCTTTCTCTCAATTATTTTCATGGTAGTTTTGTCATCATAAACCAGTTTGGCATACAGTACTTTGGTTCTTGTTTCTATGAAGACTTCCTTTCTTAGGTATGATGATGGTTTCTTCCTTGGCGTTGAGAATATCCTCTAGTCATTGATTGTGAATATATGGTTTCCTGTGATTTAAAACTTCTACTTAAATAGTAATGAAGTGTTAATGTAAATGGGCTATAAATTAAAATGTGTATCTGTATATTGTTGTGTTAAAGAGTTATTAAATAATAGCCGCTATTTTGTTTGCTAAAAAAATATTTTGAAAAGGGCTCTGTCTGCATTGAGAAAGTGTGATGAAGAAGCTTTTGAAAGCTTGAAAGAGAATGAGTAACTAAGAGAAGAAAGGTCTCTAGGCGATGAGAACTTACGCCAAAACAAATATATTAGTAGGTTGCCATGTCTTCTTTGATACTACTTCATACATTGCATGCTGATCCTGGTATTGAAAACAGATTTGTGTACTAAGCCTGTTGAGACCAGAGGTTGCAAGCACTTGCAGGCTTCAGCGGTGTATCAGACGTATGTCATTTCCTCTGCCCAGAGAGAAAGTGCTCCTACACCGAACATGGCACTAGGTTAAGCTTTTTAAGTGCTTGGCTTAATTAGCATCTCACTTGTTGACAGAATGCCAGAAATTTAATGGTGTACCTTTAATGCTTATTGATAATTTAAATCATGTTGGTTAGGGCATGGTGCTGATAATGCCAAGGCTGCAGGTTCGATCCCCATATGGGACAGCTGCATATTCCTGCATTGCAGACGGTTGGACTAGATGATCCTCAGGGTCCCTTCCAACTCTATAATCCTATGATTCTATGTTGTTATTAAAACATCCTCACATTGTATATCTGAATAATCCTACTAATGTACATACAGCCATAGAAACATCAATGTATTTCAATAAGAAGTTCTTTAAAGCAAGCAGCAGTGCTAATAATACACCTTGAATTATTCCTTCCTAGGGCTATATGGAAGATACAAGGTAGATTTTTTTTTTTGTGAGAACAGGGTGAGAGGGATTGGGGAGGAAGGGAGATGAAGTGGGGTCTTTGGATAACCAGAATTTAAATAATTGAAATGTATGACATCATGATCAAGGATAGCCATTTTTGTATATTATGATTTGGAATATAAGGGAGTTTTCTGCCAATTCTCTAATTTGAGAAGTAAGAGTTGAACATGTTCCTGCCTGCTTTGGCATCGTGTAGTATGGTGGTATTTCATCAAATCATAGAATGCAGATTATTATCAAATGAGTTGGCGTGATGTACTGTATTAGAACAGAAGTATGATACTAAGAATTGAAAATCATACTCTTTCTGTTTCCTTTCTTTTGTTCTATAATCCCCTTTCTTAGAAAGTAAATCAAAAGGTCTTCAGTGGGTGATAGATACAACCATTGCATATCCCAAAGCTGAACCCCTAGACATCCAGACCTGGATTCTTGGCTACAGGCGACCAACAATTACACATGTACATTACAGGTAGGACAAATATGTTTGTCTTCTGTTAATTTTAAATTGAGACCTGGAAAAAATACATTAGGTACTTGTATTTTGGAATATGACTGGCTTGAAATAAAATTTTCACATTGCTTTCTTCCTCAAAGCTCTTCATTTTTGGACAAGCAAATTATTTTCAATAAGGTAACTTGGGGGTGTATGTTTGTAGATAGAAGTTTCTGGGGAAAAGTGAGGTTTTTTACCTCCCAATAGCATAAGAAAGAATTCATCAATAGCATATGCAGAATTCATCATGCGAAAGGCTGGGCTGAATGAATCCCAAGCCGGAATTAAGATTGCCGGAAGAAATATCAACAACCTCAGATATGCAGATAACACAACCTTGATGGCAGAAAGTGGGGAGGAATTAAAGAACCTTTTAATGAGGGTGAAAGAGGAGAGCGCAAAATATGGTCTGAAGCTCAACATCAAAAAAACTAAGATCATGGCCACTGGTCCCATCACCTCCTGGCAAATAGAAGGGGAAGAAATGGAGGCAGTGAGAGATTTGACTTTCTTGGGCTCCATGATCACTGCAGATGGTGACAGCAGTCACAAAATTAAAAGACACCTGCTCCTTGGGAGAAAGGCGATGGCAAACCTAGACAGCATCTTAAAAAGCAGAGACATCACCTTACCAACAAAGGTCCGTATAGTTAAAGCCATGGTTTTCCCAGTAGTGATGTATGGAAGTGAGAGCTGGACCCTAAAGAAGGCTGATCGCCAAAGAATTGATGCTTTTGAATTCTGGTGCTGGAGGAGACTCTTGAGAGTCCCATGGACTGTAAGAAGATCAAACCTATCCATTCTTAAGGAAATCAGCCCTGAGTGCTCACTGGAAGGACAGATCCTGAAGCTGAGGCTCCAATACTTTGGCCACCTCATGAGAAGAGAAGACTCCCTGGAAAAGACCCTGATGTTGGGAAAGATTGAGGGCACAAGGAGAAGGGGACAACAGAGGACGAGATGGTTGGACAGCGTTCTGGAAGCTACAAACATGAGTCTGACCAAACTGCGGAGGCAGTGGAAGACAGGAGTGCCTGGCGTGCTCTGGTCCATGGGGTCACAAAGAGTCGGACACGACTAAACGACTAAACAACAACAAGCATAAGAAAGTCAGACTATAACAGCATACTCCTTGAATTAAAGCCAGTACTTCAGTTATGGTCAAATGTGTCTTTTGAAAACCAAAGCAAGGAAGTTGTTTCTCACTTGGCTAATAATTAGACATAGAGACCCTATCCATCCATCCATGGCGATCTTACATAACATCATACAATGTGGCTCTTGCAAATGTGGCAAACATTTACTGGGTCTGCCCATGACATCTGTAATGAAGAATGCTGAATGCCAGGTCAGTCTGCAATAAACCATGCGAATCCATGCTTTGATCATGGATGAACAGGTGTATCACCAAGACCTGCTCATCAGATGTGACGTCAGACATCAGTCATGCACATTTGCCAAAGAAGTCTGGTTAGTCTTGCGTTCACCTGCCATATGTCCACCATGCGTTTACATGTATTTGCCCTGCAAACAATAGTAGTGTTTACTACAAGACTCGCTTTCAATGTATCTACCCTGGATTTGCCACACACAGCATAAAGTGGTCCTCTGATAATGACACAAAGCAAGTTGATAGAGGCTTTGGGAAAAATACAGAATAGTGGGGGCCAATTAAATTTAGCTTTAATGCATAAAGCCTACAACTAACAGACCACTGAGTGCAGGCTAGAGAGTGGGGGTTGAGCCCACCTTTCCACAGTGACTTGTCACTAAGTCTGGCTGCTAAGTTGCTTCTCTGTTGAGTTACCTGAAATAACTTGGGAGAAATATATTTGGAAGAGAAGGGTCAGCATTTACTGTTTTCTTCTGTTCTTTCTTTCTCGGGTCCAGTTTGGACAACCATTCCTGTCTGGTTAATGAATCCAGTAACAAGTGCTCCTCCCTTACCCCTTTGCTCCTTCCATCACACTCTGTCTTCACCATGAAGATCCTGACCTGCATTAAGCCAGATTCCCCCACTTTTTGTGTAATGCAAAACTCTGCTTTAGAACAAGCCAAGATCTTCATGCTGAAGCTGGCATACAGCGGAAGGAGAGAAGGGTTTAAGGAGGGTTATTATATTCGATACAAAAATAGTCAAGTGGGTTTATTATATTTATTTTAGAAATGTATGTTCCCCTTTTTCTTCAGTCCACTTACCGTTCCAGAGTTCAGCTCCGTAGAAAATGTTCTGCATAATTTCAGCAGAAGCCAGCTGTGCACAGTTTCAGTTGCCTGTGATACTATCAAGGAACATTTTACCCTCCCATGTAACCCCTGGAGCAGTTTTGTACTTTATATGGTGACAATTGAAAGGCATGCAGCAGTTTTTAAACATTAAAAAGGTGAACCTTCCACTTGAAGCATTAAGGGAGAGAGGTACGACCAGTGGTCAAGTCAGGAATCTACTGGTCTTCATGCAGTTGTGAATCCAGGAGACCAGGATGACAGATCAGTGGGGGAAATGCTTGGGTGGGGGAGAACATTTGAACAGAGCTGAGACCTGGCACTTCATAATCCTATTCAGTCACCTCCCAGGTCTCCCCTGAGAATGTGTATTGTATAAAACATTGCACACACAGCTGCAGCCTGTTCCTGCAAATCTTTTCAGTGTTGTGAATTAGAGTTTAAATAGCACTCAGAAATCTGCTGAAGGTAATGAAAACATAACAGTGTAGGAAGGGCGAATGAAAGGTGGGATGGCAAACAGAATCCTATTATGAAAGACTTTTTCTTTTGGAGACTAAACTCAACTAGTCATTTCATGCCTTTAACTTGAAGGCCAGTGCACAGCAGTCTTACATAAGAGAAGCCAAAAGGCACTTACATTAAAGAGCTCGCTAATGAGAGTGGAGAGCAGCTACTTTCTTGACCTTTCGATATCTTCCAGGCTTGTTGAAGCTAAAACGTAATAGCAAGATCCTGGAGAAAAAGAGAGGCCGTGATGATGTGAATGGAAATTTATTGGTGAAATGAGTAAGATAAATATTTGGTGGTTGAAGTGAGCGTGAAATTTTCCATTCAGTAAATTAACTTTTTGTCATGGGGCAGTGAAACAATGTTCCTCTAGCTAGCCATCCTATTATGATATGTATTATGAAGGCTTGAGGGGGGTGCAATTTGATCTTGTGTTTTGGAATATTTGGGGCATAGGGTTAAGTGCTATGGTGATGGCACAATAGGATGCTCTTCTCTGGCTCTTCCTTTGAGGACTGACCCTGGCTGTTGTGGCATAAATGATGCTATTCTGACATTAAGGAAAAGTCCTGTTTGGTGCAGAATTGCCCCCCAAATGCTCTCATGGGGATATAGGGCCATACTAGTTGTCCGTACTTTGCTTACTAGATTGAAATTCTGAATCCAGGGAACTAGAATGAGTTCAGGAACAGAAGGCACAGCATATATGCAGACGTGTTTTATTTACATATGAATAGAATGATAAAGGCTGAAGATGCAATGGGAACTGGCCTTGAGAAAGGAGCAGAGGAAAGTTGGAGAAGAAATGTGCCAGGATAAATATGCTTGATGGACGCTTCTCATTGTGAAATAAGAATTGGGCTGGTTTGGTACAGGGAACCAATGTTTGAATATAAGAACTTTCAGAGTCTGCATTCCCCCCCCCCCCGAAAAAAGGTGTGTTGACAAGGTGGTAGGAGAGTGGCTACACTGACTGCATCTTCCTTCCTAGGGAGAACTGTTTTGCCTCCTCTTTAATAGCCTTTCACCAACACGTGAGGACTTTTTCTTTCTTTTTTCTTTTGCTTAGACATGCCTTCGGATTGATTGTATTTGACTAATTAAGGTATTTGAAAAGAAGTGTATCTGAAGGAGTGTGCATGCACACGAAAGCTTATACCTAAAACAAACCTTGTTGGTCTCTAAGGTGCTACTGGACAATTTTTTATTTTATTTTTTATTTTGCCTGCGTCAGACCAACGTGGCTACCTACCTGAATCTAAGGTATTTGAAGTGTGCCCCTAAAGATTGTTGCAAGAGATGAGTCCAACAATTGGTTGCTTTTTTAAAAAGTGTAATGGGTTATGCAAACAGTTCTTCTGAGAATAGAATGAATGAATGAATAAATAAATAAATAAATAAATAAATAGTGGAGAATATGCCAGGTCCTGTTCCAGAGTTCACCTGATTCACCTTACAAATGGGAAATGATTTCATATGTCTAGTATACTGTTCTGTCTGTCTTTGAAATGCAGGATTTTTCCAATTAAAGATGTACCTGTTGAGCCTGCAGCCCTCACCATTTGGTTGTATCAACGGTTCATTGAAAAGGAGGATCTTTTGTCACACTTTTACAAAACAGGTAACACTTTCTTGAGATAAAAAGCAAGCATTTTAAATATTCATCTCCTTTCAAGCGTGTTTTCACTTAATGGTCAACTAATTAGAAGTCTAGGATTAAGTTGCCCACTATCATTAGAGATGTGAAGGTGGACATTTTCTCCCAATTTTCCTGGGTTTTCCCCAAGCCACCCCATCTCTAGTTATCATCTCAGGTCTTGGACATTGCATTTCTAACGTACCTGAATTTTGCAGAACCTTTTTTTTTTTTTGTATTGTATTGTTGGCTTTGTTATGTGCCTGTTAATAAATAAAATATTTAGAAATGACTCTCTTAAAAAAGTATTGAACATGCCACTTTCAGCCCAGTCCTCTACATGTCTACTGAGAAGTAAGCCTCGTTGAATTTAGTAGGGCTTTTATTGCAGCATGAATTTTAAGATTGCAGGCATGGGATCAGCCATGCGGGTAATGCAAAAGTTGTCATTACATATTCTCTTACTGTCTTGCTGCACTTCGTGATGCTATTGCATACGAGTCTAGATACAGAGCGGCATGAGCCTTTGGGAAGGGCAACTGGAAAATTCTCCTTCCACAGGAGCTGGAGGGAATGTTCTGACATGTGAAGAGGGGAAAGCATAACTTGTAAACAGTGGTAATGCTGAAGTGGAGGAAGATTCCCCAGTGAGCATTGAAGCATTTTAAAATGCACATTTTTTTTAACTTTATATGCTGCTACCATGCTGCCCGAGGTAGTTCTTAACAAATGTTTACAAATCTCATTCTGAAAGCGTAACCCAGGCTTACTCAGACTTGGCCCTCCAGATGTTTTGAGACTACAATTCCCATCATCCCTGGCCACAGGTTCTGCTAGCTAGGGATCATGGGAGTTGTAGGCCAAAAACATCTGGAGGGCCAAGTTTAAGGAAGCCTGGCCTAACCGATTGAGCCCTTTTTCTCTAGGAAGATCCAAGTAATCAGCTCCCCACCCTATGCACATTAGGGAAATCTGATACCATCTGTAGTTGGAGGTTCCTTTACAAATAAATAGCTTAACCTGCCCTTTGGATCCTTTCCAACTCTACAGTTCTATGTTTCTAATTACTACATACGCCACACATCCAGTATATTAATGTGTATACAAATCTGCCAAGCCATTCTCATGCTGTCTCATTGCAGAAATGGCGCAGCCGTTGCTTCCTTAATTTCACTTGCAATTCAGGAAAATTAAGGAGGGCCTAAGAAGCTAAACAAATCCGAAATCCTGTAGATCCAATTCTGCCTTTTCTCCTACTGCAGAGAAGAAGAAAACACACTAGCAAAACTTAATTATGTTATGAGAAGGATTTTTAAAATCTGGCTTGTTGAGTGATCCGCATCTTGATGAATGAGAGCCAGTGCTGTGCCACATCTGCATTGCACCGAGTTCTTGTTCTGTCCGTGATGTGGCAACACTCTGAAAAGGCAGCTTGAATGTGCAACTAACAAACTGTTCCTTCTCTTCCAGGAGCGTTCCCCCCTTTGCAGGGACAGACAGAAATTGTTTCCCGGGAGATGACCCTTAGCAATTTGTGGCTAATACTCGTACAGTTGTTTGCGTTTTTGTCAGGTGGTATGTGGTACTGCATTCTTCAGTATTTTTATCAATGCCTATTTTAAAAGGTGAATGAATGGGACCTAAGAACAAGAGGAACTTGGTACTTTACAGAGTGCATCATGTTATGTTCAAATGTGAATATACCAGGATAAAGGAACATTACTGGATGGACTTTCTCCCCCTTCGGGAATTTTAAACTCCGCTAGGAGAGAGAATCAGTAACACAGCAACCTAATGATGTATTTTAAGAACTGTCCATATTTTTAAAGGGTGTGTCTTCCTCGCACATCCACGTCAGCAAATTCGGAGTTTGAACAGGAGATACAATTATACAACCACCACAGGTGAACATCTGCAGCAAGATTGCTTTCACCGCAGGTAGTATTCAGCATTGTAGTAAAAACTCGGAATCTTCAGCAACTTTCTCTCCAGTAGCCTGTACTGCAAGTCTTGTGGTAGAGATCCCTCATCTGCACAAGCTCAAGTTGTATTGTAATTAATCATGCTGGATCTGTTTAATGTACTCTGCAGACCTGGTTATGGTATTGTGACTGCCCCATGTTACCTGTTTAGTAGATACCTCTCTCTCTTCTCCTTCTGAAAAAAAAAATCTCAGTGAGATCTTGTATGGGAAAGCTAGAAAAGGAAAAGCGCTCTGCAAAAGGCATTAACTGTATCATGAAGTATTGAAGAAATTGTGCATACCTCATTGACCCATCTGTTCTTACCATGTTTTTTGTCTTCAAATCTCTTGAGAGCATCCTCTCTTAAAGGTACTTCACATATGGCACATCACATAACCCGCTTCCCATTTTGGTTTTACAATGCATTTTCTAAATTGGGATCTTTTCTTTCTTTCTTTCTTTTTTTGCAAAACAATTTTGAAAACGCAATACAGTGATAGAAAAGAGCATAGCTTGAAAGGAATTTAGATGCTGTCCATGACAGATTGGATTCTTGATAGCTGTTAGCAGTTCAGAAAGGTCTGTGGATTGCCATCCCTAAAGTGTACCTGTTGCCACAGTCTAGCCCAGATGATATGGGTGGGTGTTGTTTTTAACCTTTATAGAGGCCTTTATTTCCATTTGACGCAACAGTACCTGGAACATCCATGTGAGGGTTTATGCCAAGCACCACAATTCTTTTTCTTATAGGAAAAATAAATAAAAGGAAGTTAGCAGGGTCATGAAACAGTATATCTAGTCACTGGGTAAAACGTTTGCTTTACCATCCTGAACTAATGTAAAAATTCTCCGAACCATGAAGAGCGTTATGAAATCTGCCATCTTGCTGAAAAATGTCACTGTCATAGAAAGGGAATTTTAATTTAAGAGGCAGACTGGCACTAAAGCAGGATTTCAGGTTATACTGTTACAGTTTTATAATGGTTTTGAAGGAAAGATATTTGTTACCTATCACTCTTGGAACGTTTGGCATCCTGTCTGTATCACTATATGAAGATATATTTAAAAAGAACCATTCCTAGGAAACAGTTCCTAATTTCCACATACAGACGTGCAAACGAAGCTTGAATGACAGAATGTTGTCTTTTTATGGACTGTAAGTTTTTCTAAGAGCCAAGCCAAGCCAACAGTAGTTGTCTGTGCTAAGTTTGAGGTATATATTCTCCTGGTTTTCCCCTGCCCAAAATCACATGAGAACCAATTTTGGTGAGTAGTATACAAAATAAAAATATAAAACCACAGCATCATCCTTTTTTCTTTTGCTTTGAGTGGGGAAGAAGGGGAATGGGAAGAGATGAATTTCCCCTAGCTATGGGAATGAAATGTCATCTTACTGAATACAGGCGAATAGTGTTTTTAAATAATGAAATGCATTTTAGCATGGATGATGGCAACATCCACCATTCATTCTAGAAGATAACTCCGGTACATTTCACTGGAATGAGACCACCGCAGATACAGGGCAAAAAGTCAGTTTGCAGTTCAGACTTGTTTATTGAACTTCATGCAAACTTAAAGATAAAACATAGAAATAAAATCCATTTTAAGTAAAGCACTTCTTGCAGAAGGAAGCCTTTGGGGGGTGGGAGTGGCCAGAGTTCTTTGGTTTTTAATCCTCTTTGCCTTGTTGTGTTATAGCAAGCAGTTTGCTTCATTTGTTACGGAGTTCATTTCTGGTAATGATGTATGTAGCTTCAATCCTGAATGACAAACATCTTGAACTGGGATGCAAAGCAGCAGCTGCTCTTTTAGTGTATAATTTATTTGGACATGCGACCTATTTTAGGAAGGGCATGATTATTCTGAAAACGAAGACTTGCATCCATGGGCGTAGCCAGGATTTGGGGGGGGCAGGACTTTTGTTAGGGGAGGCAGAACCGACATGATTGGTCAGTTAAGTATATCTATTGTTTTACTTGATGGGGGGGCAGCTGCTCCCCCTGCCCCCTCTTGGCTATGCCCATGCTTGCATCTAAATGTAGGCAGTGAAAACTAGGTATGCATTGTTCTGCTTCATCAGACTTCCTGTTCTGCTATAGCTGCATTGAATTCAGCAGAACCAAATCCAGAGTACGTTTGGGGGATACAGAAGAATGGAAAGCTAAGAGAACATTTTTTTAAATGTGTGTGTATATACATGAAATGCTGTATATATGCAGTAGGTTGGTCCAGTCTGTTTTTGAGTACAGTAGTTCAGTTGAAAACACCCTGTGTTAATGGTGGCTTGAGCCTTCCATTTAATACAGCATTTCATAGTGAGTGAGGCTTCAACATAGGCATCTGGTTGGCCACTCTGAGAAGAGGATGCTGCCTGTTCCAGCAGGCTCTTTTGTCATTGTCCTGGGTTGTCTGCTTCTTACAAAGAGGAGACAGGGGATTCCTTGCGTGTTGGAATATAATGAACTTCCTCAACATCTTTTGCATCACCTAATCCCACATAAGACAGTATCTCACAACTTTGTATCCAAATTGTAGAGTTGGAAGGGACCCCGGGGGTCATCAGTTCCAACCCCCTGCAATGCAGGAATTTCAACTAGATCACACTACTGATGGCTATCCAGCCTCTGCTTAAAAACCTCCAGTGAAGTCCACCAACTTCCAAGGGAGTCCGTTCCACTGTTAAACAGCTCTTACCATCAGAAAGTTCTTCCTGATGATAATAAAAATATTAATAGTAATAGTTATAATTTTGTTATTCAAGTCCTGCCCATCTGAGTTGCCCTAGCCACTCTGGGCGGCTTCCAACACACATAAAAACATAATAAAACATCGGACATGTTGAGTCGGAATCTCCTTTCTTGTAACTTGAATCCATTGGTTTGAGTCATCTAGATGACCACCTCACAGTTCCTTCTTTGCAGCAGCTAGCTCACATTATAATTCATGTTCCTCTTATGTACAATGAAAGAGGTGCATTTATATAATGGTATCAGAATAGCTGAAGATTGGAAAGGGACCACTAATTTGTGTTGAACTACTTCAATAGGCACCCTTGCTTTCTCTCCGGAAACAGTGTAGAGCCAGCTCATCCCATGCTGAAGCTTACCATACTTGTATGCCATCATACAGGCATTAGCAGCCGTGGGACGTATCTTGATGCATTGGGCTCATCATGCAAAACTCACCTGGCAATTCAGACATTGCTACACTCTTAACACACACACACGTGCATTTTTCAAGCAGCGTGACTGGAGGATGTAACGTTAGAATTGACTCTGAATAATAATAATTTTATTATTTATTAAATTTGTGTACTGCCCTTCATCCGTAGAATTACAACATTAAGAACACAAAGTACATGATAAAAATAAGAACAAAAACAAACACTTAATCCCTCCCTCCCACAGCACACTTAAAAGGGCATCAGATGTTAGTTGGCCAAAGGCCTGGTTGAAGAGGAACGCTTTCATCTGGCGCCAAAAGGTGTATAATGAAGGCACCAGCCGAACCTCCCTGGGGAGAGCATTCCACGATAATGAGGGCTGCTTTGGCAAAGCCTGAATGGTGGATGGCAAATGCCCACTCACAAAGCTTGTTTTACTATGGCCTGCATATTTATTTTCTATCCAGAATAGTTTATGTAGAATAATATGCCCAGCGGAACATTGTTTTAACAAATCTAATGGTTTTACATGAGACAGTTCCATTTAAGCATTATGGAACAGAAAACACAAGGATAACAATTACGATGCTTTCTCAGGTTTGGTGTGGGTGTTGGAGATTCAGCTGAACCTATTCTTAGTCTTGCAAATTTGCATCAGTATGTTAACTAGGTAGTGTAAAACATCAACTGAAGAAGATAGTAAGCGTTTTGAAGGCTAACCATTTATTAACAAGAAACCATCACGGCCTTAACCGCTTTAAAGTGATGCGTGCCATTCACACAGATCCCTTCCTCCCCACTCTTTGAGTTGATAGTCACTGTTCTGCAAGCTTTCTTAACGTTTACGCATTATGCTGTTTTTAGCAAGAACTTAAGTTACAATTGTAAACCTTACTTTAAAGATCCAAAGGTTTTGTGGTGTTCAGGAAGCAAGCCCATATTCCTTTCAAATCCAGCCAAAATATGTCAGGTCTGGTCTGCAAACGTGTGTTTTTGCGACTTGGTTTGTTCAGCATATGACTCACAACTGAATGTGCGAACTGCTTTTATAGAAAAGCATTGCGTTGCGAAGTAATGTTAAGTGATGGCTCATTGAGAGATAGAGCATGAGTCTGTGAACTGGGCCAGTCTAATACAATTATGCAAACCATGCCTAACCTACTAACATCTACTCCACAGCTTCTTCTCATTTTAATGGGGACCCCCTTATTATATCCTAACACTGCAGCACTTGGTGTTCTGTGCCCCAAAGCTGCTTTCCATCCTCTTAACTGTTCAGTGCATCGTCCCATCTGTCCGTAGAAAAACAAGGATACCAAACAGCTGTGTGGGGCAGCAGTTAAAGCTTTGAGAATTTCCTCTAGACAAAATGTTACATGCACTTGGGACCAAAGTTAATGAATTTCTTTCTGGACTTCTCAGCATACAGGTTGGTATGAAGGAATGGCACTGACACTTGGCCTTTAGCTGTGGATTTCTGTTTCTCCCAAAAAACAAACACAATGAAGCTTACAGCTGAAGCTACCATACTGACGACAGGTGGCGGGGGGAGGGGAGCCGCATGAAAATGAACGTATGAAATAGCACGTTTTGCAGAGTTACACGCTTGGTTTTGTAAGGAGGGAGTTGGAAGATTAAACTGCAAAGTCATCACAATTAGTTGTGAATTGCTTTTGTTACTCTTGTACAAAATTTGTAGGTTGTCCTGTTGTATACCTGTCTGCGAAAATTCCTTAAACATATGGTGGCTTTGAGAAAGTCTATGCATTTTATTGTTATACTTCTTAAATGTCCAGTACAACCTTGCATTGAATTTCCTCCTTGATGGTGATGAAGATGATGGGGTTTGGGATGCCATATTCTTTAGTTTGGTCTTTCGTCCTCTCTTTTGTGTATCTGTTTTTCTTCCCCTTTTATTTTATGCCATATGTGATTGGAATGATTACAGGCACCATGGTGTAAGTCTGTTAAAGGACTGGTCACATTTGGATTTTGTGCTTCGAGTTGATTTTTCTTTATCAAAATAAATAACCAATCAACATTCTTCTTTTTTTATACTTCCGCAGATACCAAAAATGCTTTCCTCTTCGCAGCCAAATATATGGCATTATTGGGTTTGGAGTTTCTGTTTTCCATGTTACAGTTGTTAATAGACAAGAAAGGGAAATAATGTGCCGGGTTCATTTTGTTTCCCATAAAACATTGAATCGGCTCTGTTAATTGTTCTTGCTGCAAGTTTGTATGCGTGTTAGCTAAATATATGGTTTGTTAATTCTGCTTCCAGCTGGAATAGTTCTATTTATAGCTCTCAGGAATAGCATAGAAACTCGTCTTTTTCTGCAAGAAGGGACTGGATTGTCACCTGCCATTTTAACTCAGTCACGGTAATAACTGCATAAATGTTTGCAGAGATCTAGCGACCAATAGAAAGGTATGAACATTTCAGAGTTGCTTAAGGGAAAGGAGGAGGCTGCTGCCATAACGTATATTTGTTTGTTTGTTTGTTTGTTTGTTTGTTTGTTTGAAACGTATGCAACCACTTTAAAGAACGTTTAGCTTAAAATAAGCAATACAGGGTTTCATGGTGCCATGGACTTACTGTCCTGTGATGCAGCGCTCTAGTAACACTAAGGCCTGGTTCAGGTTAAAAGCAACCCCACAGGGAGAAGGTGTGGCTTTGTAAGCTGGCAGAACTACTGTAGAGACACTAATTTGCAAGCGCAAATGGGGGTTGCCTCTATGGCTGTGATTGTGCAATGACACGACCCTTTTTGTGCGTTGCCACTGTAGCTCAGATTTGCACGTGGCTGGGTAGGGCGTGCTATAAAAACACCATCCGAGGTTGAGTCCTACGCAAACCTGGTGGAAGCCCTGGTTGTTTGCACGGAGGCGCCATTAGTCTGAACCCTTAGTCAAGCGGTGTCAATGTTTTAAGCAAAGTGGCCGTAATAGGAAAGTAGAAACAAATTGAACTCTTAGGAGCGAGCCGAAGCACATTGCTCAGTCCAAAGAACTGTGCATTGTGGTTACTGTCTACCTCTTTGTTTCACCTCTGGATTTTGTTTGGGTTTGGATTTGTGTTCTTTGTGCTGATGATGAAAGTGTTATTTTTTAAATCAAAATCAAAATGAGGGTAGGGGGAATGAAGTTTAAAGCACTACAAGATCCGGTGCTGACCAGCCCCGTTCTGCACGTCCTTGACAAAAGCCATTGTTTTTAATTCCTAATATAAATAATGTTTGTAAAGTTCCTTCCTGCTAGGAGGAAAATATGTATTTTTAAAAAGGGGGGGGGATCTGTCTTTTGGCTATAAGAATGTCAGCTGTATGAGCAGGTGTGATCATATCATAACATGCTGATTGGATATAAATCAATAAAGTTTATACCTCTCAGGACTCTTTGTGCTTGGTCTTTTGAGTAATCTGTTAGCAGGCTCTGTGGATTCCCCAGCTCCAACATGTGGGCAGAGAAGAAGAGTAGAAGAAGAGTTTGGATTTGATATCCCGCTTTATCACTACCCTAAGGAGTCTCAAAGCGGCTAACATTCTCCTTTCCCTTCCTCCCTCACAACAAACACTCTGTGAGCTGAGTGGGGCTGAGAGACTTCAGAGAAGTGTGACTGGCCCAAGGTCACCCAGCAGCTGCATGTGGAGGAGCGGGGAATCGAACCCGGTCCCCCAGATTACGAGTCTACCGCTCTTAACCACTACACCACACTGGCTCTCAAGAATATGGCAAGAGAGAATATGATGTACTGATTCTGGTCATGTGAATTATGTAATGAACTTTGGCCAGAAACTAACACAAATTTGTTGACTTGAGTACCAGAATGGCATTGGAAAAATAGCAAAGACCACAGTGGAAATGAGGTTAGAGGTTGCAAAGGAGTAAGTTGGAAAGCATTTGCCAGAGTTTACAAGCCAGTCTAGATCTAAGTACAGTGGTACCTTGGTTCTCAAACGTAATCCGTTCCGGAAGTCCGTTCCAAAACCAAAGTGTTCCAAAACCAAGGCACACTTTCCCATAGAAAGTAATGCAAAATGGATTAATCCATTCCAGACTTTTATTAATCCATGCCCTAAAAGAGCAATTTAATGTGAATTTTACTATCTAATGAGACCATTGATCCCTAAAATGAAAGCAATAAACAATGTACTGCAGTCAATCAATCAATCAATCAATCAGTAGCTGAACTGGGTTCCACACAGTCACAAAAAAACCCCCGCAAAAACAAAAACGCAAAATAAATAGCAAAAACAGACAGACCTAAGCATAACACTCAAAATGGAGCATGTTCAGCTTCCGAAAAAAGTCTGCAAACCGGAACACTTACTTCCAGGTTTGCAGTGTTTGGGTTCCAAGTTGTTCGAGTACCAAGGCGTTTGAGAAGCAGGGTACCACTGTACATCAGAAATGGAGCTACCAGGAGGGGCATTCACTTTCGTTTTTACACCACTGCTAAAGGTTTTGCTGAGTGTGTCTACTCAAACATGTTTGTAGATGATCAGTGTTCTAAAATAACAGGTTCAGGAAGGGGACAGGGAAACTCCTGATCACTGTCACTCCTCATGGACTAGAAAAAAGGATTAGCACTCACTCGTGAGTTACCATAATACCAAAACAGCAACAATAGGTCAATGGCAATGCTGCTTAATTTCCTGTTTCCCTTTTACTGCCACCCATTTTTTGAGAGACCCCTGAATAGATGGCCTACTGTAGGTGCAATGCAATTCTAAGTGCATAGATGTGCCAAACGAAACAAAAGAGGGGGAAGCATATTTCTATGCTGACAGACATAAAGTCTAAGAAATTTGTTGTGTTCCTTTGTAGCCAGTTATATCTGTCCTTGAGCCATGCCCTCAAAGCTCTGCAAATAGGTGTCCTGGTTGTAACAGAGCAGGGAGGATTCTACACTGTTGTTCTTATTGGGTGAGATTCAGTCACAACACCGACAAAATCAGGTTGCACAATTAAAGCTGTTTTGGCACACTTGCACAACATACTTGCTCCCCCCCCCCAAAAAAATTCAGACACTTTGAAATTAGGAAAGCAATGGGGCATTGCATCTGGAATGTGTGGGATAACACTTACTGGACAGAAGAAGAGTTTATCACTGCTCTAAGGAGTCTCAAAAGGGACGCGGGTGGCGCTGTGGGTTAAACCACAGAGCCTAGGTCTTGCCAATCAGAAGGTCGGCAATTTGAATCCCTGCGATGGGGTGAGCTCCCGTTGCTCGGTCCCTGCTCCTGCCAACCTAGTAGTTTGAAAGCACATCAAAGTGCAAGTAGATAAATAGGTACCACTCCGGCGGGAAGGTAAATAACGTTTCTGTGCACTGCTCTGGTTCGCCAGAAGTGGCTTAGTCATGCTGGCCACATGACCCGGAAGCTTCCTCAGCCAATAAAGCGAGATGAGCGCCGCAACCCCAGAGTCGGTCACGACTGGACTTAATGGTCAGGGGTCCCTTTACCTTTACCTAAGGAGTCTCAAAGCAGCTAACAATCTCCTTTCCCTTCCTCCCCCACAACAAACACTCCGTGAGGTGAGTAAGACTGAGAGACTTCAAATAAGTGTGACTAGCCCAAGCTCACCCAGCAGCTGCATGTGGAGGAGCAGGGAAGCGAACCCGGTTCACCAGATTACGAGTCCACTGCTCTTAAACACTACACCACACTGGCTCTCAGAACATCATATAATGTCCCCGCCACAGAACATCATATAATCTCCCCGTCAGCTAATCCAAAGGCATGCTTAATAAATATCAGGTGCTGCTGAACCGCCCTACAAACTTTGTCTAAACATATCAGGATTAATGCTCCATAAACTGTATGGAAATGACCAATGTGTCTATTTTGGAGTGGGGCTTCTGGGCATAGCTGTCAACTTTTCCCTTTTCTTGCAAGGAATCCTGTTCGGAATAAGGGAATTTCCCTTTAAAAAGGGGGAACGTTGACAGCTATGCTTCTGGGTGTTATTACACTCAAGAAGAGAGGGTGAGATTCTTCTTTAATGAATGATGGCAGCATCCAATGCAAGGTAGAAGAATACATGGAGAATAAGTGGTTGAAATGTTAAATCTTTTAAAGCATTAGGTCTTTTAGCTCAGCCTTTTTGATGTGATAGGAAGGACAAACCTAATGCAAAACTTGAGTGTTTGTTAAAGGTACATACAGCAAAGTCAGGAGACCAGGGTGGAATAATTAGCACCAACGCTGACTTAAGAACACAGTCACATGCTTCTTGCTGTTTATGCAAATATGCATTTAAGGAGTTTAGGTAGCACATTTATCTATTTTTATCATCTATGTTTTATTCAGAAGTTAAATGTAAAGCTGCAAACAATAAAGAAGCTCATTTTCAATTAGGCTTCATGTGGTTTCAAAAACGAGATATATGTAGCATGTGAAAATGCCATACAATACTATCAAATGCCAATTCCAAGACTCAAACTGAGGGTTCCTTTGTTTCTTTCTTTTTAGAATTCTCTTTATTTTTGTAAACTGTGTAACAGTTATCTTTAAAAAAATAATAAGCAATAGGAAGCATGGGGTCATTGGGGATTACATCCAGATTGCTTGCTTATTTATTTACTAGCAACGTTATACCAGGCATTGCTGACGAAATTCCAGGAAACCAAGCCATCAGGGCAATTTTGAAATCTGTGGTTAAAATCAATGCAGTTTTGAAAGGTCCATTCCATCACCTTGATTCAGAACAACATTCAACTCCATTCAAAGATAGATGAAAATCTGCTCCCTCATCTGATACACAAACAACTTCTCAAAATATAGAGTAGATTATTGTGTTTACACTCCACCTTTCCTCCAATAAAAGACATTGGATCAAAAGACTGTATGGCCAAAGTTCACCCAGTGAGCTATTTGGCCGAATGGAGAGTTGAACGCTGTGGTCTCCCAAGACCTATTCAAACACTTTAACCATTACATTACACTGACTCAACACCATGGTTGTCCCAGCAAATGGTGCAAGGTACAAGTTCTTTTTCATTCTGGACTCAACATTTAAATATTTGTATATTGCCCAATATTGTAGCTGCCAGCTGATTTCCTCACCCTTTTCTGCAAACACATAAAGAGTGGTCAAGCTGTCAAACAGTCTGGAAGCCTCAGTCAGAGGGTGGCTTTTTCCTATAGCTGTTTTCTTCCGCTTTTTAAAATCTTCAGAGTGTATGAAAACATGAGTTGACCACAGTGCGTGGAATATGGCATGAGGTATTCTGTTTTTGCTCTGGGCACACCAGCTACAAATATAATGTATAAGTGTATTTCCATATTTTCTATAAGATCCCTCTGTACAATGTTAAAGGTGACTGCAAAAGGAGATAAATTGCAGTTGTCATCAGCGCTATACTTACCATAACAGTATTGGAGTCATATTTGAGCATGCTCAGAAGAGTTGCAATTTGGGGGTTATGGCAAATACCTCTACACTACCTGGAATGAAGAAATGCAAGCTCCCTTGATTCCCATTCTGAGGTGTTCTATTTCTCAATGGGGAAAAGGGGTTGTACAGGAGAGAGTGCATGCCCAGCCCAGCCCCATATCGTAGAAATGGGAGCATAGAGGTTCATTTCCCTTCTGTATTCTAAGGAGGCAGCAATGGCCGGTGCCCGTTGGGTGGAAGGTGGAGAGACCCCCAATAGTCAGAGCCAATAACAGGCAGACCAAAATTAACTCCAGTTTTGTCCCCATCTTTCTCTCTGCTGAGCTTAAAAAGGGAAACATTGGTGCTGCTCTATGTAGGTTTTATTTTATTTGTTTTTTATCTTGTATTTTGGAAATGTACATCCGGGTTTTCCCCTTTAATTTTTTTCGGGTCCCCCAAGAGAGTGAGGCCCTAAGCTATAGCTTGTTTAGCTTATACGTAAATTCAGCACTGGGTGGGACAATGATGAATGGTCAGAGGGAAAAGAGAGAGCAGACTGGGATGTGGTGGTGGAAGCTGGAGAGGCAACAGGGTTTAGTGAGCGGGAAGAGGCTGCGGCAGAGAGCAGTTCAGACCCTGAGGCTGGAGGGGAGAGGGGCCAGGAGACAGAGATGAGGCAGGCTGCTGAAGAATCCAGTGAGTCTCTCCCTCCTGCTGTGACCAGCTCCTCTCCTCTCTGGTCTAGAACTCGCAGAGAAATAAAACACAGAGAGGAAGGAGGGTGGTTGTGCGCAGACACAGCCTGAGACTGCATGGAAAAGACCCAGAAGAGGAGGAGTCCTAGTGGACACTGGGAAGGCAGGAACCTTCAGTGCTTGCAACTGCTTCATTGGGGCAAGATCGCCTAGAAAGTGTTGCTGAGACTATTAGCTCTGAGCTGTGGTTTGTTTCCTTGAATAAAGATTTGACTGCACTGGGCCTTGGGTGATTTATTGTTTCTGTTGTGGACCTATGCCTGAATCCAGCCCTTCAGGGCTGGCTCCCAAAAGCTGAACAGGAATAGTTATTCATGGTTTAGCCCTGAACAGCTGCCCCCCACTCCAGTATCAGCTGAACTAGAAGAAAAGTCAAAGCAGGGTAACTGACACCAGAAGCTGACATACCCTGTGCTTTGGCAAGAACACTTGGATCTTGAAAACATGGATCCCAGATGGTTTCGGGATATTGAAGCTGACCTTTTATTTTCTGAAGATGAACATGTTAATATCTTTTTTCCTTCTTCAACTGTTACTTGGAAAGGAAATAAAGGAGCAGAAAATGAAGTAGTTGTACTTCCAGGGCCATTTTAATTTAAAAAATGAAGCATCATGCCCTTGCCATAGCTAGTTGGAGAAGAATCAATTATGTGAAGTCAACAGATAGATGCAAATTTGCTTTATTATTTACATTGGGGGTGATGAACTGTGCTCTCCTGGTGTCTCTGGACTCCAAATCCCATCAGCCCCAGAAAGCCTGACCAATGCTTAGAAGTTGCAATACGACATCCGAAATCTTCAATGTGCTCAACTTTGGCAGGCTCATTCTTAGAGAACTGCTTCAGCCGAAGACACCAGAGTGTCTGGATTTGTTCATTTCTGCTGTTTTTATATAATACACGTCAACCTTGAAAACACCAGCCTCTCTCTTGACATAAAGAGGGATGGGGGGAGGGCAAGAGGCATATCACATCTCTAGATAGAGCTAATTAAATAAGAACCTTTTATTACCATGAAACTTCGCAGATAATTTCATTACCTGCTGTGGGGAGAGAGGGTGAAATTAGAATGTGGAAGAGATGCGTTCTCCATTTTCATCTTTATGAGACTTCATCTTATGGCCAGCTTCAAACACAATTGTAAACTTCTTCGTTTCATAGCAGATAAGCCCAACTGTGGCTGTTCTGTCTGTCTCATAATAATGTATAATAGAAAGTTCCCAACAGGCTGGATTACTGCCATGCGCTCTCTGTGGGGCTGCCCTTGGGCCTGATTTGGATGCATCAGCTGGTGCAGAATGTGGCAGCCAGACTGTGGCCAATGGGGGCGTCAGAGCATGTGACCCCATTGTTAAAACTGTGTGCTGGCTGCCCATCTATTACCAAAGCAGGTTCAAGGTCCTTGTAGTAATTTACAAAGCCCTGAACAACTTAGGTCTAGGGTACCTCAATGGACCACCTGAACGCTTACATTCCAGCTCAGTCACAGAGGAGCATCATGGGTTGTTCCCCAAGTTGGTGAGGCTCATTTGACAACAACAACAAAACCAAGCATTTAGTTTCACTGGCCCGGTATTGTGGAATACTCGCCAACAGAGATTCAGTAAGAACCTTTCATTCCAACTTTTAAATGCCTACTGAAAAGTTTTCTATGCCATTGGGCTTATGCAGGTAAGAATACAACAGTTATCTGATTTCTGATTTTAACATTTTATATAGTTTTATATAGTACAATGGTTGTAAGCCGCTATGGTTTGTTTCGGTTTGTGTTTTTTTTAAAAAGAATAACGGTCTATCAGTATTTTTATAAATACAGTGGTACCTCAGGTTACATACGCTTCAGGTTACATACGCTTCAGGTTACAGACTCCGCTAACCCAGAAATAGTACCTCAGGTTAAGAACTTTGCTTCAGGATGAGAACAGAAATCGTGCTCTGGCGGCACAGCGGCAGCAGGAGGCCCCATTAGCTAAAGTGGTGCTTCAGGTTAAGAACAGTTTCAGGTTAAGAACAGACCTCTGGAACGAATTAAGTACCGGTACTTAACCCGAGGTACCACTGTAAAATTAATAAATGAACACTGTGTCACATTTGACTGTGCCCAAGTAGCAGGTCCCAGGATGGTGCTGTGCAGCTAGAACATTTAAGTTGCTCTTAGAGATGCATGGGTCAAACAATGTTAAATTTGACTCTTAAAAAGATTCACGAGGATTATAGAGAACTCCCACCACTGCACTGGAGAACAAAATGATAACACTGTACTAGCATTTTATTTATTTATTTTGCCTTGCAGCCACAGTTCAGCTTTCCTATAGTCAAAGTCCAATATATTGAGTCAATGCATGACCTTGCACCTCTTGCCTACCTTGAACATAGTTGGCAGCCAGAAAACCTTTGGAGCCATGCCCACAACACGGCAACACTGGACAGTGGGTGGCATGCTTTCGGTGCACAGACAAGATAATATAATTACTGGATTTTATATAAATGGGACACAGTTGATGACTATAATAAACCTCTCTGCATATTAGTAGCCCTCAGGGCTGCACTGAATGTTCTCCCATTTCATATTTCAGGTTGGAAGAAGGGCTTTAAGAGTTTCCCTCCCCAACCCTCCAATTTATAACTTTTTCTTGAATCTCTCTGCTGCTGTTTTCCGCTGCTGTACCAGCAACTTTTCCTCCTTTCCTGTGCTGTGATGAGCGAGCTCCTGCCCTCATCTTAATTTGGAATGTGCTTGGTTAAAATGTATTATTTTTTGATTAAAAAAAAACCATCAGAAAACTTTGGGTCTTTTTGCTAATTAGCAGGTTCCTTTTTTATGCTCCCCCAGCCATCTGAGGCAGCTGCAGAGGCACCTCATGGTGCCCTAGATTCAGGCCCATGGGCCAATTACAAGTTTCTTGGGAAGAGGCATTGCTTGTTAAACCATAGAACCACAGATTGTTAGAGTTGGAAGGGACCACGAGGGTCATCTAGTCCAACCCCCTGCAACGCAGGACTCCTTCGCTCAACATGAGGCTCAAACCCACAACCCTGAGATTAAGTCTCATGCTGTACTGACTGAGCTATCCCAGCTCTAAACCACTCCAGGAATTATCGCTCTGGGAGAGGAGTTGTTGTCTCCTAACAACTGTCAGCACCCTTAGCAAACTACTGATCCCAGAATTATTTAGGGTAAAACCATGACAGTTAAAGCAGTATTGAGGTGCTTTCAGTAAATGGTGTGAAGGGTTTTAATTATAGCACCTCTTTTGCAAGGTATGACATTACATTGATGCAGGGGTAGGAAGTAGCCGTAGGTAAGGATAAAGTTTCACCTCAGCTCTCATCTTCATCTGTGTTGCTGCTGTCCTGCCACAATATGGGTTTTTGCTGAAGACAGCCTGCCCTAGTAGCAGTGCAACGGCGTCAAAACACTACTGCGGATTATTGGCATGCCTCTGAGATCCAGGAGGGCGGGGGAATTTAAGAGTTAACCTACCTTCATTCAGTGGGCATAAATCAGAGTAGAATTTTTATGCTAGACAGAATCAGGTGCACTAAAATCCTTTATTAAGCTGATTCTGAAACTGCCGATTGATTCCTGGAACAGTATGCATTGTCATTTGAATTTTTGTGTGTGTATGTGTGTTAATTAGGTCATTTGAATCACAAGCTGCTCAATAAATACAAAACTCAAATGCATATTTTCTCCCCATCCCTAAGGAAGTATCCACATGGCACAATCTGGCAAAGAATACGCCTGGTGTCCCTGATCCCCAAGGCACAGAACCCCCTAATGCTCACGAGTGTGGAAAGTCCCCAGCTTCGTTAGCATTTGCTAATTCAATTTCCTCGGTGCCCTGCAACTCCTCTATGCAATCTGCTAATCCTGATATCCTGAGAGGTCATGCAGCTAATATGCTCTCTTGCTAAGGGTGATGATTAAATTAATTAGACATACTCCATAGGCTGTGGAATTGGCTGAAGAATGTATTAACCCAAAATTGTAACACTGGTTTCAAGCTAAGTTTATTATGGCTCAGGAGATGAGGAATGACTGCTGCCACTTGTCGTTGAGCCCCAGACCTTTGCACTGTACAAGCTAAAGAAGAGATGGAGAACTTGTGGCTCTCTAGATCTTTTGAATTTCAACTCTCATCAGTCTCAGCCAGGGGTGATGGGAATCATACAGCAACTTCTGGAGCTGGGTCCTCAAGACACGGAGACTTATGGCTGAAACCAGGTGTGCTGTGGCAGGCAGGTAGAATCTAGGCACCCATTTCTTGGCTGCGCTCTAGAGGCATGCAGGCAATAGATCTATCATTCTGCCAGCTTGCTGGTGTCGTTCAGTCTTAGGATTCCATTGTTGCAATCTATCATCAAGCTCTCATTATGACAAAACAGAATAGCAGCTATAAGGTTCTAAAGGCAGCGATCCTATGCCACTGAAATTTTAGAACCCAAGGTCTGCCACTGCACAAATTTATCCACCAGTTTGTTTGGAACGGTGATGGACAACAGAGCTAGGCACCCTCTTTTAAAGTGAAGAGCCTGTTTGTACTTTTTGGAGCACTACTAGAACCAGTAGCAGTTGGAGTGAGATGGCTGCAAGCCATCGGTACCAATAACGGCTCTATCTGTCATGGAGTGGCTGGATGCTAAGGAGTGGTGGGAGACACCAGCTGGGGAACCCACAGGGGAACCCCCAAAGGAAGAAGGTTCGGAGCCAGGGGATTGGTGATGGGACAACAATGCGTGGTCAGAACGAGATGAGGGCAGAGCCACAAGATATAGAACAGATCCTTAGCCTTCTGAGGAACTGAGAAAGGAGCCTTAGGGAGCAATGGGAAGGCGGGGACCTTCAGTCCTCACAACTGATTCAATTGGGCAAGATCTCCTGGGATGGGATGGGTTGCTGTGAGCACTAGGACTGAGCTGGTTTTGTTTCTTTGAATAAAGTGTTAGCATCACTGACATTGGGTGCTTGATTGCTTTATTGCTGACCTATGCCTGACTCCTGACACCATCCTACCACTTTATTTGTTGTGACAAAAATCTTCTTTGTCTCTCTCTAGCTTAAAAGAAGGTAAGAACTAATATTTTCCAGAGCACTGTGGTTTAGAACAAGTTTCTCCAACCCACCCTCCGTAAATTTGCTGTTGGGTTTTTAAGCGTGTGTGGGCTATGCAGCGCTAAGTGGCCTGGCAACGTTCTAATTAGCCTGACTTCATTTGCCTGCCATCCCTTGTAATGATTTTCACAGAAATGTTATGATTAAGTTGTGCTCTGCAGACTGGAGGTCACCCTAATCTAATAATGTTTCTTCCTCGCGGCCTCCAGCATTAATGAGAGCAAAGAAGGCTGACTACCTGGCAGTTTTTCATTGGTGTTTGTGAACCACCCTGTTGTTTCCATTTTTTGAAAAAGTGAGAAACCCATTTTGACGCAATTTTTCTTCAGGCCCTACAGTTACGCTAATATAAACATTGGGAGGGGGAAGATGGTGGAAACTCATGGCAAATACCTCCCATGTGCGGTCTTTTGTATCCATATAGGTTCCCCATGCATTTAGAACTGTGATTTTCCAGGGTTAGTCCTAGTGATGTGTAGCCATTGCACCGCTTGTGCACCAGAACAATGCAGAATTCAACTCTCCCCGCCCCCAACAGCTGATGCATGAGGATGGGGGCACCAGTCTGGGTTCACTGCTGCTCTTGGATCTTGTAGCACTTCAAAAATATAATACCCCATAAGTGTCCTGGAAAAAAACAGGACATCCCTTTTTTTTTTAATGGGAAGATGGCAGCCATTTTTGGTGTCATGATCTCAGGCAATTTCGTACCATGATCTCCCTTGAAATAGTGTTTTTTAGGGGGCCATGATCTTGTGTGGCATCCCAAAATGTGTTATTTTCCCCCAGGGGGAAAACGTTGTATGAAATCGTGTAAGATCACAGTGCCCAAAATGGCGATTGATGAGAGGAGAGGGTGACCTGATTTGCATTGATCCACTGAGGGTGGGTGTTGTTAAGTTGTGGGTTGACATGGCAGACGACACAGCGATTTCTCCAAAGCAGCTCTTTATTTTGTAAGCTGGAACAGAACTGAGCAGCAAACAGCTCAGCCGGCCTGCTTTTATAGGCAGCCGTCTGTCAACATTGTAGCAACAACAACCCAGGGTTTCCCGCCTAAAATAACTGACGTGGACCTGAGTGAAAACTATCTACAGTATCCCCCTGCTGGCCCAGGGTGAGAACTTCAGTACATAACAGGTGTGCCCTGCATTTATATTTCTCCTGTACGAGGCATATGATTGTGCTTGTGTGAGAGTGTGGGGTGCCTGTGCCCTTTTGGCCATGCTCATTACTGGCATGTGGCCCCTGGAGGGCTGACCAAAGATTAATGTGGCCCTCAGACCAAAAAAGGCTTGGCTATTGTTGTTACAATAATAATTATAATAATTGTATTTTTTTATTATTTATATTTTTATTATTTCCCTGCCCATCTGGCCGGGTTTCCCCAGGCACTCTGGGCAGCTTACAGCATATATGAAACATAATAAAACATCAAACACTAAAAACTTCGCAATATAGGCTTTCCTATTTTCTTCCTCACTGCAGAAAATATCTGAGGTCACTGGAAGAGTCAAAATGGCTTCAGGATTGCTCTCCTGTACTATTATTTATATACTTTGAATGTGATTGCCTTGTAAGTTTATGAACATACGATTTATATATATGAGACCTTAGAATTCCTGTAACAGGCTTTAAAAGTCAGCACCAACACTTTGAATTGTGCTCAGAAATGTACTGAAACTAAAGTCTCAGGGAGACATCCCCCCCAGCATTACCAGGGCAAAACAGATATTTGAGACGTGTGCTTTAACAATGGACGATAGCCCTTGTGGGAGATTATGAAGACGGAAGTGGATGTAAATGGATCTGAAGCGGTGCATCGAGAAAATGGAGTTAAGAGGATGGCTGGATTGTGTTATTCAAATAATCATGATGTTGGTTTTAAACAACTCTTTGTCTGGAATCCTTGGGGTGAGGCTGGTGGCTGGGGAAGCCTACTCTACTGGTTGGTTTAAATGGGATTGTTATCCTATATGTGTTTTTTGAGATTACTGTACCTGGAAATAATAGAGGATGAAACAAGAAAAACTGGTCAGAGAATAAACAAACAAAAACCTACATGCCGATTGTTAAGAGAAATGTCTCCTTTGTTTGCCTCTGTGTAGGTTTCTAATCTTTTTTTCTCATGCTATTTTTTTTGGGGGGGGGAACTGCTTTGTGCTTTTTATCTGTTTCATTTACTTCCTCCTTTTCCCAGTTAAAGTTCTGGGCTTCAAAGTACTGGGGACAACAGCTCGCATATCTTAATCAACTTCTGAAATCAAAAAATTTATCTTCCCAGCTCTCTTGACATTTTTGCTCAAATGAGGTGCACAATGCTATCGCTTGATAAATTGATATGAACCTACATTGTTGGGATAGCTCTTTTGTCCTGCCATTTTTGCATCTCTACAACCTCTAAAAAATACCATATTTTTCACTCTATAAGACACACCAGACCACAAGACACACCTAATTTTTGGAGGAGGAAAACAAGAATCTCAGAAGCCAGAACAGCAAGAGGGATCGCTGCGCACTGAAAGCAGCAATCCCTCTTGCTGTTCTGGCTTCTGGGATAGCTGCGCAGCCTGCATTTGCTCCATAAGACGCACACACATTTCCCCTTACTTTTTAGGAGGGAAAAAGTGAGTCTTAGAGAGCAAAAAATACGGTATTCTTGAAACCCCCCCCCCCCCGGAAAATGTCATTAGTATAACTTCCTGTTGGCAAGCCTGTATATTTAATAGGGTTAGATATGCACTGAAGAATCTTTAACAGAAGTCTTATGTACAGACACCAGACGGAGATAACGTTTATTTTCAGGCTGTGAAAAGTTTTGGAGGCCGATTTCTACACACTTGTAAATGTATCAGAGTAGCCTGGCACCCCCCCACACCTGTCAGTTGGCAGTCCTAGGCTTTATGCATCAACAAATTCTTATATGAGGGTACTTATTTGCAAGTTACTTCTTTTATGCTAG